CTATTCTGTTATTATTATTTCATTTCATTTCATTCTAGTCACATAGACTCATTACGTCCATTTGTTAGTATGCCTTACAACTATGTGAGTAAAATACTATACAAATGACAATTCACAAATATCATGTCCATATTATGTGATACAATAAATAATAAATTGAGTACATATAGTCTTCAGTATATAAACAGAAACAAGGATCGCATTTTATTATTTTATATCTAACTAAGGGTATAGTGAAAGCAACAAATTTTCAATTCAGCAATGAAAAATTTAAAAATGTTCCCTAACAGTATAATTTTCTTTCTTCTCGTAACGATTGTAAGTTGTTTAACACTTCTATAAATATTTATGATATATAGTTCCTTATTTATAATATAGGCCCTCGTTAATAATGAAATTCTTAGCTATTTTAATAATGCTTTAATATACAGGCCGCTGTTTACACTACTTATTCTGGATATGACGGACCGCAAGAAAGATTATTCTTCAATAGAATATCATCGTGTGACTATACCGAAACGGTAAGTACTGGTTGATTTATTTGATTATTGTAATATGGACTTTATAGTAATTATTTATTTCAGCCGGGAGCTAGTTGCCTGGATTGCGTTACAGCGTCACTCTGTCTCTCAAATAATATTAGCATCATACGTCCATGCCGTGGTTTCCTGCCATACTGCAACAATGGGCGATGCTCGTTTATTGTGCCGACCAACTGCACTATTGGTTGAACGTCACTATTGATTTATATAACAAAGGAATGTTATAAATATCTCTTTGTTATCAATTCGGGGTATGGTTTTAATTAGCAATTAATATATTTTTGGGGTCTATAAATAAATGTTTATTATCACCTACTAAGTATTTTTCTGATTAAAAATACGTCGAAATGTTTATAATGACGTTACTCCTGCTCCCTTATTTCCTCCCAATCTTTTCAACATAGAGTATTTTACAAATTCCATTGAAAGATTATATTTTATTTGTACAATGGCAACTAAATTTTCAAACGACTATTATAACTAAACAACTATATAACTTCGTGTCACAGAAGGCAGGTTCGGTGAAAATAATACCAGGAAATATGCATTTATTTATGTTTATTTAAAAATACCCTGAAAGTTTTCTTGTACTTGTGTAACATTAAAAAGACTTGCTTTATATATAAATCACTTCAAAACTGTCAGCTAAATAATCGATCTGGTACCAATTTTTCAAAAGATTTCATTTTTTGTGAACTTAATAAATACAATTTTTCAAATAATTATCATCTCTGGAATAAAAACACATTAAAAGAAACGCAAGTGACGGTCTATTAATGTGAACAAATTATTAGCCCTTAAATATATCTCTCATAATATTTCTAGATAAGAATCATGAAGAAATTTTTGGTATAAAATATTTTTAGAATCGCGCCCAGTACCGAGACTTCGCCTGTGAAACATAATGCATTTTCTATTCTAGTTCACAGTGGACCTTCAATACAATTAGGTTCATTAACTTTGTTAAATAAACTTCCATTTATCCAATATTTATTCAACATTTTATTTATTATAGTAACATAAAATATAGTCTAAAATAATAAAATAAATACTAATAAGTAATAACGGGTCACACGCACACACGACAGATTATTATTAGGTATACGCGTAAGATCGATCGCTAGGCGCGCGCGCGGGAAGACGAACGTACGGACCTTACGCCGGCGCTCGCGCGACTAATAGCCGACTAATGGCCCGCTAGCCACGGGGCGGGGGTTGGGGAGTAGCGACACACTGGCGCCGGCAAGGCTGAGTACGTGTCCAAACTTTATTTATTTATACGGAAATTTGGTCAAAAATTAAGTACCTATTTTTTTTACATAATTCGAATGAGAATCATGTACCGAGTATGCTCCTTAAATATTGATAGTAATTCGCCAGTCACCCTGTATATATATATATTGTATCTATATTTATAATTTGTACACCCCTACCATCCTATCTCTCTCCTCTACCAAAGGTTGCCTGGAAGAGATCGCTGTTTTAGCGATAAGGCCGCCTGTTGTACATTTTCTTTTCTTTATGTTATTCCTATTACTCCTATTATATATTGGTGTACAATAAAGTGTATATAAATATATATAAATAAATATAAATATGTCGGTGTACTTTTTTGTAATATGTAGTATAACATATGAATGAATCATTATAATTCCAGTATAACTTAAACAAATTTAAATTTATCAAATCTCTCATTGATTAATAAATACATTAAATAAAAAAAATGAAATGAAATGAAATTATATAACATTAAATACTTATTAATAAAACAGTGAAATTAAATTGTTTGTGTTGTGGTACTTTATTTAATTAAGTAATTTTGTTGAATTCAACTCTTAATTTTTGGATTTTATCAGTCCGAAAATTTTCACAGTATATTTCTATCCTTAAAGCGGCTTCGGATTGGACCATCATGATGGATACGTATGAGAAACAATACAAAATCCCCGAGGATATTAGTGCGTCGGCCTCCAGACCAGACATATTTCTATATTCGCGTATTCTAAAGCGCGTTGTGATGATAGAGCTTACGGTGCCTTGGGAAACCAACATCCCCAAAGACCATGCCATCAAGGTCAAATAAGTATTACGAGCTCACTAACGAACTAACTCGAAATAGGTTCGTCGTTGATTTATACGCGGTAGAGGTGGGAGCGAGAGGTATAACAGCTAAATCTCTCTATAACCTACTAAAAGACTTGGGCCTGTCCAGAACTAACATTAATTCATTCTTGGAACGTACGTTGAAGGCAGCCCTAGTAGGTTCTTTTCAAATTTTGTTAGGTAGAGAGAGGAGCTTGGACAGTGGAGGTGAGCGTATAACGCGCGTTAGATAAGGGGCCCCTTAAACCTAAACCTGGGTCGAAAGTCCCAGGCACTGTTGAAGCTCTTGTCCCTACAACGAGATGGACCCGGCACCCGCACGGTGAATCCATTGAATGCTAAGAGGTTTCGTCTCTGTTTACAAAAAAACTTGTGAAAATATTAATGAATTTTGACAAACTAATACTTTGGTATACAAAAATATGAATATGGATAACGTATACATACGTATAACAAAAAGATATCCTGAAAGTCAGTGGTGGCCTAGTGGTTAAAAAGCCAGCCTCTCATGCATGCGGGCGCGGGTTCGATCCTGGTAAGTACCAATATGATTTCTCCGAGTCATATGTACTTTCTAAAGGTATTTAGACATCGCCAATTGATGTATTCCCAAAGAGGGCTACTTTCAGGTAGGCGTAAAAAAATAGTCAAAACGTTGCACAACATGTAAGGCAGACCCTGGCTATAGCTGGGAAATTGTCAGTTGGAAGAGGAAAAAAAATTACCCTGAAATTCATTAAGTTAACTTTTTAAATGTTATCTGATTACCGACTGAGTTCTACAAGAAATATCTTGAAAAAAAACAAATTATGCTGTAACTTAACAGTATCACGTGTTCATTCTTCTCGGTAAAATTCCATCTTATTTTAAATAAAAAGCATTTATTTTTGGAACTTTAACATCTTTCAAATTACATATAATGCCTTATATTAATTTTGTTAATTACTTACTCCTGAATGTACATATTTATTGTAATTCAATATAAACGATATCTTAATTTTTTCATATTCTAAGTTCTTATATTTGTCATTTAATATGTAGCTAACAGGAGTTACATTCCAAAATTACATACCAAAATTTATCGATAGTGGAAATAATGAACTACTTAGATTTCAATTTTCATCACGAACGTAATTTTTATCTATCAATATTAAGTTTCTACTCGTAGATATGATAATTAAGAAAGAAGCACCTATCAGCTCAAATGTTCATTTATATCAATCTAAGATTTCAGAACCTGTAGACTTGTTTACTTCATTTCCTTTTCTCAAAAACGCACGATCTCGACATGGTCATCTGTATTGTTTATATAACTGTATTTGATATATGAAAATAGCTTTTATTCTACATTATCACGAGTCTCGTTATTGTTTTCATACGTAATAAGTGTATGGTGTCGTATAATAAAGAATAACGTAATTTTTGATTACACATACAAATATTAAAAACTTTTTAAATTAACTAGACCTAGTTAAAGAACTTATTTATTTTTTTATGTCTGAAAGTCATAGTTATAAAATAATTGCAATTGCCCTTAAATATAGGTGTCATAACTGCGTGATATTTCTTATGTCTTAAAAAAGATACGCTAAAAGAAAAAAAGGAATGCTATAGAAACAGGTTTTCCTACTCAGAAGTCCAAAGGAAGATTTTAGAATATAAATTTAATGACGTAATGACAGTATTTTGTATTTATTAAAATATTATTTCCTAACTTTTAGTTCTACATTTTATTAAGAACACCGAAGGTAAAAACTGAAAAGAAAATAATATGTTTTCTACTTCAAAGTTTTCTATAATATTAAAATATTTCGAAAAGAATTCGTTACATACTTGACCTTATAGGAATAAAAGTAAAGTATAATTCATATTTGCAATTTTTTAAAACAATAATGAATTATCTTAAAATTTCGTCTCAAAAAATGTTAAAGTATCAAAAAAGTAATTATTAGTTAATTAAAATATTATTTTATGTATCCAGTAACATAATTTATATTAATTATAAATGGTTTTTTTTTAAATATTACTTCAATAACAGCATTTCCTTACTTTATGAGAAATTACATTTATAATTACAAATATACCTAATAGTCGAATATAGAACCATTGTCTTTGTTGTCGTTTAAAAACTCCTAACAATCTACAACCACCTTAGTTTATGTACAATACCTTTTGTTAGACCGCATTTATATAATTCTCTAAGAACATAAAACAATACACAATAAAGTAGACGTCACATTTCTATTAAGATACTTTAGTATATAATCTCGAAGACATGGGCGTATGTATATCATTCAAACATCTCGAATCATCTAACGAAGAGTAACATTTCAACAATTTCTGCAAGCTTTCAAAATGGCTCTGGCAAAATTAGCTTTCGTCTTCCTTACGGCTCTGGTACGATAATTTTTTATATATTTAAAATATTTAATTTTATAATAGGAATAATAATTTATAATGTATTAAATTATATCCCTATGTTATAAATTTGCAGATAGCTGTTAACTTAATCTTTGCCGAAGAGGAAGAACTCTCGCAATTCGAAGGACAACGTTTTGCACGTTCCGCAGAGGAATCAGGAGATTCCCAGGGAAGGCTCTTTGGCAACAGATTTACTTCATGTAACTACACTGCAACGGTATGTTAAAGTACAAACTTGAGTTGACTTTAACTGATTAGCTGTTAATATTAATAAGTCAAATATATTTTCAGCCTGGATCTACTTGCCAAGGATGCTTCACGGCTGTCCGTTGTCTTCCATCAAACGTCGGAATAGTGCGTTCTTGCCGTGGTTTCTTACCTTATTGCAATGGTGGCAGGTGCTCCTTCATCGCAGCCACGAACTGCTCGAGCTCCGGTTAAGGTTAAAACTATAGACAGGTATTAATAATATACTGATGAATATTAAACATATGAGGGCCATACTATTATGTAAATAAAATAGTATTACTTCCAAAATTTCTTCGTCTGGTCTATTATATACATAAATTAGATTTAATAAAAATCATTATTTGTTTTACTTGAGCCAAAGTTTAAAGATACGCTATAATTGTTTATTTTTTTCTTTCTTTTCAGTTTCCACAACAGAATTACGAATTATGTAACGCGGTTTACTGTTTCATTGGTTAAATAAATGTTATTACTATTATAATATATTTAGTTTTCATCACTGCTCCTAGCGCACATTATTTTTAATTACGATGTTTTTCGTAAAATATTCAATTCGATTTGTTGATGAATTCATTGACAGATTTTTTGTAATTTTATTGTTCGCTAATATTTTCGTAAAAGGTTGAAAAAAGGATAGTGCATTTCTAAATTAATTCTTACTAAATCTTAAGTAAATAGTCTTAGATATAGTAAATTTCATGTTGCAATATTTTTTTTCTTTATTTAAATTACTACTTTAAACTACTACTACTACCAAAAACGGATCACTAATAATCAACTTTAAAGGGATATGTGAAAGAATACTACAGTATAAATGTCTCAAAATGTTTATTTAATATGATCACGGAAAGTTGCTTTATTGTCGAAGTTACAGAAATCTTAAATAACAAGTTTATTTTTCCTACTACAATATATAGTAAAATATATATTTTTATATTATTTATTTGTCAAACACAGCTAATTCTAGTCAGGAAAGAGACCATGCCGCGATACGCAAGATGTTAAACGTTAGAACTCTTGAATAATTTGAAATTTATTATTATTATAAATAGCATAATTTTTATTAATACTTTATCTCGTTTTATGATGTAGACTAATCTCAAATTTTTATATAATTAATACACATAATTTGCGATTGACAACAATGCCTAATATATTTTATTTTAAATCTAAAATGACATCATAAAAGAGTTCGGTTACAATTTGTCAGTTAATATTTATAGTAAGAATTATCCTAACTGCTAGCCTCTCCTTGGGCACATTGCAGTTCTATATACCTTAAATAGATTATAACATCAATATAAGTACACCAAGTGTTATTGTCTGAGTTAAAAGCATCAAAAGGTTCCCGCTTTCTGAATTAAAATCTCATATAATTTAAAAATATAATTTTCTTTGCCCTACAACGAAGCCGTTCTGAGACGGATGAGTCCAAAAAGTTTAATCCTGGAAATATTAACACTTCATTCAAAAATCTTAGTTAAAAGTTATCAAAGGATTAACTCTTATCGAATTTACTGATAAAACTTAGTATTCCCAGGTAAACATGATTGGGCTCATTTTAAGCCGCGTGACTTTGAGCCACCCGACTTACAGCGGCATAGCTACTGATTTTTACGACGGCTGGGAAGACTGCTGTTGCGATATGACTTCCTCAATAAAATATTATCCACAGCGGGAAGAAGCAAATATCTCTTGTCTGAAGCGTGGTATGGAACTTTAAGAGACCTAAAATAATAGAACTTCGGGTTTTCCTTTATCTGCCAGGGGTCCTTCGGGGTGTTGGAATAAGAAAGAGACAAAGGAGATTGCGGTAAAGGGGTATTAGGTATTTCGTTGCTCAACGAACGGTGGAGGTACCTTCCGGTCGGGTGCGAGTTAGCAGGTATTGGCGGCGACGGTAGGTTGGAGTCGTCTGAATCGATGGCTGCGTCAGCTTGGGAATCAGCGATATATTGCCTGGGAGAAACATATCATTGTAAGACAAATATTATTATAACTATTTATATAGACTACAATATTATATCTTACCTAATCCCGAAATTCTCGTCAGCGGAATGCTTCCTGCAAATAAAAATTAAATTAAAAACAAGTCCAGGCATTGTAGTGGGAACACAAAATCACTCCTCAGAGTGAATTTTTTGTATTTGACAACACATGCTTGGTTTTAATAATTTTGACGACTTTCATAATTACGTTTTTAATTATTTTTTTCTACACACATGTAACTAAACACCGATACTAACATCAATTAACATGTGCATAACTAACATATAACATGCCTCTAAGTTGTGCATTGCTGGTTTTTGAAAACGTCTTCCAAGCGTCAAAGCACACCCTATCTACTATTCATGGACGACAATTATTTTTTGAAATATTCTTTTTTAGAAACCTGTATAATTCTTGACTGGGTAAAAGCAGTCTAGCTCTTCCAGACCTACTGTAGCGGCCACCCGAAAACCTAAATGAAGGCAATAAACCTAACCGAGCCAATGAGCCAATATGACGCTTTACGAATTTTTCACGCTTTACATCAAGATCATCTTCATCTGTAACAGACGCAAATTCCGGAAAAATAGTAATAGAAAAAATAACTTTTAATTAATTTATATAATTTTTCTACATACCAACTGATCTTTTATCATCGTTGTCGTTCTCGTAATCTTCTGGTAGTGAAATATCATTACGATCAAGGACATCGGGAAGAGAAAAGATGGATCTCTTATTTCTCATGTTGCCGTTTGTTTCGATGTAAATTGGTCTATATAGTCCATGTGCTGGCATCCCAACAGCACCCCGCTTAAGATACCAGTTACCATCGTAATCCATTTTAGTATTTAATGAATCAGGAAAAAATCCAACATCGCTACGTTTAAAAACCTGTGAGAGTGGCGGCAGCATTTCAGGATTTATGGATTGTTGAAAATCATACACTTCATTGAAATCAAGTGGACCGTCCATTTCAGTTAATGGCGGAACGGGGTTTTGGTAAAATGGAAAATAGTATTCATCACCCATTATTTCATCCTTCTTGTGAATTAAGCCGTTTCGTGCAAGTGCAGCAATGTTACGTTTCTCATTCGACTGGCTGTATTGCCCTCGTCCAAAACGGTAACCATCTCTCGCAAGTGATTGTACGTTTCGTTTCATTGCCGAATAGCTCCGAAGACGCGCAATAGAAGCCAGGTTCCTTTTCTCTTGCACTTCTTCATCATCTTGCTCCTGTTTGTCAGTTTCATCGTAAGGCGATCTAAATGTTGGAAGCTGACCATTTTTAGCCAGCGTTGAAATGCTTCTCTTAAAACCAGATGCCATACTCTTGAGATATCCATCTCTAGCTAGGGCTGCGATATTTCTTCGTGGAAATGTAGGCCAAGTATTCTTGGATGCATCAGAAGGTAAACCCACCACCTTTTAAAAAAATAACATAATTTGTTTCAACGTCTCTAAATTATCTTATACAATTTCTTACCTGTACATGTAAATTTTCTTACCTGTTCTACATAGAGGCAGTAAAACAAAGCCAGTGTTATAATAGTAAATAACCATCTACTATGGTTTTTATTATTTATACGGCTTCCACGCTTCATCTAAAATATGATAAAGATTTTATATAATTTCTTAAAAATTATTTATTATTATAGCTGCATAATATTTCTGATATTAAACTGTTTTTCTTCCCTCAGCATGAAGCTTTTAAATGTTTCAATGTAATTACGGTTTAAGGAATAACTAATTACTCCATATAAGAGCAACATAATTGCATTATACACTGAAGTAACTATAGAAATGAACAATAAAGCTTCATTTAACGTCTACATTAAACAAGAAAATTAAATTTTCTCTCCGCTTAAGATTTAATTTCCTCGTAATGAAGTCTGTTTTACCCGTGCCGCATATACGAGTATGACAATCATATTATTCTACGTAAGGCTAGTGAATGTATGATACTAATATTAGATTTTTGATGCCTTTATATTCTAAACATTTGCAAATAAATGTATGTGAAAAAAGACATCATTATAGAAAACAGAAAAATACATTTTAATTATTCTTAACTTAGTCAACGTAATTTTTTTTCTTAATACTTGATAGCATGCCAAATACTTGATAGGTTTTCCGAATTCGAACATTAAAGTTATAAAAAATTGAGTTAAAATAAATATTTCAAATATATACGGCTTTCATAGAATAGACTTACTAAACCTTATAACTTTATGTAAAATTTTGAAATTGAAAAGAAAAAGCAATACATACATTTTTAAATTTATAAAATATATAATATAATTTTTAAGTAAATATTTTACTGGATACGAAAGATAATTAATGCAAATCGTTTTTATTTATTGTTGAAAAAATAGAAACCAAATATTTTAGCGATTTCTAAATAAGAAGATTTATAATAAGTTAATCTTTGCAATTAAAATGCCTTTTTACACGGAAAGTGTTTTGTGATTTTATAATAAAGATTTCTGAAATTGTAATTTTTTTTATTAAAATTATCTTAATATTTTTCCACCCAAAACTAGTTTAAATCAATCATAACATCGCATCTAATTTCCGAACCACTTTAAAATATTTATGCCACATAAATCATAATCTTTTCCATACTTCTAAAATATATACCCAAGTTAAAAATACCGGTGAAATAATTGAAGTACTTTGAATGAATAAAAATATGGAATAAGTTACTTAATACTTACTCTAACAAGTATAATCCACTTCCACACACTACAAAACTTTTTGCTGTATATTTTTTTAGTGGCTGAAGCTCAATCGTCTTGGCGGGAATGTAGCTAATTCCCTAGCACAGAGGTTTTATACCCTATCCGTAACATTTAGGGCGCAAGCGTGTACGGAGGCCCACCCATGAAAAATCGGATACAGTACAATTTAACCTTTATCCTCATACAATTAAGAACTTTCACTAATAGTACACAATTTGGAGATATGTACACGGGGTGGAGTTTTCCAGGTACAAGGTGCATATTGCACTTAAATTGATGAGCTCTTATTTTCCAGGGTCTATTTAAATTAAAAGCAAAATGCTATTGCTTTATAAGGTCATGTTATGTGGAAGGCTTCGTTTTGTAAGGCAATAAGTCCTTCCTTTATTTTTAGATAAAATTCAGGGTCATATAAATATTTAAAAATATATTTTTATTGTAATAGCTATATGTATTGCATATACATACATACATATACTAAAGCATTTTTAGTCTTGTGTTTATTATTTTAAATTGTAAAGCAGAACTAGTCTATACTATTTATAAAAAAATGTTTATAGTCATAGTTAAACTTTAGTAGAACGAATTTCTGCTTTCTTTATCTGACTGTCATGTTTTAACATGACGTGTAAGCTTTTTTCAAATCTTGGAATTCAAAGAGCAACAATAAAATTTGGAGTTTTTTGTTTAGTTAACTTATAAGCCAAAAACGTTTTTAACTTTTTATTACTATTATTTTTCGTATTAATTAAAGAATGAATTTAGATGTTTTCTAGAATGAAGATTCTTAGAATGAAGAACCGCTCGAGATTAGAGATATAGTTTGGAAGTATAGTAACTCTATATAAAATACTATATTTAATTTAATAAATAATATAATATGGTATTAAATTACTAGGAATAAACGTTTTGTATAAATATATTAAGTATATAATTTTGTGTGTTAATTAAGAATTTTTTTAAAATATTGAATCAAAATTCCTTGGAAATAAACATAAATCTTTAAGTGTAGAATATTTTTTATTGAATAAAGTTTTATTTCTATTTTCAACCATTTTTGTAAATAAAAGTTCAAAAAATATTTTTTTCCTATGCCTTAGTAATTGTTGATGAGTAAATAATATACTTGTCGAATCTACGAATATAGTAAATCACAACTAATTTGACGCTCTGGGTATAAGAACGTTAACTTAGATACTTAGATTTCATATTAACTTAATTTGAAATATAAAACTTGCATTAGAAATCTACTTAATATTAGAGGAATTTAAGAAGAAATATTTCTTTAGAGGTTTAATTTCAGGGAAAAGTCGTGCCTCAACATTCTCAAATTAAGAATATCTAAAATCTCTTTAAAATAAATAATCGCATTTAATACGGAGATGAAATATTTATTTTGAATTGGATATTTTATTTTCTATAGATCCATTTTAACATTCCAAATAAAATTGAGTAATATTCCTTATTTTTCTGTTACTTACGATCCTAAAGAAACTTTCACTTCTATTATTAAGGGAAACTATACGATAAACTTTATTTTCCACAAAACTAGTACTTAAACGTTGATGTTTATCTTTTATTCATGACATGTGAGAGCCATCGCTTGCTGAGAGTGTGACAATAACAACTGTATTAAATATATATACACATATCTTTAAAACAGTTTTGTTATATGCTATAGACTTATATACAGGGTGACTGGTGAATTACTATCAATATTTAAGGAGAATACTCGGTACATGATTCTCATTCGAATTATGTAAAAAAAGAGGTACTTAATTTTTGACCAAATTTCCGTATAAATAAATAAAGTGGAGACACGTTCCAAGTGTTCCAAGTGTGGACGCGTGCGGCGGCGTGCTGATACAACACCACGCCGCCGCGCGCGAGTGTGTGTGTGTGTGTGTGTATACCTAATCTGTAGGGTGTTCACACGATGCGTAATTAATTACATAACTTTTGGTTAACTTTACTTAGAAGTTTATTAATATTTATGTTATATTAATTTTTATTTTGTCATATATGATTGTCAAATATCACGTCCTCAAGTATCGATAGTAATTCACCAGTCACCCTGTATAGTAATAGCTTATTTGCTTGTTTTCTTCATATATTTCTTTATTTTCATACAATAAAAATGATTTATCAAAATCCCCTACATTCTATCTAGAAAGTGAGATTAACTTAATACCATATTCTTCCACTGATTATATTTTATATCACTTGCAGTGAGAGCTCGAGCGTCGACTGTATAATTTGATGCAAAGGGAGCACTTAGAGTTATATTTCAAGTAATATGAGCCTTTCAACATTAAATGATGTAATAAAATACTTGCAGATAAATCTTAAATATTACCAGAAATATTAGAAATATAAAAATTTTAAAAAAAGACCTATTATTTAACATCAAAAATTAACAAAACTTTTAAAATAAAAACAATGTTATTTTTAATTATACTTTATTACATATAAAAAAGTTTAATCACAAACACTGGACGGAATTGTGAGATAAATATACACTTAAATGTATGTAAAAAAATATCAGAAATACTAACGCTTGCTTATACTTACATATAAAAATAATCTTATTCTAATTATAGAAGTATGAAAGAATTTTTTTAAGTCATTGTATATAAAATATTAAGAAATGTGTTACAATCATTATAACCACTATTACATTTCATTACAGAAAAATGTCATCACAAATAACAATCTATACCGATTTGGGTATATCATTAAGAATAGGTATATATTATTTTCGAATAGTTGAAGTAATCTTCCTAAAAAAAATTATATCGAAGAACGTGATGTAGAGACAAAAGTAGAAAAACCAGCAAACTGTGCTTTGTGTTGGCATAATCATTAATTAATATAGCAAATAGGATTGTATCCAAACAACATTATGAAAAATCCCCTTTTTTATCACAAAATACCAGTCAGCAGAAAGTAGAATGTATAATTTTCACTGGCAGATTGCTTAAATCTAACAACAATGAAACAGGGAATACTAAATTAGACTACCACTATTATTTTTTCTTTACTACATAATTAAGCAATGAACAATAAAGGTTCGCCACACAGACGAAGTCGCGGTCACAGCTTATATTTGATCAATTTACATCTCATACATGATGTACAAGATTTTCATTATAATAACGTTAAGATGTTTAGTATACCTCATATTACAAATTATTTTTTCCAGGAGGCTCGTATTGTCATTAGGTTTACCCACATCATAAAAAAATTATCAATGAATGTTTTGAACATATGCACGTAAAAATATGTTCTAACAATTCTGTTAACTATTAAATAAACTTATCAAAAAAACTACGAAAAAAGTGAAATTAATAAAAAATAAACCCAAATTTTAAATACCTCTATTTAAATTTATTTCGACTTATACGCTAGTTTCAAACTGTCCCGATTTCAAATCGCTCAGTTTACTTTCAACCAAATAAAGATCGTTAATTCTCTCCAGAGTGTTTATTTCTGATGGCGCGTCATTCGACACTCCCAAATCTCCGACATCGTCGACACTAATGTCCCAAACGCGGTCAAATTTCATAGTACTCTTATTACTTAAATAACGAGACTTCTCCGTGAAAACTGTTGAATTTAAGCTCCTTTTTGATGCCGTTATGTTGCACATTAAATCGTTTATCTGGTTCAGGACATCTGAAAATAAATATTATTATGATTAAAATAGGAATTAATCACTAAACAATATTATTATTTCTATATAAGAAGTCGTTATCCAAAGTCTTGACAAATATTAGCTTATTACAGTAACCTCATAACATTCAACATTTAACTGAAGATTATTTTAATTTAATGCTTAATTATTCCAAATTCAAAACATAACATCATTACAATTTTATTTTTATTCATTATCTATTACAAGACGTATATTTACAAAAGTAAATCCGGATGATAAAAATTATCACATTAAATAAATATAACTATAATAAATTACGATTTCATTTAACTTGAAAATAAATATGAAAATTGTATTATGGTTGGTTGTTAGTTTTAAATATGGCTTACATCCGTTTAAAAACGTGCACAGTATATTCTGCAAGTTTCGTAGAAAAAAACAAATAGTCACCTGTAATTTGCAAGCTATTGTCCTCAATCATACTTTCCCTTTCCGAAATGTTTTTTTCCGTATCATTCCATTTCTGTTCTAGATCTATAGGCACAACCTTACTGAGTACAGCCTTTCTTAAAGAACGTGTTTTTAAAGGTGTCTGATACAGTATAGAAGCTTCTCGATTTATTTTTATGTCAGATATATTGCATATTTGGTCCAATTGTACTGAGAAACTCAGTTCATTATTCGTTCTAGCCTTCATATGTTTTGTTAGAACAGCTAACGGAAATTTTCCTGTGGAAGATCTTAAATTTGTTCTTGCAAATATACTTCTAGTCATATTATTGATTTTTCTCGGTGATGCAACGTAAGTATTTCCATTCAGTATAGTCTGAGTGATGTCTTTCATTTCTGGTTCATCGTAAAATTCGTTTTCTGATGGATTTAATATATTATTTATACTTTTGACTAATTTGTAGAGCAGTTTCAATCTCTTTACAAGCTGTCCAAATGAAGCATTTTTGTTTTGTGTCTTTTTCACGTTGTACTTATGATCGTCCGCTTGACAGAATAAGTTGCTCACGATTTTGCATTCCATTTGAACTGAAATATATTTCAAGACATACATCAAAACATCTTAGATTTTTTTTTAAGAATTCACATAAAAGCTATTTGCTGGCCATTCTCTAGATTATTAAAATAAATTTGGTACTGAAATTCCCTATTACAGTTTTATGACTATGTTTGGATATATGTTTACTTCTCTTACATGCAAAAACTTCAAGGATTTTGGCGAAACTTTAATGTAATTTATCACATCACGGTTTTATTTTGTATGCAGTACTATACACGATCGATAGATGTCGCTATCATTAGTGAGCTTAGTTACCATATCTAATAATAACTGTTTTAGTAATTTTTATACATTGTTTTCTGAGTTAAATTCTAAAGTTGCCTTGGAAGAAGTTACGGGTAAAAACTTGTAATTTCTATAAATATATTATAAATGTTTTAAACTATATAACATTAATAAATATTTGTTTCGTCTAATATAGCAAATTATTGTTCTGAATGTAGAATCGCCTATTATAAAATATATAATTAATACCTTTATTCAAATCTCGTAACAAAGGCGTCAAAAGTTCATGAGAGCTCAATGCATCCGGTTCAAACTGTTTGTATACATTGAAGAACTCATACACAACACAGCCCATGTTGATCACTGTACAGGTCTTTGCATTATTATATGCACTGTCTTTAGTTATTTCCTGAATTTTCTGATGCATCATTTGTTTAACTTTCTGGAAAAATTGTTTACAAAAAAGTAACTATAACTTTAATACTCTATCAAATATGTATTAACTCCTTGGTGTAAAAATAGCCAATATTCTAATAAACCAAATAAATAATACCATCACCTACTTTAGCAAGTATTAGCACAGTAAAAAGTTGTTCTATTTTTAGATCAAAACTATTAAACTCATTCACACCCATCCCTACGTTAGCTTAAATTAGACACTAAAAATTACAGAACATGATCCATATTAGGTAACAAAATAAGATTGCTTAAATGAAATTACGTTTCATATTATATGCTTACATCGGCAAAAGCTGCGGGATCAACAATTAAAAATATCCCATCCCTTATTTGTTTGACCTCTTGATTCCAAATATCAATAAGTATTGATGAGTGAAGACTCTTTGATGACGTCATCACCGCCGGTACTAAATGTGGGTCCAATGCTTCTAGACTCGCAAGGCCACTTCGTAAAGATAGTATTCCTGAAATTTGTTAAAATATTTTTTGTTTTTATAACAAAATATATTACGTAGTTTCGGAAACTTGGCAAAGATATAAATATATGTGAATTACAGAAAATGAATTTGAATATAGTACTTTAACTAAGGAAAGCAAATGTGATTGTATTTAATGAACTCAAATAAGTTATTTTGAAAAACAAATACATATTCATCCCGACACATTTGTATATAAGTAAAAATAAACTTAATGTTACATATTTCTAATACTAAAATTAATTCACAATTGGCATTTCTTTGAGAAAAGGTTCGATAATAAGTTATGGAACAAGTACAAATAGAAATGAAATGTTATCGGATTTACTACGCGTTTTTTATTATATTCAGTTACGTTGTATTAGTTTAGTTACTTTGTATTAGTTAATACAAAGTACCTCACCCGAAACTTCGTGAGTATTTAATTTAAAAAACGCGTAGTAAATCGGAAAAACAAAAGTTTAAATTAAACACTTAAATATTATAAAATTCTCACTTCTCTGATCCGAAGAACACGACATAGCAAATGATCCAATGTTCAGCAGTCTTTCATTATGCAAATCAAATTCCTTAATAACTTTGCAATTATCCACAACATTACTATCATTACAACACATACATGTTCCTGAACTGACATCAAAATGCTCTTTCAACATGTTTGCTGGTGACACACTTTGACTAAAACAATGAACAACTAATGCCAGCAAGGCGGTATTTGTGTTTGTTTCCAATACATACAAAACATCCTTAAATACATCAATCAGTACATTAATATTAGATGGATTTATTGGTAGCTTCAGTGTTTCAGGTGTAGCCTTGACAGTATTTAGATCTCCCTCAATAAGGTAACTCAGAAGTGCATTTGTTTCTCTCATCACCTAAAAACATTATTTATAAAAAAAAAAAACATATTTCTATACAATTTACTTCTTCTTAGTATGGACAGAATAATGGTAAATAAATAGTCCAAACTTGTAAATTTTTACTAACATGTTAAAAAAAATATAAAGGAATAAAAGACCTTTTTCATGAAGACATGTTTGAATGATTTGAATATTCCAAAAAACAAGAAAAAATATCATGAATTATGAATATGATATGAGTAATATATGAAAATAAATTACATATTCAAAAAAAAAGTTGAAGTTTAAGAATGTGTTACATCAAGAAAACATAAATTTTCTAAATAAAACTTTCAAGGCCTTGCTATAAAAGACATTATATGTTATGCTGCATAAGAAATACTAGATACAAAAAAATACAGCAAAGCAAAGAATGTTTCTCATATATATATGTATTATATATGTACAATATTTACCACTTGGCAATGAGCTTTAACCACAGGTTGGTCGTCAGGCAAACAGTATTTGCAGAGAGTTAATGCGGACAACAAAAGTTCATCTATAGATGTGTGAAGACTCAACACACATTCAACAATCTGTAATACAAAAATCATAATATTAATTTTAATACTTTCTTAGATCCTAAACTATCATGAAATAGGTAAAAAATAGTACATTAATGAATAAATCTGCTTCTAACTTTTAAAACTAGTTATAGAAACTTCAATATATAAAATTTTGAATATATTTTCTAACATAAGCAATTCAGCAAAAACAAAAAGACAATTGTTTTTTTTCATAGATAGTTTGAAATACATATTATGTTAAAGAATTAGGTAAATCTTTTAGATAAGTAATTATACCATGAGAAAGCATAATTTTAATAAAAAACTATAACTTACTTCATTCTTCCATTTCTTGTATTCTTCTTCGTCATCCTTAACATCTGTTTTATAGACAATGCTAGATAATTTGTTGAGGACCTCAAATGTTTGATCAATCCAATTTACAAAATACATAGTTATAGCTAGTATAGGGTAATTGGGATCAATATCATCATTAGGTGTGTTTAATAAGGCTTCAATTGATAATAATTTATTATAACACCATGTCAGCCTTTCCAATGTACAGTTACGACTTTCCTAAGAGAAAAGAATTATTATAAAATATAACAAATATTTTTCTAATATTTGAACTAATAAATATATTATATACCATAAGTCTCTGTTAATAGTTTTTTAATGTTTTAAATAAAATCTCTATATACACACTGTATAATTTATAAATAACAAACATACCTGTAGATAAAGTTTTTTATCACTTTCCAATTTCACAACATGTATCAAAGTCATAACAGACTTCTTTATTTGGTCTAAACACAAAGTGTAAACATTGCTTATTTGAATTGCATATTCTTCAGGCAAAGCATCAGATGTATCATTATTTAATTTGTTACCGATTCGTTTTATTAAGGGATATATATGGTGAAGAAGAATTTCCTGAAACGATAATCAAAATTAAATAATTACTAACGAACATAAATAAATAATCTTTATCTTTTTACTTTACCACAATAAACTTTATTGCTCTTAAACAATCTTTCGGCATTTTCATAAAATCGACGTCTGTTATTAAACCATTTTCTTTCATTTTTAGTTTTATAGTATATTTAACAGAAATTCTAAATGGAAAAATTAAAATACGAAGAACTCTAAAAACTCTAGCTAATAAATTTAAAAAATAACGATACTTAAATGACATTGACAATAGACGTCAACATTTTTCTCAGAATAACAGAACCTGTTTTAAATATATTAAATTTACAAATATCAATAAAAAATTAAATAGTGGTATTTCTTAGTACTAATTACTCCTCACATATTGTAAATCTATAACTTTATATCAAAATATTTTTCTCATTTGAATCTTGTTAAAAATATTTTGTAATACTATTTCATTAACTGAAGGAGTTTGTGAAAAGGAAAAAAGAGATATTTTGTTATTTATTGTACAATGTAACAATATTACATTTTGATGAAATATGTATTCTTAAATTATAAAAGATTCAAGATATATCTGCATAAAATAATTATATGGTTGGCTTAGTTTTCAAACAAGATATTTCAACGCTACGTCCTCTAAAAATTAAAAGTTTAAATCATATTATATTGAAAATTATATGAGATACAAGTACATGAACTTTGTATAATTAATAATTATGAACGACCCGATGGAAACTGTGATGTCATTATAACAATTTTGTTATCTGTCACTTATTTGCAATTTGCATTTCTGATTCTACGAGATTTGATAGATCGAGATCCATTGAACTCTTTATTTGTGAGAAACAAACAGTGAGATTTTAGAAAGTACATAATAATGAGTGAATTAGTTTGGGGTATTAAAAATGGTGATATTGATCAAGTTAAAGATATTGTTGAAAAAAATGTAAGTCGGTCCGGTATAAATAATATTAATATTTCCTTAGACGATAATCAATCCAACTTAGAAGTTATTATTTAAGTAGTTTTCCTTTTATTTGTAATGTGAATTTAGTTATAAACAAATAAACATTCATCAATTTAAAAACGGAATAATTATTCAGATAGAATAAAATTTGCCACGACTTTTTTTTACAGAAAATTGATGTGAATGCATTAATTGACGGCAGAGTGCCCCTTCATTATGCCGCAGATTACGGCCAGACAGCTGTTGTGAACTACTTGCTAGACAAAGGAGCCGATCCCAATGTAATTAATCTAATAATAAAAAATAATCTCTTTATATAATATGTTACTTTGGAAGCATAATCTTTGAAATTATGACATAATTACAATCCTCGAATTTTAACACGTAAATTTTGTATGAAATTTATTCTTTATAGATGGTAGACAAGCATGGCATCTCTGTAATTCTGGCAGCTATATGGGAAGGGCATACAGACTGTGTGAAAACACTATTAAAACATGTGAGTATTATAAACTCTTAAATAAAAATTCTATGAGACTGCATTTCACTTTTCTCAGAACATAATATTAAGTAAAATATTACAATTTTATGACAGGGAGCATCCAAAAATGGGAAAACACCGGATGGTACACCATATATTGAAGCAGCAGAAAAAGAAGAGATCAAGGAATTACTTACATAAAACGCTAAACATAGAAGTCACTCACATATTGTTTTTTTTTAAGCTGAAAAATATTAGATAAAAGTAATATTCACGATATTTACATACATGTCTTAATTTATATTGCAATCATTTATTTTTATAAGAACAACAAATGATAAATAACTTCTGTATTGTGATTGTGTCCATTAGTATTATTTGTTTTCTATTATTAACAAATAAATTAAGTCATTATAACTAACAAATGCACAGATGATTTTTGAAATGCATTTAACGATTCCATTTTTCATGCATTTCGTTAAACTTTAAGGGCCTATAAATTATTTTATATTACAGAGATGGCAATATATAGGATTTTTAATGCTAAAATAAAAAAAAATGTGATATCAATGGTTTTTTTATTTATCACCAGTAACAAACAACTATGTTATTTAATGAAAAATATTAAAAACTACTTGGTGTAGAAAAAATACAACACAACACAAATAAATTATTAAATATATGATTGTCCTACAAACTATAGTTCATCATTTCCTGTAGTATACTTCTTATATTTGTTTTTGGCCGGAGGACAATAGCATGCATTCTTCTGGGCATCTAAATAGGACTTACAACCTAGAGTTAAAGTTCCTGTAAAAAGTAGTTTTGCTGCACCTTTACAACCTGAAATAAATTATAATATATGTAATTGTTATTGAAATATATGTATTAATTTAAGACCCCTTTAATTACCTTTGGTAATAGCATCGCCGGCGACATTCACAGATTTATAAGTATCACAGTAATTGTATAAACATCTCTTGAATTCTAAATCACAAGCCTCTTTACCACTATTGCAGGTGTCGTAACAAATGTCATGTGCATCACAGCACCTGGTCATTTGCTCTATTGGCAAATAATCTGATGATATTTCAAAACCAAGCGAGCCGCAACCATCAGATTTTGGTACATGATTTCTGTTTCTCACAGGTTTATGTCCTGAAATAAATAAAAAATGAAGAATGTACATATAAATATGTTGAAAAAATTATCAATAAATACCTTCTGGACACGTGAATATACAGTCTTCTTCTACAGCAGCATCGAAAACATCATGAAGAGATTTAAATTTCTCAGCCACCGTAATCACATTTCGAAATACATCACCAAATACTGATTCCGCAGACAAGACTGCATCCTTGAGATTTCTCAACATGGTAGAACCGATGCCCGTGTAAGCGTAGGCGGCAAAGGTGAGAATATAAATAAAAATCTTTCTGTATGGGATATCCATTTTCAAAATTTCTTAGCAATGTTTTCGTCTTAGTCATATCTTAAAAACTGGGCTCATGCCTGACGTGGATATATCTGATCGGTCAATATATTCACTTGTTGCATACCTATTTTATTTTATGTTTATATTTTATTCCTAATTCGGTCTAGTTTGATAGAAATGTCATATGATTGTCATAACTCATAAGTCAGTTCATAAAAGGCACAGATGTTAGGTACTAAGATAGGTATCTACATAATATTTGGGAACACAAGAAGTCAATATCAGTATAAGTACAATTTAAAACAACTCGGACAGTATTAAAATAGTACATAGGTCATACGAGATGCTCCATATGATCCTTACTCTTCATTTAAATATTTAAATTTTACAAGTAAAAAAACTTGTCAATACATAAAACCAAATTTCCAAAAAACTACCTTCTAACAAAAGTTTCTGACAACAATTTTTAATGTGTATTTTATCTAATATTTTTTAAGTTTTTAATTACGATTGCTTCTATCTTACGTATCCACATTTATTCTATTATTGATTTTATATTTTTCAATAAAATGAAACATCATATCTCTCTTAATTTTTCTCAATCCAGAATTCCTGTTTAAAACTGATTTTACTTATCAATGTAATTAAATTAAAAAAATATGAAGGTCACAAAGATAATTTAAAAAATTGTATTCTTTTCTGAGATAATTAGTTTTCCAATATGTTGGTGAAGAAATAACAAGTTAAATATTTATAATTCAATTATATTTTATATTATTCAAAAGATATTTTGTAATATTTTAATATAATTAAATAATTCTTTTCATAAATAATTCAAAATGAAATAGTTTTCAAAATTCTTACAACTTGAACGCAACATTGCAACACCCAATTAAATATCCGGTGGCCATGTTAGTTTAAAAAGTGAGCCTTTTCCGTTTTGTTGTCGTGAAAATGACGGGTTTTAGTAATAAGGTGAGATTAAAATATTGGAATATTCTTTAAATATCGCAACAAGAACTAAAATTAAGTTGTAAATATCAAGACGGGTTTATTTTTAATGTGCAATTTATTAATTAAAGTGTTGAATGTTAAATATTTCTTATTTTTTCGCATGTACACGTGCTATGCCTGTAGTGTATTGTGATTAACTTTAGGTTCATGTGGTATTAAGTGATTATAGCTATTGTTATGTTTTCTAACGTTGTATTTATATATTCGCTACTTTTCTGCAATAATTATTGATAACTTGATAGTGTTGAACTAGACAATGTTGAGGTTATGTTTAGCGGTATGCTATATTATGGTGGATCTAACCTTTGCATTTTTATTTGTTCTTTTTAGGCCATTGTCATCGATGGCCGCGGCCATCTGCTCGGTCGCTTGGCCGCAGTCATCGCTAAGGTCCTTTTGGAAGGAAATAAAGTGGTTGTCGTGAGGTGTGAACAACTCAACATCTCAGGAAACTTCTTCAGGTAAACATTTTATTGCATCTGCAGTTTAATGATGCTTTTGTCTATTGAATCCAAACCACATGTAATATTTTCTATAAAACCAGCTTTTATTTAGAAATGCTTGATACCTTATTTAATATTTCCTACCCAAATACTTATATGCTATAATCCACCATTGGCACAATGTATATAACTATAATTAATTTTTGTAGAATGTTTATGGCATAAAAGAAACTGATCAATATTCAAAACTTTTCAAACAATGCCATGTAAAATATCATTGTGTTCTTAGAGATAAATTTTTTTTCGTTGGTTATTTTATCCTATTCATCAGTATTAATAAATTAGTGCACTATGAAAAAGAGTATCTATATCATGCAGTTTTATCTTTTATGATTTGTAAAAAAAACTATAGAAATAAGAATATAAGGGTTTCTGGTAGAGATCTCTTTTAAAAGCTAAGTTATCCTTTGTACATCACATTTCTTTAATAATACTTTATGTAACTATTTTTTCTTTTTGGTACATAAATAAAAATAAATAAATAATTTCATGAATGAAATACACTTAATATAACAATTCTAACTATAAAAATAACCAAAAAAACTTCTAGAATATATTCCAAAAAAGATATGAGTAAGGTAAAAGTTTAAGATTCAATTTCTTAAAAATGATGTTTCATTTGGGTAATTTGCGACTGAATTATCACATGTTGCTACTTTTATAATCTGATTTTTTACATTTACATTTATTTTTCATTGTTTTATGTAGAGAAATCTAAGTAACATAAAATTTCAGGAACAAGTTGAAGTTTATGTCATTTTTACGCAAACGCTGCAATGTGAACCCAGCCCGTGGGCCATTCCACTTCAGAGCACCTTCAAAGGTTCTGTGGAAAACAGTGCGAGGTAATTATTATATATATTTAATTATTAGAAAGTATAACAATTATTTTGTTGATAAATTAGGTAATTAATTTCAAGAAAAAAGTCACAATCCTATAGATATCAAAACTTAATGATTATATTATAATTTTACCTACATTATTTGACAGAGTATGATAACAACATTTTATGAAATCACACTTTGATTCATTCAAAGGTGCTTAGTGAGGAAAATTTCTAATGGTATTTGTTTGTAGGTATGATCCCACACAAGACTGAGCGCGGGAAGGACGCGTTGAGACGGTTACGTGTGTACGATGGTTGCCCACCACCATATGACAACCGTCGTCGTGTTGTCGTGCCAGCGGCTTTACGTGTGTTCTGTCTGAAACCTGGACGCAAGGTACACTATGTTTAAATTCATTACCCTAACTTCATGTACAGTTAATAGGTATCTCAAACATTTTTAACCCTACCAGTAAATGGTACAAGTTAATACCACTTAGCTATCACAAATATTTATACCAGTAAAGGGAAAATTTAGAACCTTGTCACCCCATTGTACATTTTCTCTCTTAAAGCTAAATAACTACAAGTGAAGTAGTTTCATTTAGTATCTCTACAACAAGAACATAAAATAATTAATAAATATTAAGAGTTTACAATTCTCCAATCATGAATCCTTTCTCAAAATATCCATATCTACTAATGAATGAAAATCTATAAGTGCTATGTATTTAGTTTAAGATGAAAACTGAAAGTATGGCATATGAATAGAATATGGAATACAATCACTAATAAAAAACTAATTTAGTGATGTAGAAAAATGTGATGTAGAAAAAATTCACCAGTCACCCTGTATATTGCTTTTGAAATAATTATCTGGACCATAAATTGCACTTCACATTATTTACCTAATACTTAAACTTGCAATAACTTAAAAACATGACAAATTTTAGTTTATAAAAAGATTTGTAACAAAGCATTAGCAAACCAAAATAGTTTAAATGTTTTGTGATGTATGTAAATATAACAATTTTAATTTCATAAACTAATATTAGATTTTTCATTCTTGAAATGATGTTATTATTTTGGGTAATTTGCGACTGAATCAGCATATGTTGATACATTATTATACTCTGATCTTAAACTATTGTTTCATATAACACAATTTGTTTAAACCTATATTAATATGTATATTTCTTACAGTACTGTCACGTCGGTCGTTTGTCTCACGAAGTCGGATGGAAGTACCGTGACGTTGTTCGTAAGCTTGAAGACAAGAGAAAGTTCAAGACCATACATAAAGTAGCTTATGAGAATAAACTCAAGGTTTGTATGACCAATTATATAGATATTTTAAATAATTATGAAGTTATTTGTATGCTTAATGATGATTAATATCTTACCTACATTATTTGATGTGTTATGAAAATAAAACTTATCTGATGTCAAATTTGATAAAAAAAAAAATACAATTTCTATGAACAACAATTGATAATTTATTTTATTTATTTACAGAAAATCACCAAGGAGGCTGGTGAGAAGGTTGCAAAAACAACTGCACCATTCACCGCCATCATGCAATCCTATGGATACAATTAGGACTAAGAGAATTATATAAAAAAAATAAACCTCTGGTTGCCCAAATATTGTTTTCTTTTTTTTAATCTAACTTGGACTCAATTAACATAAGTTTTAAGTGTGGAGTTTTTAGCTATTTAATTTCAAATTCATAACTAACTAATAAAATATTGAAAAAATATTGATTGCATTTTAAGTAATCGCAACGTTATCAGAAAATAAATTAACTCTAGATTACAATATATAATATTTATAAATGTATCACATGATCTATAAGCATGGTCTGGTTGTTTCCTAAAGGACGTGTATAATAAGCAATGTTTTCCGTCTATTGTTAAAAATTTTATAAGTTAAAATGTTGATTTTTACGTCTTAATTGCAGATACTAACAATTCACATCTAATTAATTATTTTAATATACCGTATATTTTGTTAAGATGTTTATACAATCGAATATTTGGCGCAGTAGAACAACTTATAAGTAATTTCAATGGTATTAAAAAAGTTAAGGTTCTTTAAATAATTCAAGGAACAGTTATTTTTATGTGAGGGTTTTGAATTGGTGATATTACAGATTTTTCAGTGATTATCATTATTCTAGCTTACTCTTTTATTAATCAACACTGTTAAAAAAAAATTATATGAACATATATACCAAGAAATAAATTAAGTCTCTATATATTTTGTTTTGTTGTGTTTTTATGAATTAAAGTGAAGGATTTCACAAAATGATTCCACAAATTGATGATGATGAATTTTGATATTAGAATTCCCTATATCTTATTCAAGAAATAAAAGGGAAATATTTTTGTTTCATCGTAAAATAAAATATTATAATAAACGTGATGTCATTAGATTCATTAAGTTAGTATGTATTAAGTCTATCTAGCAGAACGCACCTAAAACATTAAATGATCACTTTTTACTATGAGTTATAAACAAGATATTAAGAGATCGTGAATAACACGTATTATAATTTGTATGTAATCAATTGATTGAAAGGTGTAAAATTATTGAATAGAATACGCTAGGGGAATAATGCCTACATTACTCCTGTAGGGAACTTTGAGGAGTATGTGGCACTCCTTGGGATAGTCCCGGATCAAAATCTCTAAACATGATCTTTATAAATCCTTATCACCTAAGCAGCTCGATACGAGGTCGCTTGCTCATTGGATCATAACACTGGCAGAATTTCTATACCCTTAAATAAGGGTACTTCGACTACTAGTGACAACCTTACGACAGCCCTACCTGAGGAGAAGGCGTGGAATCAACTTTGACATCCTATTAACTGATCTTGAAATAATATATCTACCTATATGATTATGTAATTTTGTTAAAGAAAGCAACGAAAATTAATTAACAGGAGACTAGGAAAAAATAACGTAGTAAAAATAAGGCAAATTAAAAATATTAATCTTTTTTTTAATCATTCACCATAATTACAGATTATCTACTCATTTTGTAGATTTCTATGCCACTAATTTTTTGTGGGGTTTTGGTGTAATGGAATACCTACAATAAGCCTATAATTTGTTAGCAACATAAACTCCACGTAATAAGTAATATAAAGAAATATAATTAAATACATACCTATTAAATTTTACATTCGTATCCTTAAATTAATATTTCAGTTCTATATTTTATTAATGCGAAAGTATCAAGCGTTTTGGCTTTGGACTATTTAAATTATTAACTGAAAAATTGCACCAAACTGTAGCTTCGCCAAATCTTACACTATAGAAAAAACTATACACATACAGTATACATATAAAAACTGTTTGACGTCATCGAGTTTCAATTTACGAGACCCATATACCGCTCCAATGGATTTGATCAGATAATTATTTTGTGTGGGACAAATTTTCTTGTGCAGCTGTGACTACAGATAAAGTGTGAACGAGAAAAACCTAGCGAAACTAGTTGATTTTGATACTTTTAACATTTTATACCAAAAGTTGGTTCGATATTTAGATTATTTAAATCAAAATTTGTTCAATCATCCCAGATTATCTAAGTAATATTTCAAAGTATTTTGTTACTACTTATAGTTATTAATAAGTTATTTGTGAGAAACAAAAAATCGTATTAATTTAAACCTAATCCAGATTCTGCTAATAGGTCTCATACCTATTCATTTTTTTAAATAAAATGATAAATTTGTTTCATAATAAAAAATGTTGTAAAGACACAAAGTATTAAAGAAATTTATTCCACGTTTAAAAATCTGTCTCTTATAGTGCTTGAAATTAAATCCGTTGGACCGCTTAATAGCAGTTCATTCACAATAGTCTCCAGTTTGGTATAAATACTGGAGCTGAGGATTCACAGGCATCAGTTCAGCAAGAAGCTTCTACAGTACAGTACAAGGAAAATAATCCAAAATAGCAAAGAGTGCAGTTAATATGAATAAGTGGAGTTTTCTACTCTTACCTGTTCTTTGGCTAGTCCAGTCGGCTACATCTGAGCGCATTTTTGTAGATGGCAGGCACGAGCGATTCGATTACCCATCGCGTTCCATACTATCTGACAAAAGACTCGCCATTTCTGAACCTCGTTGCTCCGATAAAATAAATGAACTAAGATCACCTACCCGGGATGTACGACTTTCCAATAGATATGATACGTTAACCCGATCTTCGCGCTTAGATCATCGTTTGGATCATAGTGAACTTTTATCTGGTGACAGTAAAAGAGTCTTAACAAATATTCCATTCCGGTTTGGTGATTCAACACGATATAATACTGATGACAAAACTTTTCTAAGAGGTATTGAGGATTCAAAACTTCGAACAAATATAAGGTCTGATCCACATAAAATTTACGGAGGAAATCGTGCTGATCGCATACTCGATAGCTACAATGATCCCAATCCAATTAGAATGCAACGTAGTCGGGAAGGAAATATTAAACTGGAACAAGGTAATATTGTTATTTTAAGAAGCCGTAACATTCGTGATCTTAGTCGTTCGGACCTTCAGGATATAACTTTTGAAAGGAGTAACGTAAGAGAAAGTCGTACAGATGAACGCCGAAATAATAATATCGATCGTAGATTGAATGTCAATAACCAACGAAGTGAAGTGTCTGATAAAATGGAAATTAGAGACAGATATATGGTTGCCAGACTAGAGCGTGGAAGATATAAACGTTCTCCTGTTTCAAGATTAAACGAAAGAGACGAAAGGGCAAGAAACAGTGGAAGAAGATTAAAAGTGGAATCATATTCTGATCAACGCTTACAAAGACGTAGGGTTCGTGTCGATAGTTTACCAGAAAACAGACAAATCGGAACAAAAGAAGTACGATTCAATTTGAATGGAGGTAGCTCTAGATATATTTCTATTCAAAACATAGAACGATTTTTCGAACCAGATACAACTAGACAAATTAGAGACAACGGTTTATACAGACTAGATGAAGAAGATTTTGTAGATCATCTTACTCGAAATATGAGGGATAACTTTAGAATTGTAGAAAATAGTCGATTTGAGACATCCGATCGTCGAACTCAGGCTATAAGGAGAACACTAATGGAGCGCCGTGAAAGAGATGGAAGGTATAGGTTGGAAAATGAAAATCGAAGAGTTTCTGATGTAATGGAGATCAGATTAGCTAAGGAACATCATCACGAAAACATGTTAGATGAGAAACGGTATACCAGGATTATTTTATTGAATAATAAAGAGCAAACCTTAAATGACAGAGTTTATGATGAAGTAAGGGAAAGACGAAACGATAATACAAGATTAAACCGTGTACATTTTAGAAGTATTCAGACTGACAACAGAAATCGACAAAGACTGGAAAGAGATACAAACAGACGCTTGATGAGACACGAGACACGTATCAATGGAATTGTAGTTGATCTGCGGTCCAGTAGTAATTATAAGAATACACATAATGAAGACAGAGATATCCTAAGGCATACTGAGGTCGACCGACGAGACGAAAATAGAAGCAGGCAACTCAGAAACATCAGGGAAAATAGAGAAGAAAATAACAGGGATGGTATTGTAAGGCAACGCGAAAGAACTCTATCAAATATCCACAACAGAAATCGGGTGGTAAGATCTACTAGAATGATACCAGAAAGAAGCTTAGAAAGAATGGAACTTAGACTTGTGGTTTTGCCTGAAAGGGAAATCAATAACAATCAGAAAAGAATTACAGACCGTCTTGGTAAAGAAAATGGATTTAGCAGACTACGTAGCGCTAAAAGTATTACAGAAAATGATGTAGTCGGTGCTATGACTAGGGAGACAAGATATCAAGTTATTGAGGACACAGAAAGAAATAATAATAGGAATACACGTAGTAGAAACGAGATAGAAAGATTAGCCTCTAGAGACCAACGTTCATTTAATATAAGAAAATACGACGTCGAAAACGACAAGAGGATGCGAAATCGTCACGTGCGAACAGGTATGCATGTTTTACAGAGGTCACGAAGCGACGAGCGTATTTTGAGCCAACTCTACACAAGAAGAAACTTCAAGAGAATAGCAGAAGTACGAACAAGAACTATAGATGAAATGTCATTAGCAAGAATAGATAATATTAATGATTACTTCCGTTTAAATAGTCGAGCGTCAGTAGAAATTCGGGCCGTCGAAATGCCTAACATTCGGGAATTTAAGACAATTGAAAAGCGTGATAATGGACAAAGAATAATGAGAGACAGCAATAGTGTTATGGAAATGCGAGCAGGTAGTTTGAAATTCGAATTAAGAGACCAACGAAGTAGGATAACTGAACAAAATAAAGTTTTGATCAGATATAAAGAAATTACATCTGGTAGGATGCAACTCACTCGAAATGAAGATAATAACAATAGGAGAATGAGAGAGAGACGTGAAGTAAGAAGCATTAATAATAAATCGGATACTGGAGATTCCCGCCATGACGTAACAATGAGACCTTCGATTACTGTAGATCTGTCCATCAAAAGCAACAGGGATTTACAAGAATCTGTATCAGATAGACGAAGGGAAGCTAGCAGGGAATCTAAATCTTTTACTTCTAATAGGGACTTGATGACACGAGTACAAGACGAAAGGTTGGGAAGATCAAGAGACATCCGTTTAATTTCTAATTCACGGTCTGAAAGAAATTACCGTAGTCTTTCACGATCTCAAACAAATGAACGGAAGGAAGGAGTGAGAGTAGCTATTATTAGAACAGGATATGAAGTATTTAAAAACAAGAATCAGGCTGACAGTCAAATCTTTGTTATGAAATGGCAATATGTATTTTATCTGATACAAGGGGTATACATTCTTAGTGTATTTACGAAGCAAAAGAACTATTCTAATGGAATGAAGTCCAGGTGAGCATATTTATATTCTAGAATCTTCATAACAAATTCCTAACACATTTGATACATACTTGATACTATTTTTTTATTTCAGGTTTGCAAACTGTTTTCTGCCATTCCCAACTTTAAAACTTGACTAAAAACTACTTCGGCGCCCTACTCGTATATATCCGAAAAGATGTTAAAAAAATGTAACCGTTATGTTAAGAATATATGAAATGTTTATGTAATATTTAGTGAAATTAAACAAATATTATTACTATCTTTCATTTTTATTCCTTTCTAAACTACAGCGCTAAAGAATGCTTTTAAGCACTCAATAAGTAGACAGTACACTTAAGATTAATTAAAAAGATTACACTTGAGTTATATAAATGTTATAAAGAAGTTACAATAGATTATACTGGAAAAAATTTAGAGATCCAAAGTATCCAACTTTTTCTTTTGTTGTCCTTCATACCAGGCCTTCGAGATCATTCGCTTCATATCATCATCACCAGATTCATACCTTAAAATATGATAAATAATATGTTATTCATATATATAATCTACATAAAAAACCAGACTTACATATAAAGAAATCTTGAACCAAAAAATATTTAGTTTCATTAATTTTATTCTCAAATGTATGGCATATAAAATTGTATGATTTACATATCTAGAAATATGTATATAAAACAGAGCATTATATGCAAATGTTTTTAAATATATACATACAAAATTGTCGAAAATCTGTCTTTTAAATGAAACTAATATTTTTTGGACATTTACTCTGGACATTTCGGCTACTTTTCAGCAACCATGATCACAAGCAGATGAGATAGTAAATTTCACATAGAATCCAAAAAATATTAGTTTCATTTAAATAGGTATAAATTTTTTTTTATAAGTCAGTTAAAAAATATAACTTACATGTTCTTCATAAGACTCATGATTGATTCCTGTGGGTCTACATTATCCTTATCGTCTGTTTTGAATCGGTTGCTGCGTTGGTCATCAAATTTCTTCTCAATTTCTGTCATGTGCGACCACTTCACACATTGCATATCTTTTGCCAAATATACAATAACAGTGTCTAGAAAGATATTTATTTAACCATTAGTATGTTAGACTTTATAAAAATATGTTTATATGATATTATTTTTGTAATTCTTTAAAATAATTGTTCAATGATTGTCATAAAATATTGTGTATAGTAATCAAATTTTTACCATTTTTCTGTTTCCAGTAGCTATCCTCGACATTGATATTGTGAAGTAACTTGTTTATGATCAAGATGTGGTCTTTGTTATCCAGATTGTCAATGTGTAATTCCATAGATTTGTTGGTTAACTTGCAGTATACATTTTCCTTTGGCACAGTCTCGACATTTTTCAAAGTGACAAACACTTTTATAAATTTGTCATTTTGATCCCAACCTAAATTAATTGGAATAAATTAATAACTAGACAAAGAATAATAGTTATATACTTGTTTAATAAGTATGTACCATATCCATTTATTTTGACTTGGTAACGTTTCTTTGGTGCAGGAGCACTTGAAGCCGATGTTGTTGGAACTGATGCTGCTTCCATAGGCGCAGCATCTTTAGAACTCTCTTTGAGAGCAATTACTTCTGTTTCTAGTTTACGAATCTCTAGACTTAGAAGGTCTTGGACCTTCTTACGTTTTGCCTGCTTTAGCAGGTCTTTTAATTCATCAACGTCACTCTTCAACTAAAAAATTTACAAATGAATTTAAAAATAATAATTATACATTAAAACGTAGTATTCTCCCACACTAATGTTAAAAACATACCTCATTCACTTTGGAATCAGACATCGTATACCAGTGTTCAACAATATTTTTTAAAGAAATTAAAACACAAAGGACCAAGATCAATAAAATAAAGGAGTTAGATTTTGTGCAACAACGCTTTTAAGAATACGAAAGCGAAAAATTTACTTCGTATTAAGCACAATCCACATGCAACAGGGCCAGTAACAGTGTAAGTGCGGTCTTGGAGTTGCTCGAAACGAATTCGCCGTATAGCAGCTAAACTGACAACCCCATTCACCGACATTACGAGCAATTTCTAGAATATTATGAGGAAAATCGATATTGCTTAAAATTGTCTATGAACGTTATGGCCATATCAAAAAAACTTAATGTTATTGTATTAATAAAATATTTTAATAAAAGTCGATCTAAAAGAACATTTTAAGATCCCTATCACCATAACATAACATTCATGCCTTTTATATTACATGTAATATGATAATTTAAGAGACAAGATCAAGCGACCATACTTTATTAATAATATTGTGAAATTGTGTTTTCATTGTTTTGCGACTTGTTTTTATTTTTTATACACATTTTACAGTAAATAATTGAAGTATAAATATTAAAGTGTCTGTTAAAAGCATAAATATATATAAAGACAAAGTTTGAATGCATTATCGATCCGGGAACCGCCCATTCTACTCTACATATACAATTAATATGTAAAGCGATGCGTCCCTTGTTAAGAGAATTTTGTGAGCCCATCAACGCGGACATGTGGACAGTCTACGATCATAATATGAAGATAAAGTACCTACTTTTTATATAAATTGTTGTAAAAATGTAACAAATAATGTTAAATAAATGTTACACATACTACAATGAGTTACACACCCATATATTTGCCAATCCGATGTCATTGATGTTGTATTATGATAAAAAGTCAAATATTTTGACATTTCCATTCTATATTAGGTATGTGTATTGTATACAATTCAGCTTGAAGCAATCGATTGCTTGTGGCCGAACATCGATTATTCGACAATATCAATCTTCTATCTTCTATATATATATAAAAATGGATTGCTGTTCCTTAGTCTCGCTAAAACTCGAGAACGGCTAAACCGATTTGGCTAATTTTAGTCTTGAAATACTCCTGGAAGTCCAGGGAGGGTTTAAAAGGTGAGAAAAATTGGAATAATTGCCAGGAAAACCCTAAAAACAGCCCTTTTTTATTTCCCATACAAAAGTTATTTTTGACATTAGATTTGACAACTAACTAATATGTCAATCACTCTGTTTGATTGAAACAGGAAAAACCTGATTATTTATGGCCTCTTAGACGGAATAGAGTTCGCCTGGTCAGCTATACCTACATATATTACTCTTAACCAAATTAACGCGGACGAAGTCGCGGGCAATAACTAGTATATATATAAAAATGGATTGCTGTTCCTTAGTCTCGCTAAAACTCGAGAACAGCTGAACGGATTTATCTTATCTTAGTCTTGAAACGTTCGAGGAGGTTCAGGGAAGGTATAAAAGCTGAAAAAAAATTGATTCATTACTGGGAAACCATAAAAACAGCCCTTTTCTATTTCCCATACAAACGTTTTTTTTGACATTAGATTTGACAACTAACTAATATGTCAATTATTCTGTCGCACTTCAAAACACGGAGATTTATGGCTTACAGGTAAACTCCAAAAATATAAAAAAAAACGTAATAGATATTTCTTGATTATAGGGCGATACGAAGTTCGCCAGGTCTTCTAGTATAACAATATATATCAAGGAAATTGGATTCTTCATTCAAGAATAATTTTATCACATGGGGAAAATAATTAATTTTATATTTCTAATACTTATCTTTGTACTAAAAATTGTATCAATGCGATTTCAATTTTGTTATATATTTATTTTTTGTCTACCAACTTTTAACATAGTAGTCATTGCTATTCCACAATGTATAATATTATCACTTGCACCATTTTTGGATATTATTACCTGTATATGGTGGTAATATGTCCATTTCCTAAAAAATATTTTTAATTTTAAATAACGAAATATACAGGGTAAAGAAAATATCTAGAAAATAAAACCAGATTAAATTTTCTATTCCTTTATTTGTTTACATATGCACATAATATTCGATGTATTCAGAAGTTTCTATAAGATTTCAAATATCATAATTGATAAATGCTTATAAACAATGAAGAGGTTTTTGAGTATTACTTATTTTCTCACTTTAATATTGGTTGGTTAAACATTTTTTTTATAAACCACATGGCCATGTTATGTGGTTAAATTTAACATTATAGACTTTTTGTTTTTTTTTTAGCACTTTAGTTTTTTTATTATTTAAAATTTTATTTTTGTTATAATACACAGATACAGTATTTTTCAGGTGAAACCTAAAAACAACGTATAGTTTATTAAAACATTCAGACAAAATATTATGTTTTGCTTTATTAAATCAATTTCGAAATCAAAGATGACATATTTTTTTAAACTTGTTTACTACACAAAGTTCATCCGTAGATATAATTAATTAATATTATCCAAAGCAAGCAAATAATTGGATGGGATATTTAAAATGTTTTAGAACACTTTAAAATTATAAGTTTAATATAATTATACGAAATTCAATCACTTAAATCACAAAACAATATTACTAAATTATAATTACAATACATATTATGCAGTCAATGACACTATTTTGCGTACATTTATCTAACATAATTTACAAACCATACCTGAGAATCATTAGTCTTACAAGTAAAGCATACACAATACACATTCTACTAAAGGTAGTAAAAATAATTATTTATAACAGCAGTGGCAATTGCTAGCAACTTTGATATGAGGTTTTTACAAAACATAGATAATTTATATTTTTTCCTCATACACTTAAGTTACCCATAAACATTTATAATTGAGAAACTTTAAAAAATCTCCCACGTAAGTTGTTGTATTTGTCCAAAAGTGTTATTTTACAGTAGAGCGTTTCAAAGATTCAAATTAAACCAAAATCTGCATTTATTGATGCATCTTTTTAAAATTTCGTATTTAAATTTAATATAATAGTCTTCTTAATTACGTTAAAAGATATTTTAATTAATAAGCCTATTTGCGGAGATATTGTTGTTATATTGTTCATATGACATTTTACTCCGGAGTAGAAAAGGTGTTGTATCTAATACTTAGAACATGCTACCTTAGCATCACTTGTGGTGTATGATAGTTACAACTGTATATGTTGAAAAACATAAGTCTTACTCTGTTGTATGTAACTTATACGCGGAGCGAGCGCGTGATTTTACCCACCTCGTGCCCCGCGTAAACAATTGCATAGGCATATATGATATACATCACTTTAATCCGTTCGCGTTTGAAAATTACAACATTATGCGTCTAACAAATCCTTTAAAAATATTTTTTTTGATCAATAATAGGATATTTTTCATAAAAAAGCCAAATATCATATTTGTGGCATACAACAACTTACGTGGGAGGTATCAATCTGTTTAGTATAATAACTTGTGGTACAGATAAAGTTGTTATATTGAGTAATTAGTTCTTGCGATGAGCACGATTTCTTCTCATATTGGTCTGACATTGCGGACAGTACCATTTACCCTTAGGAGGAGCTGTGATACCAACGCAGGGATAGTGGAACCACTCGTAGGGACACTGGAATTAAGTTTTATTAAGTTAATATACTGATAGTAATTAAAATACTATGTATCAAAACAAAATGTTGACAGTTAAAACTCTATACTTAGTCCAAGTTTGAATCATTACAATATTTACAAAATGTTGGCTGTTTCTTATTCAATAATTAAGATTAATATTGTATAAGCCAATATTTATGAATGAAAATATATGTATGGCTATGATGCAAACTTCCACTAAGCATACAGAGACTTTTAAGGGCTTGGTACTTTAATTACATACATACAGCTGGCATGTCGTCATTTATAAATCTATGTCGAAAATTACCAGACGAAAATTTCTTAATAAAATAATATCAACTTCTTTTAAATTTGACCATGTAATCTTGTAAGGGAACAAACTAAGTTGTTTATAGATAAACAAAAAATAATATGACCTAATATAAATTCTACTATACATTCTATCTAATAAATATTTATTAGTTTAATTTTTTTTAATACTAATAGTGTACTCACGTCTTGGTTGTCACAGGCAACCATATCGCCGTACGACACTTGGTTGCAGATACAATATCGTGGTTCATTCGGATCGTATGTCCATTCTTCTTCCATGGGCTCTTCGATAGCAACATTGTTGACAACAGTGTTTATACTGTACATAAAATAACATTTATTATATTATAGTATTTAGATATTATTTTTTCTTTTCATTGTTCATTTGGACTTCAATTGGGTTGAGATTTAAATAGTAATGTAATGATGACTACTTATTCGAAATTTAGGGACATATTATATTATTCTTAAGTTTCATTGAAATAAGTAGATTGTTGAATAAAAGTAACAAATATTTAGTCATACATAAATGTTATCACATTTAAATTATTATGAGTGTAATTTGCTTCTATGAAATAAAAGAATTTATTGTTGTTAAAAAAATTTCTAGGAGACTATTCTAACACTAAGTTGCAGCATAATTAATATTATTAGTACAAGCAACAATATTTCATACATTTTGCAATATTTCCTTAAGTTCGATTAAATAGTAAATTATAATTATATATGAATGATTTACATTTTCCACTGTGAGTGTAAATATTAATATGTATAATACATAAAACATACCCAACAGTTGGCGATGATGATCGACTTGCGACTGCAGCCGTTGGTTGAGTGTGAAGAGACACGTTGCTAGAACTGTAGGAATTCTTCCTAATAAAGAAAATAAAACAAATTATAGAATATAATAATTTGTATAAAAACTAATTATGTCGCATATAGATACTTTTTAGTGAGATTTTACGAGATACAAATTTTCAAGGATAAACATTATTTTTACAAGATACAAAGATTTCAATAAGGCTAATGTTTATTTTGTGAGCAGTTTATATCAGCAGTAGAAAAGTGTATAACAAAGCAATTATAAGGTAATATATACATTATACATCTTATAAACTTACTTTTGCTTGTTATGCCGCTTGTTAGCCACAGCCGTTGTAGTGGAGTGTGCGTGAGAAGCGCTTTGAGAGTGTGAAGCTAACGCTTGACCTGAAAAGTAGCGATTTTTTTGTCATATAATAAAAATCAATATAATATATTTTTGTAAGTTTAATTTTAATAATAATTATTAATATACCGTGATCATGATGTGCGTGATGCGCTAGTTCACTAGCGACAGCCTCGTATGACGCCTTCAAAGAAGCGGTGCGACGACCTTGTTGCATCTAACAACAATAATATATTAAATAACGCATATTTCTTATGAAATATTTATATCACATTACATCGTTATATACAGGGTGACTGGTGAATTACTATCAATATTTAAGGAGAATACTCGGTACATGATTCTCATTCGAATTATGTAAAAAAAATAGGCACTTAATTTTTGACAAAATTTCCGTATAAATAAATAAAGTGTGTACACGTTCCAAGTGTTCCTAGTGTGGACGCGTGAGGCGGCGTGCTGATACAACACTACGCCGCCGCCGCGTCTGTGTGAGTGTGTGTGTATACCTAATCTGTAGGGTGTTCATACGATGCGTAATTAATTACATAACTTTTGGTTAACTTTACTTAGAAGTTTATTAATATTTATGTTATATTAATTTTTATTTTATCATATATGATCGTCAAATATCACGTCCTCAAATATCGATAGTAATTCACCAGTCACCCTGTATATAAAAATTTCGTGTCACGTGTTTGTCCGCGATGGACTCCTAAACTATTAAACCGATTTTAAATTTGATTTGCATTCCCTATGCATTTTGATCCAACTTGAAAGATAGGATAGCTTACATCTCAATTTATAGTCACAATATTATTTTATTGCAAATTATTTGTATATTAAAGAAAATTATTTTTCATTATTACAATTATCTGTTGACTGAATTAAGTATTAATAGATGGCGCTATGTTAAAAATACAAACGTCATATAAGAGCGACTATTTAATAATAGCATAACCACCACGTGTTTCTGAGGCTAAGGTATAGCCTAAATTTATTTATTAAAAAAACGTGACAGATATTTCTTGATTATAGGGCGATATGAAGTTCGTCGGATCTTCTAGTAACTTATATATTCACATTGTCAATGCCAGAACTTGCTTTGCAATATGATAGGTGTTTGTATTATTTGTTCAGAAATATAAATATTCAAAAATTTAAATTGTATTATTTGTGTACACAGAGAGCAATGAATACACCTTAAATCTATTTATATTAAAGTTAATCATTTTAATGCAAAAATATTTTTCTTAATTGTTATCAAACATCAATTCTATTAGGCAGTGCCGGCGTTAGGGCGGGGGGGGGGGGGGGGCCGCTATGGGCCGACAGCCCAGGGCGCCAAATTGGGGGGGGGGGATTAGTGGAGGTAGGTTACTTATAAATGAAAAAAAAATATCAGCTACAAAACTTGCTACTTCCACGTCGTTAGCTCTGGGTCACGATAAAGGAAAGATGGTAGATGGAATATAGAATTCTTAATACACGTTCAGTGTTCACATTGGTTCAGAAAAAAATTAATACTCGATTTTGATTTCTTCAAGTGGGCGCCAAAATATTCTTGCCCAGGGCGTCAGTCCCTCTAACGCCGGCACTGCTATTAGGTACATACATTAAGCCCAGAAATATGATTTTGATATTCATGATCAAAAGTAACTGAATAATCATAGTTTATAAGCCTACTAGGATAATTTGAAGAAGGGGACTAAGCTTAACTTAAAAAAACAAAAAAAGTATATATAAATATAAAATTATATAAATTTTACCTGTTGTGTAGCAGCAATAGCCTGACTTGCCGCTGCTGCTATAGTACTACCAGCATGACCAAGAGAATATGAATCACGACCCAATGCTGCCTGGAAATTACACATGATATATAATTCAATATTGCAAAAAAGTATATCTGGTTCTATATGAAGGCAAAGTCCTTGCTATTATTTGGTTTGTAAACATTTAAAACTTGGAAATATCTTAAGTAACATATTGGAGAGTTCACATATTAAACAGTCAAATATTGTAGACAGTGTTTCGAAGTCTTATTTATAACAATTAGTTATAGTTGGAGCTTCAATTTTTTTTTTTAAATATAAATACATTTAAACCCAAGTAATTTGAAGAATGTTTTACAGGCCAGTGTCAGATTAGAATTTATCTTATTATAGAATACTGCCTAAGAACCCTTCTAGTTTGGATTTTTTTACAAAAGAGAACCTTGTATTTTAAGAAATTACAGATTCATTGATAAAATTCTTTAATCTATATATTGAATATTTCTTCAATCTACTTTAGGTAGATTATAAATAGATTTAATTTTACACAACCATTCTTTATCTGATATATTAAAATGCACCAGTTGTCCGAAACATCATTAAAACATATAAATAATTACTTATAATATATAGTCTTCATCCTATTGAGTTGTAGTTTAATGATATATTTTATATGTACCTGTAAAGCTGTGTCAGTACGTGAATGGTTTCCGTTGCTAGTATGAGCTCTAGCATCACGGGGAGCCCAATTTGCTTCTCGTCTTTTCTCAGCACGAATACGATATCTGAAATAATTGAGTATTGAGTAAAAACATATTGATAATTAAGGAATTCCATAAGAAAATAATTTCATTATACTATAGTTTTGTTATAAAAATTAAACATTTTGAAATACTATTGTATTACTCAATACTATTGTAAACATCTGCAAAATTTATGTATACTTTTTTGGTAGTGTTTGGATGGAATATAGTTGTAATTAGATTAATCATTAATGATTTTAAAAGTGGATATACAAACATACACAAAGTCAATTCATACTATGGAATCAGTGATCTACCTCTATTTTTAAGTTAAATAAAATACATAAATAGGTTAAGTGCCGCATAATATTAATTCTAACAAACATGACTTACTTTTTGTCACATATACAGGGTGACTGGTGAATTACTATCGATACTTGAGGACGTGATATTTGACGATCATATATGACAAAATAAAAATTAATATAACATAAATATTAATAAACTTCTAAGTAAAGTTAACCAGAAGTTGTGTAATTAATTACGCATCGTGTGAACACCCTACAGATTAGGTATACACACACACACACACACACATACGCGTGTGGCGGCGTGGTGTTGTATCAGCACGCCGCCGCACGCGTCCACACTTGGAACACTTGGAACGTGTCCACATTTTATTTATTTATACGGAAATTTGATCAAAAATTAAGTACCTATTTTTTTTACATAATTCGAATGAGAATCATGTACCGAGTATTCTCCTTAAATATTGATAGTAATTCACCAGTCACCCTGTGTATGTTTATTGACTAGAATTTTATGAAAAAAAGTTTATATTTACAAAACTTACTTGTTATCCTTGTAATGATTATTGTTAGATGTGGACGTATGATTTATATTTGTATCAAGATCCAAGGATCTTTTTTCAAGTAATTCCGTTATTCCTTTATTATCTGCTTCCAGTTCACACTTGAATTTATGAAGTTCAGTATCTGTTGGCAATAGATTGAACTGCATGGGTATCGAGATATAACTAACAAACATGCTTATATTATCTATATATGTATCCATTTTAAAAGAAAATACTATAAATTGAGAAACTATTCTAACTATAGGAATTCATTGATATTATTCTTATTTGAAACTGTATAATAGAACTTAACAAAAGAAAAGTTACGTTATTAAAACAAAAGAAATAAATTCTTACCCAGTCTCCGTAAATATCTATCCACCAAGTCATACATCTGGTTTGCTAATGTGACTTTTTCATCTGCCTCTTCAAGTGTTTTGTTATAACCCCGTTTAATATCAGAAAATTCTGTGTTTGCTTGATCAGTATTAACTTCACCTCGGCGGCAACTACCAAAAAGTGTGCGAACACGTTTTTCTAATGTGTCCATGTTATCTAAAGGAAAAAGGTCAATATAACAAGATATATTTGTTTCATCTGAAGTATAGTTTAAAATGTTATATTTATGTGTCCAATATTATTCAGTAAAAGTATTCATAATTGCCGTAAACAGCAATAACTAATTGCTAATAGTAATATACTTACTTTGTACGGATAAATCCATTTCTCGCATTTCTGTAAACCTATCTCTTAATTCTTGAGGTAGATGTTCTATCACTAGAAATAAAATAATTAATTTTTATAAATGTTAATACACACTTCATTATAAAACAATGTACGAAAATTTTAACATAGACGGCATGAAAGTTATCTTCAGAATAAAATGTATTAATGTAATCTTCAAACTTCCCGGCAAAAGAAATAAATATTTCAATAGTGCCAACCGACGATCGTAATGGCGACTCAACAATAATTGTCAAAGAGAAACAGAAGGACTTACTTTCCAGATAATCTTCAAGATATAACATTTTGGTAAGTTGTTTTTTAATAAACAGTGAGTTAAACAATTGTTGAAGCACTATTAAGAATTAGAACAGCTTTATTATTTGAAAAGAGCAATATATAAGAGAAAGATGACGTGTACACGTAACCAATGTGGTAATAGTGAATACTGAAATATCAGTTTAGTGAACTAGTGTTGCACTGTTTACGTTAATATTAATATTGTCGATAAAAATAAAGTAAGCTGTGTTATAATTGTCCTAAAATTTAATTTCGTTTAGTGTTTAGTATAGAGATATAGATTTTTTTTGTAATTAATTCTTAAGTATATTTAATATCTGGAACCCTTTTGTCCATAAGGTTCCTCCGGTAGTTTCTAATAATTAAAATAATATTTTGTGGTTTGATGAAATAATAGTAGTTTTATTGATTTTTTATATTAACATATATGTTACTGATTTTGGTAAGAACTAGTAAAAAGTCGATATGTGTTCGTAACATCACTATGACAGTGTACCAACTGCTTAAATTATTTGTGTACGTTCAAAAATTTTGTTACAGATTATAAAATGATTCGAAGACCTTTAACAGAAATAACCCTTAAACTTGAAGATTTACAAGAATATGAAACCTATAGAAGAGAACAAGCTAATAATTCTGCCATAAGTAATGAAATGCAAGAAGATACTCCTAGATCTTTAGCTGGTGGGACAAAAACAATTGAGGAAATACACAATAGAATCGGTTACGCTCCAAAAAAGAAGCAAGGCCCCAGTACTGTATAAATTAAAATAAAACATAATTTTCTTCATATTGTATATTTTATTTCGATGTGCTTTATATTTCTTAGACTAATGTGAAGTAAACACAATGTATTCTTAGATATATCTTATACTAATAAAGCATCCTAATGATTATTAGCATATTAAGAAAATGAGTTTAAACATATTTAATGTGTTCAATATATAATAGGAATAAAGTGCAGTAGTATCTGTAGCACCCCATTTGGACATCAATACCTTAATTGAAAAAAATTTACATTAATTAAGTCTAATTTAAATTACCTATCATCTGTCGTCAATTGAATTATTTGGCTTTTATTTTCCTTGTGTTATAAAGTTTAAAAAAATAGAAATATAATAATGATAAAAGGCAAAACTATTATTGATATCAAAGTAAAATTATATAATGAGACTTAATATATTAGTACCAGAGTCTATGTAAAGTGTCAATTCAATTTGATGACTCAGGGAATCATTATCAAATATTGAAAATTTAAAATTTTAGCTTTTATTTTTTTAAAACATCGATTTTTGTATCAACAGTACAAAGATACATAAAGATTTAAACAACTATTACTTAATAGTATTAATTTTCCCCATTAACTTCATTCACTTAGTACTTAGTAGTCGTCTAAACTGAAAACTAAAAAATGTAAAAACCTATTGTTTCAATAAATTACATATTACTTATTGTTTATTTTTATAAATTATAAATCGATTTTAATTCTTTTTCGGTTACGTTCTTTTTTAATCAATGAATTGATTCTTTGCATTTGTATTAAAGTTATGAGATCCATTAATTGTAGCAAGGTTTTGTTGTTTTACTTGTCGGCGCTTTGACAGAACGCAGTAAAGTCTGAAAATAATAATTATGATATCGTTAATAAAATCATATTACTACTTAAATCTGACTTATTGAAAGTTACAGAATGTTTACCTTAGGGTGAGGAAATATAATATTTCAGCTAGACTTAGTATGGAGAAACCCAAAAAGAGTCCAAGCAGACCACCGACATTGGCTAAAAATTCTGTTTGACCATACAATTCAGATCGTCTTGAAGTAATAAATTGGGCTTCTTTGAAGAAAATCAAAACTCGGGCTACGAAAACACTGAAACAAAAAAAAATTATTCAGTAATCACATTAGTGGTGGTTTTAAATACTTTTTTGGTTACTACTTCGATGATAGAAGTAACAACAACATTATATTATCTCCTTTTACATTTTACAAAAATAATATTAAGTATTTCCTTTTCTAGCATAAATGATCTTAAATTTACCAAGGCCACAAATATTGTTATTTTTAAGGGAATATGCTGTTTCTAAATTAAATAACCACTTTAAGTAAGCGACGTTACTTCTTAATATATTTTTACTTTTGGAAATACTATCAATTATTTGGAATCAATGTTTCTGTTTTGAGTTCATTCTTACATAATGTAGCCAATATAAAAACTATTAAAGTTTTAATTTGCTTCTATAATAAAACTAGTACCATACAGACAATACTTACTCCTTATCCTGTTCTTCAATTTGTTGGCGATGAGCTCTAAATATGGATTGCCAATCGTAGTCAGCTTGTGATGTTTCCGCATCGTACTCTATTGACGTGCAAGCTTGAAGACATTTGCATTCTGCGGCTACTAGCAGCGCCTCACCAAGGGTACCGTTGTCAGCTGTATCTTTTTCCAAATTGGTTTGAATTTCTGCTGTGACCAATTCCACTGAAATAATAAGGCGTTGTTAAAGAAAATATCATTATTTTGTGTAAATATAGGGAGATTTTTTATTTTAATTTTTTTTTATGTAAAAAGTGGCAAAGGAGCGGACGGCCTACTTGATGTTTAGTAGTGAGCGTCGCCCATGACATCCGCAACATAGATGTTGCGGATGCGTTGCCATCCTTAGTTGTAGAGGAAAAGGGAGAGGTGGGAATAAGGAAATATAAGGAAAGAGTGGGAACAAGGAAAGGGCAACCGGCTCTCTCACTCATCGGACGAAACGCAGTCATTACTTTACGCCGATTTTCTGTGAGAGGGTGGTACTTCCCCGGTCGAGCCAGCCCATGTATGAGCTGTAGTAACTTAACCACAGCTGGACTCTACCACCTAAAAAATCTTTCGTTACGGTATGTTTGGAGACGAAAATTTCTTCGCATTTCATGGATTCACCGTGCGGATACCGGGTCCATTGTGTTGTGGGGAGAAGAGGTTTAACAGTGACTCGCATTTGTGACCCAGCTGTAGGTTTAAGGGGCCCCTAGTTCTAGACAGATTCAAGTCTTTAAGTAGATTATAGAGAAATTTTGGCTATTATATCCCTCGCTGCTACTTTTAAAGCGTACAAATTTTCAACAACCCTATTTTTAGTGACCTTGTTAATGAGTTCGTAATACTTGTTGATCTTGATATAGTCTTTGGGATGTTGGTTTTCATAGGAACTGTTAGCTGTTTTAACACAAGGCCAATTCAAAGTGATGTTAGATAATTGTACAAGCTTTTTTGACGTTACTGATTGGTTGGTTATTATCAGCCTTGCTAAGATCGTTTTAGAAGTTATCTAGTATTCCTTTTAAGCATGGAATACGACCTATATTATCTATCTTACAACCGAGAAATTTAAATGGAGCATTTTCCGTAACAATAGAAACAGATTGACCGCCTAACGATAATCCGAGACACAGACAGTGACATTTATTTGGTTTTGTCCTCAATCCATTCGTACACTGACAGATTTTATCCAATTTATCCAATAGTACTTGACAGTGTTTTGGGTTACGTGTCAGTAGTGCGAGATTTTCATCCAAGGCTAAAATGGATTCCGTGCAGGTATTTATTATTAAACTAGAACTGTTATCCCTATTCCATTGTTTCAAATTACGTAATTTTTTATTTTATCAAAATTATAAAGGAAAATGTTTGTAATGTACTTGTCTTTATGACCAATAACAAAATGTTGTTTTCATACTGTTTTGACAAACATGAATAGGTAATTATATCAATACTTATTAAAACTTCAAATGGCAGACCCTGTTTAAAGCTGGGAAATTGCCAGGAAGAAGAAGACTTATTAAAACTTCCATACATAACGTAACTTCTTTAATCTACTAGTTATTTTACTGGTAGGTTTGATAATTTTGGTGGATTTCAAAAAAGGTTAAGGATAATAGGTATATTTTTAAATTTTTTTGCTCACACAGAATGAATAACTTGTTTTCATTATATTTTAAATCTTGGAACTGTAAGCTTTAAATAGTGTTAAAATTTACTTACTTTGTGCTTTCTTCATGCATGCCATACTGCCGGCATTGCATACGGGAATTGTAGGGCCATCTGTAAAAAAATGAATAAATCATTTATACGTCTCAAATATAGGTATTCTTATGTATTATATTAATATGTGATAATCGGGAGTACTCACGAGGCATGCCGAAATGAACACACCCACATCTAGCGTACGTGAAGTTTGATAGACACTCTATTTCACAATTAGCCTGAGTGTAAATTTTGAAATACTGAAGGTAACGCTCAGTTGGGAAATAGCATTGACGTCTGAAATACAAATAATTGTATCAAAATATTTATTGCTTGAGTAACTTTTATTTAACTGAATATCTGTACTTCTCAATATTGTAAAACCTATTTTCTAACACAAACGAAACTTAGAATTATTCTGTAATAACGGCAATTATTAACCTTAAACCTACTACACAGGTCCAAGAAGACAACCATTAAATAAAGTAAATTGAAGTATTAATATTTCATTGTTACACTTTGTGTTTCAAACATGCATATTAGATATATACATATAAGCATATATGCATAAGGAAAATGAAGTACATAAAAATCGAGTTTTAATGTTAGTTAATATATTATTATTTTTTTTTTTCTACGAGGGGAATCTTTTAAAGACTTCCTGCCGCGGGGGAAACGCGACAGGGGCATGTGGGATTTCCACCCACTAAACCACCTCGACGTTCTCTGCGCTGTGCGTAGACTAGTGAGCGGGAACGGCAAGCCATACTTCCGCTCACTACGCACGAGTCCCGAAAGGGATTCCGCCATCGGCAGGGGCATCAGTGGCTGACCACACCACCCCTCCGACTCAAGAGCAGCGTGCCGGGAACGCCAAACACGCCGCTCTTCCTCTAGCCTATGTTACCCGGACGCCGGTTCCCCACCGACGCCCGGAGGCTTCCTCACTGGGGAGGCAGGTCGCGAGCATAAGCCCGCTGCCTTCGACCCAGCCTTCGTCGGCGCAGCGGCGCCGAGGAGGGGTCGTCTTCCCTCACTCGTTCAGCAGCCTCCTTCTGCAAGATGACTCTCTCGCTGAAGTCGGCCACCGCCTGCCCTGCCCTCTCGCTGCCGACCATGGCCTGGACCACTGCCGGCAACGAAAGGTCTGCGCCAACCACGCGGATGAGTTGGCTACGCTCGGATATCCACGCTGGACATTCCATCAAGGTGTGGTCAGCGGTGTCTTCCACGCGACTGCAGTGGTGACACGTCGCTGTCGGCTCTCTCCCGACTATGTGGCACAAATACCTCCCGAAGCAACCGTGCCCCGAGAGGATCTGCACCAGCCGGAAGGTCAAGGATCCGTGTCGGCGGTCCACCCACTCCATGAGGAGCGGGCGAATAGCCTCCACGGTTCGCAACCCGGCCACTGGCTCAGAGAGCCTTTGCCTCCACCGATGGAACAAGGACGACCGCGCAGATCGTCGCCAACTATCCACCCGATCCCGGTCCGGACTCGTTCCCCGGGATCGATCTCGCGCGCGCTGGTGGTAAACCTCCGCCAGAACCTGGGCATCCAGTTCCCAGGGAGGCGTTCCAGCCAGCACGCAATGTTAGTTAATATTTGGGCTAAGGGCAATTCATCCTCGACAGAAATTATTAATTCTAACAGAATTAAAATTACAGAAGATTATTATGTGAAAACTTAATTGGAATTTTTTTTAAAGTTGTTTGTTATGAAAATATCTTATTGGTTTAACTATGTATGAAATATTTGTTCAAAATAATTATAATTTTTCCGAGTCATATGTACTTTCTAAGAATATTTAGACGTCACTGATTAATGCTGATTCCCAAAGACGGTTGATGTCAGGCAGGCGGCCGGTCGTAAAAACAAATAGCCAAAACCATTCACAACATGTAAGGCAGACCCTGGCTTAAGCTGGGAAATTGCCAGGTAGAAGAAGAATTATAATATTGTTAGAAAAATTGTTAGAACAGAATATTCTTGGCTCTCCTATTGGACATTACCTTGTAGGGTCGTAAGGTTTCAATCCTTCAGAAGTCGTCATCATATTAGGCTTTACTGCAACAACTACTTCTTGAGATAAAGGTGATCTGAAATACTGTTTTGATAGACGAGGCAATTCTGCCGGATTATGAAGTAATATCTGAAAAATATGAATTTTTGCTATAAAAAATTCTAAATTAGTGAGTTTTTTTACTTTAAGTCCAAATATGTTCCCGTTACCAAAAAGCCATAGAATTTTGAAGCCAAAAGGAATATTAAATGTCTATACAAAAATCGTACTGATATAAAATTGTATATTTTTTATGCAGTATTAGAATATGAGATTTTTGACTCTAATAATTTTCATATACCATTAGAACCAATGTACCAGGAGGCTAATAAATAAAAGCATTTTTGAGTAAGATATTATAAAAAATTATTGTTTATGCGATACGCTACTACGTTCATAAAATTACCTATGTACATCTAAGGAACTACAAGGGCAGATTTAAATGATTATCTGGTAGTTTGTCAACTATTTAGGTCAATCTGATGAATATTATAGAACCGATAACACTTTGAGGTTTGAATTTAAGTAAACAAGTGACGGGTCATGGTTATTATTTATGTAAAAATTGCTTTTTCGTATCTTAGGTTTTTATTATTTAACTGGACAAGTTTATTGTTATAGAGTTTATTATATTTACAAGTTCATTAATTATAAAGAAAGGTCCGAAATGTCATAAGGCATTACTAATTAGAAGAAATTGCTTTGGATGCCAAATCAAATCGACAACATAGAAAAGTACAAAGAAAATTTATGTATAAATAATATCATTGTAAAATTATCAAGAGACTACACGAATAACAAAAGACATAATTAACTAAGATTATTATTGACGGCGAGATTATGGCAAAAAAATGGGTTTGATAATTTTTTTGATGACGTATTACAGCACCTTATTACTGTTATACTATATTTTGTATCATTAAAAAATATTCTGTTGATTTTTTATTTATAACCACTGGTTTTATTTTTCAAACAAGTTTTTATTCCTTTAAACAGGTAACGACAATCGACAAAAAGGGTCAGATATTGGGTACCATATAACATATAAGCAAATATTATTTAGTGATTCTACAACTTCATGTATGTATATTTTTTATATATTTACTTGTATTGTATAAAAATTATTCGTATGTAAATATTTTTGGTCAGCAAACATTTACACATTCGAGCATACATTTTAATAGGTATAATTTCGCTATAGGTTTTGCAGACATAAATTTATTCTATTTATTTAAAACGTTACGTAACTTTTATAACATAAAAAACAAAAATAATCAAAAAGGAATGTTAATTTAAAAACTTGATATTTAGGAAAAAATCAATAATCTCACCTTAAACCCTTGTACCGGACCCTTACAAAGGTAGTCTAAATCCATTTGCTTAGCTTTTAATAAAAACGTTAATCCTGATTTTGCACCGAATCCCTAGAATTTGAGAAATACTACATACTTACACTTATAAACTTATTAATTAGTTCGTGTTCCATGATATATCATACAAAATTTTTGTATTTACCTTTAGAATTACTGACGTTTCATAGATTCCAACAATTATTATAGAAAAGAATACTTACAGTGCCTCTATGAGGGTATGTCTCTACCGGACTATCAGGTGGATATCCATCTTCTAACGTCCAAATTTGACTAGAATTTCGTTTTGAATATTCTAAGTAATCATAGTCCTTATTGAGGCTGCAGCAAAATGAAAAGCAAATATAAAATTAGTTAACCATCCACTTACGAAGATTTAAAAAGCGGTAAGTATTTTGCGAAAGTAAGTCCATAAAATTCTATATCTTAATATAGGTTTTGCTTACTTTTCAACTCTAAATAATTCTTCAGCACCCAAGGTATTGAAAGTGTAGCAAACACCTTCTTCAGTGATGATCGGCAAAAATAAATCCGAACAATTCACGCGAGAAACGTCTTTCCATTTACAGGCGAAGAGCATCTCAGTTATGTTTGGTGATAACTACAAAATTATATATCATTAATAAAATTACAAATATAAAATATAAATTAAATTACAAATATATATTGACTGATGTATTCACGTTTTGAAAGGTATCGAACAATTCTGTATATACGAGTATATAAAAAAATTGTTGCCTGAAAACCGGTATTTAAGAAAAAGAACATAAAGTTTTCCCATTCTACTCACTTTTTCATGAAGTAATGAAAATACACTTAGATTAGAAAATATATGTATATTTCTCTTACTCTAATCATTTCCTTCTATTTATGGCTTGTTAAAGCTTTGATATACAAAAAAAGTTTGAAGGATTTCTCCATAAAATTGATAACAAAATGAAGTTATTTTGGAATGTATGAGTAGATAACGGTAACTTTATATTTAAGTGTTACTTATTATATATTCAGTTTACCTCTTTAAGATTCTCAACAGTTACGTTTCCATCAGAAAATCTTCTTCCACTTGATGGGGCCAAGTGGTCGTCGCAAACCATAGATACGTCCTCAAAAAGGTGGCGTCTATATTAAAAAAAGTCATAAAATAATAATTGTTTCAAACAAACAATATAATATAAAAATGTTATCCACACAATTAATATAAGACATTACGACTACGTTGTGTCCCAGTCGATTTTAGCTAAAGGAACTATCATCTTTAAAATAATTATAAGAAATGTTAGTAACTACCAAACATTTCTTTTAATTTTATATAAATAAATGCGACAATGTTATTCATAACATATCAGATTACCCAAATATATATATATTTTTTTTTTATAATATAGGGGGCAACCGAGCAGGCTAGCAATACGATGGTAGATGACCACCGCCGCCCATGGACACTCGAGCCAGAAGGCACCAGAGTGCGTTGCCGGCCTTTCAGAAAAAGGTACACTCTCTTCTTGAAGCACCCTAAGTTGTAGTGTATTGGAAATTAACTTTTAAAAAGTTATTTATGGAAGTAACTTTTTAAAAGTTAATTTTAATTAGGTTATTTTTTTGTAATTAAGTATTTGACTCACTCTTCCTCGGTTAAATTCGCACGTGTAGTCTCGTTCTTGTACAGATGATAGTATTCGGTAAAATTAAATATGGTTTGTCGAGCCTTTGTTTCAAAACATATGGTTACGGCTGGATACGGGATCTGAATTACAAAAATAAACGTGTAAACAAATTAAGAAAATATTACTTCATATAAATGTAATACCAATATATGACGTTTATGGTAAAAATAAAAAAAAAATAATCTCAGATTTTCTCTAATAAATATTATAATAGTTTCTCGGATTTCATAAGCATATTTTATTGCCTTTCTTTTCAACAACTATGATGGATTGATGACGGTTGCTGAAGTCTTTATCACGTGGAATAAAATGTATAGGTTTAAATGTAGAGTGAAATTTGAAATATATAGGTTTATTTGTGATAATAATAAATACCTGCCAAACTGGTGTTGATTTTTCCGCGAAGCTTACAATGACGGGACTTTCGTTCCATCGAATCCATATTAAGTGAATCTTTCCAATACAGAATATTAAGGAACAGGAAAACATGAACAGCCAGAAAATTCTGTAAAAATGGTTGTCTTAAAAACCAATATGTTGTAGATTTACACTTGTATACAAACTTATGTGTCAATTATATAATTATCAATATCGTCAGCATATTACTACAACTTTGATTTTCATTTATGGAACGAAAATTGTAACAAATCCGTAAGATTTTTGTTTTAGCGCTTGTATCGGACACTGTATATATTTTTATAATCGACTTTTTATGGTGATTTTAAGAGTATAATTATATTTTAACTATATAAAGATTTTTTTTATTTAAGGGAGCGAAAAGGTGATGAAAATATTGAAATTTTTAATATCTTTTATCTTACTTTTCAATCAAAGTTCTCTCCTTTTCTCCGATATACTTAAGACCATGAAGATTTGAGTTTGCGGTGTAGTCAATCAAATATCGCTTGATGGAGTTCAGCTTTCCCTTTTTAATTTTCTCATTTTTGGCATTAAGATGACCTTTGTTTATTTCTGGGTCTACGTCCTGGATACCCCCTATACTTCCTGATCTGGTGAAAAATATAAAAAATCATACATACAGTTACATATAGTAAAACTTTTTAAATGTAAACTAACCTGGAGTGTCGCTTCATGCTGGTGACAACTTCTAAGGCACTTTCCGAAATGACGAATGAATTAGGACTTTTTATTGAGGCTTGGCTGTCAAATAATTAATACAACCCACCTTCTATCCCGTGGGATATTAACACCATTTATGAAATTAAATTGTTACAAAGAATAACTTTTAATGTCATCATTTGGAATCATGAATTAAATAATACTACTTTTTATATACCAAAACAATTGAAATTAAAAGGGAGTGTTACACAATTTTGATAAATGGATTGCTATTTAAATAGAAATTATATATTTCGTACTACAATTATTGTGTAATTTATTAAAATGGGTCACAAAATTGTGTATATTTAGTGAACACATGTGTTTATCTGGCAATAAAAAGGTAAGGCAGTGTGTCATAATAATTTTAGTGTTTTATTACATTTCAACTTGTTGTTTTGTAGTTTCCACTTAAATTAACGTTAGCATCACAGATTAGTATCAAACAAAAATACAATGCAGATGACTCCATAATTTTCTTTAATTATCTTTTATCATGATTGTTTTTAATGCCTGTCTTCCTTTAACCTGATGTAAAAAGGAAAATAAAAGGTTTATACAGAGTGACCTCAAGCTATATTACTTAGTTACTTAGAAGATATTGAAAGGAAATTATTTTTAACTAGTTTTTGCCCGTAACGTCGTCTGCGTTTATTTCGAAATTAGTAATATATGTATACCTGACCGGGGCGAACTCTATTCAGGCCTAGAGGCCGTATATAGTCAGATATTGGAGATTTTTAGATTTGATCAAATAGAATTAAAATATGTCCTATGTATGTCTCCTGGTTCTAGGTCTTATCCCTACAGACGTTCTTGACTTATAAATAGTGTAATTAACACAACTTTGTTTTATATATATAGATATTTATTAATATTGTAAAAGTCAGTGGTGGCACAGTGGTTAAAGGTCCCGCCTCTCGTCGTAGAGGGCGCGGGTTCGATCCTGGCCCGGGCAAGTACCAATGTGATTTTTCCGAATCATATGTACTTTCTAAGAGTATTTAGACATCACTGATTAATGTTGATTCCCAAAAGAGGGTTGATGTCAGGCAGGCGGCCGGTCGTAAAAACAAATAGCCAAAAACTTTTCACAACATGTAAGGCAGACCCTGGCTATAGCTGGGAAATTGCCAGGCAGAAGAAGAGATATTTATTAATATTGTATTAAAAAATCTCTAAATTGTTATAATGCTTGAATTTTACAGTAAACTAGACATAGTTCTCGTTTTATGTCCAGACATTTTTAGACTATTCTGTGACTTAAAACTTTTAAAATCAAAATGATCTTATATAGGTTCAGAAAGTTTATGAAGTTGTATAAATAAGTTGATTAGATTTTTTACTTTGCGGACTAGACAAAAAGATCTGGCCATGTAAAACAGAATATTTTTGATTCCAAACCATCCTGCAGTCAAAGGTATACTAATTTTAGTTTATTTTAATATACTAGATTTTTGTCAGCGACTTCGTAAACTTCGGCTCAGAGAGTAAAAAGCGTGTTAAAATAATAGCTCTACATATATTATTTTAACCAACCGGCAGTTATATTTTTATTCAGTGTCACTTATTTATACACAACACAATTTTTTGACACAATGGGAGTTACTTTAAAATGTAGGATACATGATATCCCATATGTGTACACTGTACAATACTGTAAAGATTCATCAAAAACAATAAAGTTATTTTTTTAAATAATAATCTCACAAACTTTAATTTGTATAACATTAGTAGGATATTGAAATAAGTATTCGTAGTTTTGACTGAATCTCTAGGTTGCCGTATCCTGCTTCCTATATAATTTTAGTTAACTTATCGCGTTTTATTGATAATTAAAAATGCTATATAATTTTCCATTTTATTTATAATATCATTCATTGATTAAAACGCATCGTATCTAAACTGATACGTTTAAGGCGTTCAAAAAACAGGAAAATCATTTTCATAAAGTTTTTCCCGTGTGTTGGAACATCAAGGTTTAATATGAATCTGACAATATTATACATCTTGACATTTGCGACATGGTCATGTATCCTTATAAGGAAATTTGATAGATCTCTAACCGATAAAATAATTATAATAAGGTAAATACTGGTGTACATACATATATTATGTACATATATGTTATGTTAGACCCACTTAAAAAATCTCATAATTTCAATTATAACATATTAAAATACATGATCTGTCAATATGTTTGTGACTTACAACCTATAGGTTATGTGTACCTATTACAAATTTTAATACGTACAATTTAAGACAGATATCAATTTGTCGTTTGTAGTCTTTTGAGAATACAAATAACACTATTAATAAAATGAATAAAAACCTTTTTCGGATGCTTTATTTAATTCCTGTAAAATAATTAAAAGTACCTAATATACAAAACACCATTTCAGTAATCGAGATACCAATATATTATAAAATAATTTTATTTTGTTTTTGATTTGGTTAAATAATTTTGCAATCAAATTTTACCAGCGACACGCCTCGTCCGTTATACATACTTACAGTTGGCTGTTTAAACTTTTAAGTAATATCTTCGCTTAATTTATCGTGTGTTCTTATTATACGAGGTACATTAGAGTTTATGGAATCTTAAAGTGAAATATTGTATTACAAAAAAGGTAAATATTATTTCTTAGCACGAAGTATAGGTACGTGTGAAGTTTTAATAAATAAAAGTTTAAAAAATAAAAAAAACGCTTTTATAGCTAAACGAACTAATACTGGTGCTTGATATTGAATGTTACGGTCATTCTAGTGGCAACTATCCATGACAGGAAATATGAAATGAAAGATATGTAATGTAGTCAAACGCACTCCAAGCTTTTTACTCTGAATTAAAATAATTTCTTTGTAATTGAAAATTTAGCTATGAAAGCGTTTTTTTTAGTTTCTTAGACCGCATGCTAGCTCTATCTCTCTCACTCCACTAAAGAGGATCTATAAAAGAATTCCTTAATCCTGGCGGTCCTAATAAGGATAATGTAAAACTGTTAACAAATTATAGCTTTGTCATCGGTCTTTGATACGTATGCAAAGTTTTTAATTGTTCAGACTTCTAGAAACCGGTGAAAATTAAGCTCAAAAATTCCTTAACATACATACATAATATGTACATGCATACATACAACCCAAGCTAATAGAAGCGTGTTGAAAATTAATGCCAGGTTAAAATAGAAAAATATAGATTAATTATTTAAAATTTAGGTTGTCAGTTTTTTGATTTTTTTTAAATTTTTACTATAATTACATTTTAAGTGATAATTCTCCAAGATTTTATGATATACATACATATTTTTGACTGTAATTTTTTGATGCTCTGTGAAGATTTTTGGAAAATTTGTGTCTGACTTCTCAGTCAAGAATAATTTGCGAAAATAAGGTATCTTGTATTTAATAAGACTATTACTTTCTTAAACACACATATCACCTTAACTCCTACCTAATTAGGCATAAGTGTCAGTATCAGAGACAGGATTAGATTTAACTCCACTTGTTTATAATTTAGATAATGTTAAACTTGAGGATTTTAAAAATAAGCTTGAAGTAACAACATATTCTTTTTATATATTTGGCTAATTACATTTAATAAAACTTGTGATAACAGTAAGGACCGAATAAAAAAAGTATAACTTCAATACAAATAATGTCATTTTATTTCAATGTGCTCAACAAAATATTCAGACTTTTTTAAAGGTCATTATAATAACTAAAAAAAGTTAATAAATAGAAACAACAATCTTTTTTGTCCTCCTGACTACAGAATTTATGGAATTTCTTTAAAAAAAATTACAGTTTGCTACATAGGGTCCAAGAATACGTGGAAAATTTTATAAAAAAATTATGTCGTGAAAATATTGATTTCCTCTACGGTTTGTATAGGAAAAATATTTCCTATGTATAGGAAAAATTCATTGTAATAGGGTTGTACTACTCAAATAATATAAAAGGATATTACTTTTATGTCAATTTTAATGTCAATTAGAAAAATAAAACATTTTAATTGCTATATTAAAAAACTCACCAATTTCTTAAAAAAATATTATTTTTCAAAATTGTCTTAGAAACAATTTTTTATCATTCAACAGATATAAAAATATTTCAAGCCCGAGTTAACATTGTTAGTCAAAAATTAACTATAAACAATAATAACTTCTTCTAAACCGATTACAATGAAGTTAGTGCAACTATCTCAACTATAAAAAAAGAATACATGTTCTCAAAATCAACAGACAACCCATTGTTTTAATTTTTGATTGATTGACAATTAATTAAATTAATTATTTATTCCTGTTAATTGTCCCAGTTCCATGAATCTGAATTCCACAGTCAATATCAGTTAAATATGTGATGTAACATGCAAGATATTCTTCTATTTCAAAAAATAAAAGGTCAGTTTGTATTCAATTGGGTTCAGCTAGCAATAAGTGCAAAAAAATTACAAATAAGATAATAATTACGTCATTAAATACGATTAAACTTATTTCTGCTCGAGCGTATGTGGATACATTTGTTCTTTGATCCAATTTTGCAAAAAGAATCAACTCCCATCGTGTCAATTGATGCATTTTTACATTTTTAACAATCCAAAAGATGTAACCATGTTAGTTTTGTAATTAAAACCTCATATAAAATGGGTAGATTTTTTTAAATTATACGTTTTATAAGTGAAAAATAAATATTTAGCCTTATTAATGATATGTGAATCAAAGAGGATAACATTTTATACGAAGGATTTTTCTCTCTGCCTCTAGATGTAAACAGGATAAGTGGAAGTACTTTTAACCCTTAAACACGCGTTGTTGCATATCTGCAACATATCGAATATTCAAAAGATTTGATAGATTTCGTTTCGTGTATCCGAATGTAAACTACCATAGATTATAGACGACAATTATATTTATTTTGACAGTTCGATTGGCGGGTCGATTGCAAATTTCTAAACTTCATAAGCACAATTTATAATATCGCGGGCGCGGGTAAACGTAAAAAGCAATTAGTGTAAAATTGTCATTCAGTTGTTTTATAATTCTATAAGGTAAGTGTTGTTTGTTTTTTTATTTTTGTATTACTTATAATATCAAAAGAAAAATAAATAAATAATTTTATGGAAATTCAATTGTTTGATATACTTTTTTCTTCATAATCCGTATGTTGCATAAGTGCAACATTGCGAATTTACTTTCATAGAAATTTCATTTTTGAGTGATATATTTACCGTATTTTATCTAAAGTCTAATGGTATTTTTTTCTAGAATGGCGAGAAGGCTGAATGATCAAGTTATTGAGGACTACCTCCAGAACCTGGACCAGTCTGAGGATGATATGGAATCCTCTGCAGGAGAAGAGGATGATGAAGAAGTTTACTTCGAGAATAATAGGCAGTTATTAGCGGATTTAGAAGATGAAGAATTTGTTGAAGATATGGATATACCTATGGAAAGTAGTACTGTTGATCCACCTCTTATTTTTGATAATCATAATGACCCAATTTTAGAAAATTTGAGTGAAACGCCACAGCCTTCTGATCAACGGAATGGGACAGCTCGTCCACGACAAAGCCGTGTAACGTGGAGACGCACAAACCTCACCACCATTGATGATATTCAAATTTTTTATCAACTGCAATATCCTGACAGCATGTTAGAATTAGAGACGCCGTACAATTTTTTTTTCTTTCTTTTTCTCTCAAGAACTGAGGGATAAGATCAAGGCAGAGAGTAATTTGTATTCTACCCAGAAAAATCTTTCCAATCCATTTGTTATCACTAGCAATGATCTCAATAAGTTCCTTGGGATTCTAATTTATTCTTCTATTGCAAAGTTTCCAAACTTCCGGTTATACTGGTCAGCTCAATATGGCTATGAACCTATAAAGTCAACCATGACACAGAAGAATTTTGAAAAAATTTGTTCGATTTTACATTTCAATGATAATAATTGTTTCTATATATTTCATCAGGAATAAATAAATAAATAACTTTATGTATTTATTTTGAGTTTTTAATTTTCACCTAATTTACCATACATGGTATTGTCCTATAAGTGCGCACTGTTGCAGATATGCAACATACGGTTTTTTTTAATTTTCATTGGGTGTAAGTCGATATAATTTTTTTAACTATTTTTTCGGTACATCTTAAAACCTAATATAATTAAAAAATAATATTTTAAATGAATAACAAAATTCGCGCATTTAAGGGTTAACTCAAGTGTGGAGGTCAAGATAATAACGACTGTAAAAGTGAATTTTAACAGTTCTAAAACTGTTGAAGGTTACTTATACAAGGTTCTTTATCTTTTTTAAGCTTTGGTGGAAATAAAAATCGAGTCGAAATGTACATCGTAACATTCCTAAACGCATGTACACAACTGACACTGGCAGATGGCGCGATTTCTATAAGAATATACTATTGAAAGAAATATATTACTCACTAGAAGACCTGGCGAACTTCGTATCGCCCTATAATCAAGAAATATCTATTACGTTTTTTTTATTTATATTTTTGGAGTTTATCTGTAAGCCATAAATCTCCGTGTTTTGAAGTGCGACAGGATGATTGACATATTAGTTAGTTGTCAAATCTAATGTCAAAAAAAAACGTTTGTATGGGAAATAGAAAAGGGATGTTTTTATGGTTTTCCCAGTATGAATCAATTTTTTTCAGCTTTTATACCTTCCCTGAACCTCCACGAACATTTCAAGACTAAGATAAGATAAATCCGTTCAGCTGTTCTCGAGTTTTAGCGAGACTAAGGAACAGCAATCCATTTTTATATATGTATATAGAAGATAGAAGATTACATAATAATGTCTAGTTCAGTCATCAGTTTGAACGTATTGTTTTAAAGTGAAGAAAACTTCGTTACAGCAATTCTGCCCTAAATAAAAGAATTTCTTACTTTTAGTCACGCCATTTTCGCCTATTGTAAATATGGTTTGGCAACGTCTGCTTTAAAAAAAACACTTTAAAAACATTTTGCAGGAAAATAAAACAATGTGCTCATTTATTGAAATTTATTGTAATGTTCATATTAATGATCCAGACAAACGCAACACAAAATATATGCAAATTGCAAGTGAATGATTTTTAGAAAGAAGTTCGATTTAAAAGGTGTCTAAAGGCTAATCTACAGGAATATTATCATTTGAAGATAATAGGGTAGATCAAAGCCTTTAAATTTTCTTATGAGATACCTATAGGGATGGCTTTTTTGAATGCCATAAAGTTCGGACGATTATGATTAATTCGAATCGAATCGAAAGAATTAATCGCGTACCAATACACTAAGGGTTCAAAGCTTTAATTCATAAATACATTCACATATGCATATTGATATAAGAGTCAATTTATAAACGTTCAATTGGTTCGTGTTAAGTTGTACATAGATGGGAATCCATATCTAATAAATTCACTGTTTGACGTCATCAAATTTGTAGTTTTAAACAAACTACGGAAATGATCGGAATCATTTCGTTCCTTATTTTTTATTAATAAAACTTATTTGATAGTGTTTATAATTCTGAAAAAAAAAACTTGAAACCTTGAAATAACTTATACTTGAAATACAATTAGTTTGACGATGCAAGCTTGAACGTAAGATTCTGCTTTTCCATGTTTAACGGATGATTATTTTATTACATTCGAATGAGAAAAATTCGACAGGAGCGAATACAAAAAATTGGTATACAAGTTTATATTTTGTTTGACTGTTTATCTTGAAATTACCTATATAGATTAATTCGTTATCTATGAAAATATACCTACAGAATTAATAAATATCCATTTCAAAATAGTTGTGAGTATTAAATTATTACATCATTTTAATGAGATAGAAGCTTAAGCCGATTTACAATTCTGTTATATTTGAAATAAATACAAGTCACAAAAAATATTTCATCTCTCACACAATTTTAAATCTTCTATATCTACCAAAGTAATCGGCTTTCTTTATATCAGAGGAGTGGAAATAATTATTTATAGTATCTTAATTTGAGGCAATGAATCTCGTACTCTCTCTACTACTCTCGTTATGAAGTTGAGAATGCATTCATTAAAAGGAAAATATAGTCAACGCTTTAATTCTTTTCAAGGATCGACTTTAAGAAAGAAGTATAAAGTTTCTGAAATAGGCACTTATAGTTTTTTCTATAATAAAATATTTGTAATAAGTTGAAATTGACATGTCCATTTTCATTAAGGATTTGCTTCTAATTTGTTTGATGGCGTTTTCACAAAAAACCATATCCTGAAAATAATCGTGACATAATTATAATGTATATAAAATTTATATTTATCTTATAAGGTGTTACGTTTACCTTAAGGTGAGGAAATATAATATTTCAGCTACACTTAGTATGGAGAAGCCCAGAAAGAGTCCAAGTAGGCCACCGACATTGGCTAAAAACTCTGTTCGCCCATACAATTCAGATCTTCGTGAAGTAATGAATTGGTCTTCTTTGAAGAAAATCGAAACCAGACTAACAGAAAAACTGAAATATATAATGATAACAACATTTATTTATGACAAATAATGTCAAGACTTCCATGAGATCTATCGAATTATATATTTTTATATAAAAAAGACTACAGCAAGAGACTTGGTTAATTAATTGAAAAATATGATGAAATATTTAAAAAAAAACAATTTTAAAAAATTATATAAAAACCGTTCAGTTACCGGGTCAGGTAGATATTCTTTAGTAATCAAGAGTTATTAGCGATATAAGAAGCAATTATCCAAATTCTCACAAAATAAAATGACCACAAGTAGGCTATACCACCTGAATTATAATAAGGACATTTCAAAAATAGATCTTCTGACTAAATTTATAGCAATATAGTTCTTACTTGGTGTTTTCTTGGATAACTATGTTGTGAGCTTTTAACGCGTTTTGCCAACTGAAAACTCCTTGTGATGTTTCAGCATCGTATTCTATGGATGTACAGGATTGAAGACATTTGCATTTTGACGCCACTAACAGAGCTTTACTCAGAATGCCATTATGAGATGTGTTTTTTTCCAGATGAGTTTGTATTGCTGCTGTGGCTAGTTCCACTGCAATGTAAAATGTTTTCTAACAGTTTATACAGAAATTTTCATTATACATTTTCATTTCAATGTTCAATGTAACCTTTATATGTATCATTGTCTACGACGCGACGTAATGTACCAAGCGGGATTATTGTAGTTACCGCCTTCATTTTACTATTAGAGTATAAAATCTTCTTCTTTTACCTGGCAATTTCCCAGCTTTAGCCAGGGTCTGCCTTACATGTTGTGAATACTTTTAGCTAATTGTTTTTACGACCGGCCGACTGCCTGACATCAACCCTCTTTTGGGAATCAACATTAATCAGTGATGTCTAAATACTCTTATAAAGTACACATGACTCGGAAAAATCACATTGGTACTTGCCAGGGCCAGGATAGAACCCGCGCCCTTTGTAACGAGAGGCGGGCCCTTTAACCACAAGGCCACCACTGACTATTAATTATTAGAGTATAAAATATTCGAAAATATAGTAGTCAGTAATATTTCAGAAATGAAGTTAAAAATATAAACCAAGATACTCACTTTGTGCTGTTTTGATACAGCTGAATTTGTTGGCGTTGCATACCGGAATTTTAGAACCATCTATAAAAAAATTAGTTTGATTTAGTTTTTATTATAAATTGCTGGTTGAAATCGAATTAATGTTTCTAATAACCGCGATGGACTCGACACACGCACTGTAAGTCCATGGAAAGCTGAGAGGTTTCAACTCAACAACAAAGAAATTATTATATTGGTACAAATTTAACTTTTAATTAATTTAAAGTTCTACCCTCGCCCTCTTGCACGAGAGGCGGGCCTTTTAACCACTAGGCCACCACTGACCATGTGTTTGTTTACTTATTTTTTTGATTTTGCTATTGCTTTTGAATCTAACACATGTCAAGAGAATATTCACATTAAACGCTTTAATGAGTGTAACTGTTAATATAATCCAACTTTCACGACTCAATTTAAGCTATTTTTATAACAAACTCCTTTAAATTCAAATAATATGAACGTCAATGTACTAAACATAAATGCATAAAGCCTTCAATTAAAGCAACATTTTTCGTTTTTATGTTCCATATTAACAGTAATACTCACGAGGCATGCCGAAATGAACACACCCACATCTAGCGTACGTGAAGTTTGATAGACACTCTATTTCACAATTAGCCTGAGTGTAAATTTTGAAATATTGGAGGTAACGATCCTTTGGGAAATAGCATTGACGTCTGGAATACAAATAATAATTAGATAAATTGAAAATTAATATTACATGAAAGTACTCTTTAGTCTCCTGTGGTATTTAAGGTTCGAAACCTTTTAATATTTATATAAAGACAAAAGGTATATAAAGAAAAGAAGAAAAACTCTTATACAAAAAAATTGTATTTTTTTTTACTACACCATTAATTTTACATATATTAGATTAGATTTTTTTCTCTTATTCACAATATTTTTTTTAATATATAACATTATTTTATACTTTGAAGAATCTAGACTTATCAAGCCTTTAGAGGTCGTCATCATATTAGGTTTAACTGCAACAATCACTTCCTGAGCTAAAGGTACCCTGAAGAATTTTTTTGAAAGACGCGGCAGTTCTGCCGGATTATGCAGCAATATCTGAATAAAAATGATTATAACATTTAATGATCAAGTAAAGTAATAATAAAGCAAGAAACGAATAAAGACTGAGTGATGCATTTCTTTAAAAAAAATCATAATTTTCTCTCGTTATTCTGATACGTTTTTATACATATCTTTGAAGTGCTATGCTAGTTTAATTATGCAACTTATAACTTATAAATTACCTTAAATCCCTCAACAGGACCTCTACAAAGGAAGTCTTGATCAATTCCTTTAAATTTAAAAACTGCCTTCAATCCTGATTTAATGCCAAAAACCTGTAAAATAATGATATATTCAAAACAAAAGTTAAAAATACATTTTTACTATTAAGTAATCATACAATTATCTTAACAATTCTTTTTCTTTATTAATAATTTAAGGTTTAGACTTCTTCTAAATAGACCAAATAAATTAAAAGTTAATACCTAACTACTAATTATAACTAACTAAATAATGTAAAAACGTGAATTCAATAAGGTTATTATTTAAATTAATGTGTTCTAAGTTTTCACGAGTATTAATTGAAATAAAACTAATATTTTTCTTATTCACTAAGCATTTATATTTATTTTTGACAACATACACTCGAATTTTCGGTTACTTTGCAATTTGCAGGATCCTGTGACCACGGATGTAAAAGTATTAATTTTATTAAAAAAAGAACATTTATAAAAATTAACTTAAATCTCAATGGTGAGTTTATAAAACAAACTATAGAGAAACAATCAGGATCATACGAGTTTTGGTACCACACGGTGTACAAATACATAAATTTGCTTAATATTCGGTTATTCGGCCAAGTGGGTCACCGGATATTTGTTATTTTTCATATGGCCGAATGTAATACTGTCTACAAATTAAACACAATTATAAATAGACGAAACCTCTTAGCATTCAATGGATTCACCGTGCGGATGCCGAGTCCATCGCGTTGCAGAGAGAGGAGCTTCAACAGTGCCTGGGACTTGTCACCCAGGTGTAGGTTTAAGGGGCCCCTATCTAACGCGCGTTATATGCTCACCTCCACTGTCCAATCTCCTCTCTCCACCTAACCAAATTTAAAAAGAACCTACTAGGGCTGCCTTCAACGTTCCAAGAATGAATAAATGTGAGTTCTGGACAGGCCCAAATCTTTTAGTAGGTTATAGAGAGATTTAGCTGTTATACCTCTCGATCCCACCTCTACCGCGTACAAATCAACGACGAACCTATTTCGAGTTGGTTCGTTAGTGAGTTCGTAATATTTATTGACCTTGATTGAATCGTTTTTGGCGATGTTGGTTTCCTAAGGCACCGTAAGCTTTATCATCACAAAGCGCTTTAAAACTCGCGAATATAAAAATATATCCGGTGTGGAGGCCGACGCACAAATATCCTGGGGGATTTTGTATTGTTTCTCATACTTATCTATAATGATAGTCCAATCTGAAGCCGCTTTAAGGATAGATTAAGGCTTGACGTTTGCTTTTATAGCCCTGGTGCCCTCTCTCACAAAACCTAGTGATCGCTCGTTTGTGGTTATTTCCCTTTACGCTCGGGCTCCCGAAAGACTAACCGCTTCACGTATGATTTCTAGAACCCTGTCGTACCGACGTGAGTATTGACCGCTGTCCAGGAGTACCTTACATCCCACCAGCAAATGCTTAGCAGTTCCAACTGCCTTTCCACAGATATAGCAAGTTTTTTCGGTAGGTAGTTTATACTTACCGTGCCTCTATGAGGGTATGTCTCTACTGGACTATTAGGAGGATACCCATCTTCTAACGTCCAAAGATTGGAATTACGTTTGGAATGTTCTAAGTAATCATAGTCCTTATTGAGGCTGCAGAAATTGAAAATGAATATGTGATATAAGTTAACTACACAGTTACGAAAGATAAAAAGTGGTAAGTATTTTGAGAAAGTAAGGCTATAAAATCTCATATCTAAATACAGGTTGTATTTACTTTTCAACTCTAAATAATTCTTCAGCACCCAATGTATTGAAGGTGTAGCAAACACCTTCTTCAGTGATGATGGGCAAAAATATGTCCAAACAATCACTTAGAAAGTTCTTCCAACGACAGCTATGAAATGTATCATTTATTTTCGGAGATAACTGCGAATGTAAAAATATTTCATGTAAATAAATTTTACGTTAACAGTTAACGTTACATTAATTTGATTCTGTATTCATCAACCTCTTTAATATTTTCAACAGTTTCTTTTGCATCAGAAAATTTATCTCCAAAATAACGAGCGAGTCCGATGTCACAAACCATTTGAACATCTTCGAATAATCGGCGCCTGTATAAAAACACCTTTTAAAAATTTATTTAGTAACATTGAATGTTAAGTATAAGTTATTTTATTGTTAAGTAATATGCAACTGATCTATATGGTTACCGCAAATTGCATCGTTACACTATATAAGAAAAATTAAAAGATTTCACTCATAAATATTCACACACTATAGTATTAAAATAGTTTATAGTATGAGAAACGGATATTGGGTATAGTTGTAATATTTCACATGGTTTACTCTAATAAATCATGACTTACTCTTTCTCGGTTAAATTTATACGTGTGGTTTCCTCCTTATAAAGATGATAATATTTGGTTATATTGAAAATCGTTTGACGAGCCTTTGTTTCAGAACAAATTGTTATAGCCGGAAAAGGGATCTAAATCACAAAAATATTCAATAAGAACATTGTATTGTTTATAATTAATTGAACGTATCCAGTAAAAGGAAAACTTTTAAGGTGTGGGTTTCCCGTATAAAATAATATTTAAATACCTGCCAAACTGGTGTTGATTTTTCCGCGAAGCTTACAATGACGGGACTTTCGTTCCATCGAATCCATATTAAGTAAATGTTTACAATACAGAATATTAAGGAACAGGAAAACATTAACAGCCAGAAAATTCTGTAAAAGTAACTTTTATGAGGACCTGATTTCTAATATATTCGTATGTAACCTGTTTTTACACATGAAGTGGAAATAATCAGCTAGCTACCCATATAGAGATAAATTTTTGTACTAATCAGTGAAAAGTTGTTTTCACAGACTTTTCTATTTAAAGCAATTTGTAAACAGCTTCTTTTACCTAACTTCTTTTTCCTATGGTAAATAAAAATATATTAATTAAGAATAAATATTGCATAAGATTTTATTGCCTTAAAAATAGATTTTTTAATTTGTAAAAATAAAAGATTTTTTCTCACTTTTCATACAGAGTTCTGTCCTTTTCACCTATGTATTTAAGTCCATGGAGATTTGAGTTCGCCGTGTAGTCAATTAAATGCTCTTTGAGAAAACCTAAATCATGTTTTTTTTTCGATTTCCCTTTTTCGTCCTTGGAAATATTTTTATTTACCTCTAGGTTTACATCTACGATACTTCCAACACTTCCGGATCTGGATAAAAAAGCACTTAATTAGGTGCCAGTCATTGATATCCATTGCAATAATTATAAAATATTAGTATGTTTACGATTCTTCTTTAATTTAAGTTTCACCTGGAGTGTCGTCTCATGCTTCCGACATGGTTCAAAGATCTATATCAAATGATGACGGAGTTATACGTGTGAATTAATCCCATTTGTCAAGTACGAGTTTTTATACGTACGTACGTACGAGTTTTTATACGTACGTACGTACGAGTTTTTATTTTCATTCATTTCTTCAGTTGCGATTGTATAGGATATCTTCTTCTTCTACCTGGCAATTTCCCAGCTTTAACCAGGGTCTGCCTTACATGTTGTGAATAGTTTTGGCTAATTGTTTTTGCGACCGGCCACCTGCCTGACATCATCCCTCTTTGGGAATGCATTAATAAGTGATGTCTAAATACTCTTAGAAAGTACATATGACTCGGAGAAATCACCTTGGTACTTGTCAGGATCGAACCCGAGCCCTCATGCATGAGAGGCGGCCCTTTTAACCACTAGGCCATCACTGATTTATGTATATAAAATACTGTATATAAAACTGTTAAACAGTCAGTATGCACCTTCTTCAAATTCAACCTAGAATTTATGAACTCAGACTAAGTTTACAAATTAATTAAGTAGGCACCACTAATCTATCCCTTGGGATATTGACACCATTATACAAATTAAATATCGGAGAAATTAAAAAAAACACTTTCATTACATACTATTATTAGTTATGATGTTAATTAAAATGTTTCACAACATAGATCGTACTTTTATCAAATGTATATGTAATTTTTAATTTATTTTAGTGTCAGTTAGTTAATTAGTAGCTCGGAGTATATATCCCATAATATTAGTAATAATATTTGTCTCTTTGTCCCTCTTTCGTTCAGTTATTTAAGAGCCGGATTTTCATTTAAGAACATTACACTCTACGTTATATATTAGTATTTCTAATTGTTTCCCACAGTAAGTCCGGTGTACACCGATGGTACGACTAAAACAAATTGTGTATACTTTATTGATTTATTTATGTATAACTTACAATAGCTTAGCAGTTTATGTGTGAATAACAAACATGTATTCATCCTAATATCCTTTTGTGTTGTGTAAATGTAAGTTCATTTTATTCTAATGAGATCTAAGACTTTCGCGAGTATTCGTTTCAATGAATCTAATGTTATTCGGATTTCTACACATATTTTGTTATTAAAAAAACTACATAGGTCCTCTCGATATTTCGGTTACTTTTCAGCAACCGTAATCACGTTCATAAATAATAAAATACGCGTATTAATCCGAATAATATAAGTTTCATTCATTTTATTCTTTCGTTTTTCTATAGTAACAAATATTTTTACTTTTTGCTGTTCACTGCCATCGAAGTACCTGGAAAAGATCTCTTTGAACTTGGAAGAGATGTTATCCTATGTTTATTCGTAGTTACTTAAATAATACTTCAATTCACATATTATTATATAAAATGCATAACTCACATCATTACTACGAAAAACCTATTGGTATTAAGTACATGTTATTTTTTATATGTACGTTTTCATATTACATTTATTACATAGGTAATTAATGTAACTCCATACCGGTAGTATGGAATAGTAAGAAACAAAACTTTGAAAATGTAAGATAAAAAAACAATGTTTAAATTTTAATCAAAATATAGTTCCCAAGGCACAAGCGTATGTAGGATAGAGGTTGCATAATTTCCCAGTTTATATTTTTTATGTTTAAATATGAATGGTATTCATATCTTCAACCACTTATCAGAGTTACAGAATACTCTATCTAATCAACTGAGCAAACAAAATAGTTTTAGAATCGTGTCGCCTCGCGTCTTACAATCAGGCTTAGTAGACAAACATGAAACGCTCTTGCATTTTAAACTATATACTCACGTTATGGTTTTATTTTTCGAATAAAATTACGCAAACATTTTTCGTATGAATTAATAAATCATAATGATTCATATTTCAATTGAACTTATCGTCCAGTCGGTTGTATTGGCGTTTTTTTTTTTAACTTCAGCCCTTATAGAAGCAGTTGTTGTTGAATATTTCTTCTACACTATTAACGTAAACCGGATATTGTATTAAACTTAACAACTTAACGAATGTTCAAAGTTCTCCCAGTCTCAGCTTGACTTGACTGACGAGAATCAGCAGTAAATAAAATAAAAATACATTAAAACCGGCTCCTTATTCTTTTTCTAATACATTATCGTCTTGGTTTCCAAGTACTAAGTTATTTATGTATTTTATTACATAAAAAAGGTTTTATATAACGTTTAAACATTTTCTATCATCAAAAAGCATTCAATGTACATTTTTTACTTTTTTATCCTACTAATTTTTTTTTATATTTTATTGTTTGTTTTTTATTCATGAATAAAATTACATAGTCATTTACAAAAACGATACCATACGTTCATTGTTTATAAAGCTCCTTTGTCTTGATTAAAATTTATTATATTGAGCTACATATAAATATTTATACTTAAAACCTGACACCGTAAACCTGAGCGGCTCAAATGAAACAAGGTTTAATATTTAACTTTAAGACAAAATCATTTATCATAGTAGTGTCAATTCATAACAGGCAGCGCATTAGCAGGATCGTGAGTACGAAGGGCGTTTTATGCGGAGGTTGAAATGGTTTAGTCAAGTTATTTGTGTGTATTGGATGTATTGTTGCGCGGTTGATGTTTGCGTCGTTGCCTCGACTCGATTTCGATACGAGACAGCGCTAGGAGTGCGTCGCACTGACTGCCGACCGGCGAGCACCGTGGACCGGCCGAACTGCCAGAGCGCCAGTCTCAGCAAGATCGTACAATAGTAAGGAACGTTCGTGATTTGTTTCTCACGAAGCTTTTTTGTCCGCACAATGGCAGCGACGGAGGAACTCAGTGGCATCCTAATGAGGAGGCAGGCCATAAACGACAAACTCGAAGAGGGTGTAGAGGTCAAACCTAAATATAAATTCGTGAATGTTTTTACTGAATTTCACGAATTCTCAAGAAAGGAAATAAAACAGTACGAGTTGACTTTTAACAAGTAAGTGTTTTTATAAGCAGTAATTTAAATAAGAAAGTACATATTCCCATAAGTTTAGCCCAATAGATCCAGGTCCCGTGAGTTTTATAGCTGACAGGTTAGTTTAACCTGGTTTTACTTATGTATAGTAAAATTCCTCAGCTACACAATTTTAAAGTTAAATAGATACACATTTCGGCATCGTTTATTTAGTATAATCTTAAAGTAATTTTGATATTAATACGAGTTTATCACTTAACTGATAAAAATTTATAACCATGTTTCAAACATTTCATAACACTGAATATTTTTTAAATATATGATATGAATTTCTCGATTATTCTTAAAATCATTTAATAAATTTATTATATGGAATTTGTTTCCGGTATAAGTGAAAGGTATTAAATTAATAGGGTACTTTAAAAAAATCAGAGATAATTTATTAAGTAATGTCTTACCGTCGTGGGAGATAAAATGAATAGGTGCCACACTATGGGAGATATAACTCTCTTCATTATAACTTTCCTTTATTTGTTTAAAGAAATAAAAGTACATTCACACGTGAATTACAACTTTGGTTCATAATTAAATTACAATTTAATATTTTATTACGAGCATGCACAATTCAAACATCACGCAGCGTGGAAATATGGCAAGAAACAAGAATAAAAATTATTAAAAGTAATTAATTTCATTTGTTTTGAACACGGTTTAGTGATTTTAAATGCGTTCAACATCTTTATCATCCGTTGTTTTGATGTTAATATCAGTTATTTGGCGTAGCAATGGCAATAGTTCATACCTCTCCACTCCAGAGATAAATGACCGTTACCCCCGTATATAATAATTAAAAGTTTAAAACCACAAATTATTATGACCCCATGGAATTTTTATGGACTCAATTTGTAACTCAATGCGTTCTATAAATGACAATAGCTTTACTTTATCAAAATTTGGGTTAAGTGGTAGGTCTATTGTGTATTGTTATTTTTTGTTTTCACTCTTCGCTACTTTAGAATACTCATTTACATGTCAGGATTTATTACAGGTTAAAAACTAAAATTTATCGAATTTTATGACACTTCGGTAATATTCTAATCGTAGCGATTATAGAATCTTATTCGTCATTAAATATATGTTGTTTAAAAAGATCAAATGGCAGTCTTATTATCTTTATGTGAAGAATAAAATCACATATAATTACCTCGTATATGTATATATATTTATATAACGCTACGAAGAAATATCAAATACATCTAGTAATTACTTTCAGCGTTTTATAAATATCAATTGTTGTCTGAATGGATAAGTTTTTTCTATCTATATAATAACATAAACGATCATAATACCGCGTAGTTGTCTAATGACTTCATCGAAGATTACAAACAAACATCGATCTTTTAAATAGCAGCATTTAAAATACGGAAATATTATGAGTTATATAAATATTACGCATAACACTTTAAGGTCTGGTACTAATGAATGAATTATTCATATTTATTCGTCATTCAATGAAGATAATTAAATGAATTCCCTAATACGCACCGTATGTTACATTTCTGTGCCTTTGATGTCAAATTTTTGTGTCATACTACCGTAAACATGACGTTCTTTCGGTGATTCATAAAAGCAAGGAAATTTATTCTTTATAATTCATTCACGTTTAAAACTAACGTGAAATTCCGGTAATGTCAAATCACCAATTAGTCATCTATCATTCATGATACAATGTAAATAAAACATTTACCATCAATTTATTAATGTATTTGTAAACTACTAATTGATTTAGAATAACATCATTAGGTTATGTAGGTAATTAATAAAAGAGGTTTAATATAAGAAAACAGTTTTAATGTAGGTACATAATTATACAACAACAACAAAAAAAACAAATAGGACTGGCGAATGACAAATAATTATACTATGCTGATAAAAATATGTGTTGTCAGTTATATACAATGTTTGAAATTGAGGAGCGTGCAGGAAATGGCGTAGATATCAGGCGACAAAATCAATGTTCAGTCGGGACCGGGTGCCCGACTGGCCAATAATAATGACTCATACGTACAATATTCCCCTAAAAATACGTTTTATCTGTTCGTGCTTTACATATTTATTTATAAATAACATTAAAAGGCTTTCCGTTTTTTTAAATATAATTTTTATAGTCACCGTCTGCGCCTTGTATCCGGAATATAAATGACACCTATTGCGCAGTTTTGAATCCCCCTCTGAAAATTTTATATTATAATACTATACTAATACCATCCTGTAGTTATTCACTTAAAAACTGGATGTTATTTCTTAACCTTTAACCATATCCCGTGTGTTTTGTACTAGCTTCTTACCGCGGCATTGTCTGTTTGTTTCATTTATCCTAAAATGTAATGATATAGGAGAATCTATTCTATCTTAAGTGTGTAAATTATGATGTTTGCAAAATACAAATTTAATTATTAAAGTACGAAAATATAGTAAATGTCATTATATTTGTATTAAAATGTCAGCTACGAGAATCGAGTGTTTAAAAAAATTATAAACAAGACAATTGGTGGTAGTGAAATGTATAAGATATGATAAATAATAAATGTCGAATGAATCATTCCCATGCAACAATATTTTACTTCCGATATTGTAAATAAATGTCTGCCAATACAATATATGAACGGAGGGTTGTGTGTCATCAATTTAAAATGTTTAATGTACTTACATCAAATCAATGACCGTTTCAATATCATATTAATTATTATGGATAGAATGTTTTACAAACTGACTGTTGACAGGATTAGACAATAGACATGTAATACAATCCTAACAAGTTACAACAAATCCTTTTTAACAAACTTTCTGATACAAATTTCCTACTTACTACATTATTTTTTTTCATTTACTTCTTTACAGTGAAGGTCTATTCAGTGTTGATGAAGCTATTAAATTATATAGGTAATAATCACTGTTTTGAAATCATGTACGAAATAATAATTCAGGTATTTATTGATAATATAATGACTCCTAATCCATTGTTAATCATAGCAAACTTATCCACGCCATATTGGAAATAAACACTAACACCGTGTTAGGAAATAGTTTCGTTTCACAGTTAATTCGCATTGTTTTCTGTTGCAACTGTGTCTGCCGTGCCTTGCGTGATTGACCGATAACATGACTATCGTAGCATATTTATTATTTAATATTCCATTGTTGCTTCCTATAACCAACCATACTTAGCCGTCAGGGTGTTACGTCTGTGGCAGATTCAAAAGAAAGTTGCAAGACTGAATGAATTTGTCAACTTGAAATATATTAATAATATTACATATAATGTCCCGATAGATTGTATAATTAACATTAAAGATTAATTACGTAATCTCCGAATTCTTTCTTTTTAAAAAGTTTAGAAAGTATTGGAATTTCTAACTTATTTTTATTATTATTTAAGGTTGTACTTTTGATATTAAAAAATAAAGTAAAATCTGGAAAAGAAATAGAAACTGTCGTTTTGGTAGAATACCCACTTACATGTATATTTAATTCATGACATACAACAGAAATGTAATTTTACATATCTTCACTTCCTTGCAGTTTTATTTGTGGGCGATTATTATTTTGACATCTACACTTAAATGTAAAGTAGTAATAATAAGGATTGTTATTGTTTTTACATATTAATAAGTAACATGTTTTCTTGGTTCTTATCATCTTAATAACAATTTGTGTTAATTAAAATCTGACCGACTTTATTTTATAGGTCTTTTGGTAGCGTGCTTCGTTAGCTGGATACTAGACGCATTCACTTTATTATCAATGACCTAGTTTTGGCACCCAATCCTATTTCTCATGTTTTTTATTGTGCCATTCGTTTTTATTTTTTGTGTGGTTCTATTCCGATATTATTTGTGATCATAAGCTTGAATGCTTTTTATTTATTAGAACTAAATAACATATTATCGAGGTCTACTGCAATTTGTACTAACTCAAACTTTGTTACATACTATTTTTCTTGCATTTGACACATGCGTGTCATTAACTTATTATTTACAAGTCTCCCGCAAAGAATTATTTCACTCGTCAAAGGTATGAGGAAACAACGTTTGGGGTATTTGTCAAAAATAGAATTATATAGAATTATTTTTTTAAAATTACCATAATATATAATTTGCTTAGAAGTGAAGTTTTTATAAATATTTTCATTTTCACAAAATTTAGTATGATTTGTTCATAATACTAACAGTTTTGTCAGATACTGAAGTCACCGCAAATTTTTATTTAATTTATACAAATTAATATTAAAGTTTAAATTAGCTTATTACATTTCTTAACTAAACTAACTTAAGGGATATTACAAGTTAATTAGTCTTCAGTCCTAGGCCTATCTACCTTATCTATAATTCGTGTTTAATGTAATTAAAACAAAACAAATAAAACAATATCACGTTTTATGGAGTTAAAAGCTTGCCGGGTAAGTAATGGTGTTCCATATCGTAGAATCGGTCAAGTGCGCAGTTGAGACATCTATTTTTAGACGACTTTATTATAAAATTGCTGCAAACTGCGACAAAAATGTATAACAATCATCACATTTCTATATAAATTATATAAAATAAAAAGTAGTCCCATATTTATGGGTTTGCGAAAACTAATTACTTATAATAAATTTCGAAACTGTGGGAACAATCAGATTAATATGTGTGTAGCATTAAGTATTATATGTGGGTTTATACAATAAATAAAATGAAAGTAAAATTGTTTTGTATCGTAAATCGTAATAACTAGACAACTGTTTTACTGCTGTACAACAAACGGGTTCAAAACGAATAGTAGTAATTATTATTAAAAAATAGAATATTTAAAAAAAATTATGTTTTATAATTTAGCAAAATTATGTTTTTAAATTATTTACATATATTATAGTGAAATAAAAATTACTATGAGCTTTTAGTGTTTTTTAATTATATTAACTTACACAGATCTATTTCAAAATAATAGTGTTCGTTTTTTCTCTGAGATCTTTGCAAAATATATAACAAGAGAAGTGAAAGTTCAAACTTCAAAGTAGCATGCATGTCAAAGACATTTTAAAAACTAGTTTCAAGGCCGTTGCTTAGAATGTGTTTACGTAGGAATAACTAGACAAGCTAACTAGTAATATAAATGTTAATACATGTATATTCTGCACACTAAAATATTTTAATGTAAAAAAAATACATATATTTTCTAATAACACCTCATTGTATATAGATTAATATCAAAGTTTCTATTTAATTATAATTACGAAATTATTATAATGGACTGAAAGTTTAACGGATACAAATTATTTATGATTAAAACTGATCCATCGGCAATTTGTGAAATATATAAATATTAATAATCTATTGTAATAAATGAAAATGTTATTGGTTACAAAATATCTTATCTTGAATACGATTTACACATCGATTAATCTGGGCTAAACCAAATTATAAGTACAAATGGTACCTTACATATTACTTTTTGGTATCATACTTACATAATATAAACACTTACACCATATGGAGTGCGTGCTTTGTACAACATATCAATTTCTTATTAAAATTCTGGACACGAATGTGACACTTCCATTACGAATAATGTGCCCACTATTTACTACCGGCTATAACGGTTCCACCAATTCTGAACATAAAAATTTCTTTAAATACCTACTTCAAATTGTATTGCCGTATAATGTAAAAAAATATATGAATAAGTATGTCAATTAAATAACAGGTTACTGAATGAGTTACTACTGTTGAATCATAAGTAAACACTGTATTTTATTATTTACCTGGTGTCTATCCCTACTAATATTATAAATGCGAAAGTAACTCTGTCTGTCTGTCTGTCTGTCTGTCTGTCTGTCTGTCTGTTACTCTTTCACGCCTAAACCACTGAACTGATTTTAATGAAATTTGGTACTGAGATAGAGTTGACCTTGAGAAAGAACATAGGATAGTTTTTATCCCAGACTTTTGAAACGTTCTCTTGGAAACGCGATATAACCGAACTCCACGCGGGCGAAGCTGCGGGCGGAAAGCTAGTGACTAATATGTAGGTAAACTACTACATACATTTTTTCCGTCATAAAGTGTATAACATAATAAGTATATAGGTATATTTATGCATATACTGTAAATGTAAAATCACCAACGTTACTTAGAAATAAAAGATTGATTAATTTGTTTCAGATTCGATGAAGGTCGAGATGGATTCCTGGATTTAAATGAAGTGAAGCGGATGATGGAACGTCTTGGGGCCCCACAAACACATCTCGGACTAAAGGCTATGATCGCAGAGGTGGACGAAGATGGCGACAACAAAATAAGCTTCCGAGAATTTTTATTAATTTACCGGTAAATATATTATGAAATAATTAAGCCCCTACTTCCATATGTATGTAATAACGAAAAATTTAAAGTAACCAACACGCAGAAGTTTCAACAACCACGCCATATTCAAAAATGGGTTTGCATTTCTCCATATATGGAGCGTGCCTAATACAAAATTTATAGACTCCGTTGCCAAACTGATATGGTTATATATTTAATGAGCACGTTTTGTGTCTTGCATTTTGTGTAACCTCGTAAATAGACTTATTTCGTATGTGTTTTAATATTTTATTTTCCCATTCGAATAATTAATAATATGTTTACTTACGAGGATGCAATTAGATACACAAATATAAAAAAAAGAAAAACCGGGGATAAGAAAGTTAAATGAAAACTTCGTTTTCTGTATTTTCAGCTCTTTGATTATCAATATTTATATGAACGATTTCATAGTTTCTTTTTCATAACTATAAAGTCCTTAATATAAATATTGATAAATGATAATAAACGAGCTTATATCTTAGGTAATAATAAGTTTTTAAGTTTCAAATTAAGTTAAACTTGTAAGTCTAAGTCTAATATAATCAGTAAATCACACAAGATCTCTCGGCTGATCAATAATTACCGGTTAAATGTACTAAAAATACAATTTTATACTCGCAGCACTTATGTTACCGAAAACAATTTTACTATGTCAAGTTCTCAGAAATATAGTTACAAATTCAGTGTTGCTAACTTGCTACACTGTTGTTAGGGGTTATAATAAAATTTTACTTGTGTAATGATTTTAAAATAAACAATCGAATTATTATTTGTGTTTCAGGAAAGCCCGAGCAGGGGAACTGGAAACAGATTCGGGTTTGGATGCTCTAGCAAGATTAACTGAAATAAATGTAGATCAAGTTGGAGTTAATGGAGCTAAGAATTTCTTTGAGGCTAAAATTGAAGAGCTCGCCAAAACGAATAGATTCCACGACGAAATTATACAGGAACAAGAAGAAAAACGAAGGGAAGCTGAAGAAAAAGCTCTAAGGAGACAGCGGTTTAAAGAAAAAACAGCTATTTTCCAACAATAATTATAGTATTAGTTGTTAACGGTCTAGTCTATAAGCTGTTACCATATGGCTTAAGATATGATTCAATAGGAAAAATGTAACATATCATTACAAAATTGCTTTTAATTATTTTTTTAAAACATTGTTTAAGTTTTTGTTGCTAATAAAGGACTAACATGACTCATTTCCACATTCTGTGTATAGTTCAAAGATAATTAAGTAGCTCGTAATTTTTACATTGTGTTGAGTACTCATACTCAGATGTTCTAATGATATGTGTATTGCGTCTATAAGCAATGAAATGTGCCTAACATATTATTATATAGGATATTGTGTAATTTGTTGCATGTTTAACATGTTAAGATTTTTATTTAAGTTATGTGATGTATTACTTTAAATATTTAAATAAACTTTTTTAGATTCATGTTTGGATTTCTTTAATCTAATCTAATCTTTATGAATTACTACAAAGGGATTATGTTCAATAAAAATTCTTATATTATTTTTGAAGCTGCATTTTATTAACAATTACATATTAAATAACAATTATTTTATTATTATTCATTCATCCATACTTCTGAAACTGTCGTGTTGTTGGTAGGACATATTCTGTGTTGTCTGTTGTGTCATATCTAATTCCGTATGTTTCAATGGAGGTAAGTTAGATATATTAATATGTTGCATATTTGCTAGTGTAGCCATTATTGCAGTATTCTGAAATTCAGAGTGCTTTTAGCACGAGGTTTCAATAAAAATTTACCACTTATAATAAATCTGCTTACCTCTTTAATATTTGTTTCTAATTCGCCACCTGGATTGGTAATTTTTTTTATCTTTTGTAGTTCAATTGTTCTGAAATTTATAAAACATATCTTAGTATTTTGGAATCCTTAGATTCTTAAAACATCTATTGTAAGCACTGTTAAAGATATAGAAGTTAAAGAGTATTGTACTCTTAATGGTATATTTAATTTTTCCCAAACCATCATATAATTGTTTGAAATAAGAAGTTGATTTCATACTTTAGAAAAAGTAATAGATTTTAGAAATTATAAGATTTAACAAATATGCTTGAAATTATTAGTGGGCTGATTGAGACATTTATGTGGGCTATATATTAAATAAAATGTGATGATTAAAAAATATATTCAGAGAAAACCTCATCTTAATGGAAGGGAAAATGTGAGACATAATAACACAGTAATATTACAAAACTAGAAAATATATTAGTATAGAGTCATGACTTAGCTTCAACTCATTTCCATACGAAATCTTATTTCATTACATGTTTAGCTACAATGAACTCGTAACAACTTATATTTGGGCAATACTATCTGAAAAAGTTAGTTATTAAATACTGCAAAGGAAGTAAGGAACTCCAGATTATACGACCTTAAGGTTAAAGATTAGAAGATAAAGTTAAAATACTTTACATAAGTCTCAAGAGTTGGTTTGCAGTTGTCAATTCATTCTGTAAATCCTGCTGTAATTGTTGCGTATTTCCAGCAGTAGACATTATTATAACGATTAAACACACTTATCATTCACTTCAAATAGAAATAATGTGTAATATATTTATAAAACTTAGTTAAATAATTATACTTAACATTTTTACACAATAAAAGTAGTTTTCCGTTATATTATGACATGCCAATGTTATTTTGAATCTACCAGAAACTGTCAAATCTGACAGTATTAACATTTTGTACCGTTTTGGAAAAAAATATATGTGAATAAGATGTTTTATCAATAAACTATATGAAAAAATACACTATGTGTCCATTTAATTAAATTGGAGCATAATAAGGAGTTCAAATGTGTTTAGTGTTTAAATTCCATATCTCTGGATAAAACCTAAATTCACAATGTATTTTGACATGACTTCTTTCTTGTATTTTTGGTAACCCTAATCCCTATGTCAGTTTGCTATTATTGACAATCACAAAAATGGAGGAAGGTATATCTGTTAAAAATGAAGATAAAAGTATTGACATTAAACAAGAAAAACATGAAAGTGTTGATAACTTTAAATGTGAATATGATTCTGGAAGTCAAGACAGCAGTAAAAGTGGAAGTGGAGGGTACCAGCGGTGGGCTCCAAATTTAAATGGGGTACGGAAAAGTGCATTTACACCATACAAATCTGTTCAATGCACACCGTTAACCAATTTACAAAGAGGTAAAACTATAATTATTGTCATAAAATTCAGAATAGAATATCATATCGATTATCCTTTGTGAGCAACTGGCTAAGTTTTAAGCAGTTCAAGGTCGATTTTGTAGGTAATACGCAGGCGCGCGTCCCCGAACTGCCTCAGCCCGATTGTAGCTTTCACGCTAAAGCTGGCCGCGGCGAAATAACCCGTGACGACGTGAAACTGGAGCAGTATGTTGATATTACCGATGAACACGGACTTACGGCGCTTCACTGGGCCGCCAGCTACGGTCAGTTAAATAGCTGCCAGGATCTTGTGTGGTAAGTTCATTGTTTCCATTGTTCACATTTTTACTAGGTCATGCCATTGTTTGCTTCTATTAACTTCTTTTGTTGGAAAATGGGTTCTGTTCTGAATTACTTCTCTGAAGAAAGATTAACCAAAATATACTAGAAGTTTTCAAATTTTTTAACTATATTTGAAACAAAGAACTTATCAATATTTTATAAAGAACTTATCAATATTTTATATAGGAGTGGTGGGAATGTTAACATGAGGGGACCCGAGGGTGAGACAGCACTCCATCTGGCAGCTGCGGGCGGACACCATGAGGTTGTGAAGTTTTTGTTGAATGAAGGCGCTGATGCTGATATACAAGATGATGTAAGATAATGTCATATTAATATAACACCAACCAAAAATAATATTGGCCCTATATTTACCCACTAGAAATCATCTATTATATAGAGGTCTTGCCTTAAAAAAATTTGAAGACATAAGTCTAATAATTTTTAACTAACATTTTGTATTATTTTGATGCTTCTATAAGCAAAGTAGCAGTGATTAATATGTTTTTATGGTATTTTCTAGTCTGGAAGCACAGCTTTGATGTATGCAGCCGCTGCTGACTTTCCCTACACCTGTAATGAGCTCCTCATCCGTGGAGCGGACCTCACCCTTACTAATGATTATGATCAAGACGCCTACACTCTCACCACTACCAATAATTGCAAACTGGGTTAGTTTCTCACAGAATTATAGTATTTTTTTATAAATTTAATTCTTATTTTAAATTTCATTCTTATTTTAAATTTCAATAATTTAATTCTTATTTTAAATTTCATTCTTATTTTAAATTTCAATAATTTAATTCTTATTTTAAATTTCAGCTCAAACTGTGATAGAAAATTTTTTGATTGGCTGCCTTAGCAAAATGTGAAGGATTCCACTCATTCATGTTCAGTTGCTGAGAACAACCAACACAACGGATTCATTTGCTTACAGCAGTTAAATGAAAATACAGGGATTTAGTTTATAAATATAAAATGTATTTAATATATATTTTAAGTTCAATTTATACAAACATGTGATGTGATGTGACTCAATAGACAGACAATATATGAATTAAACCTCACCATGTGTATTATTCCCACAGCCCAGTAATAAATACAAAATAAAAAAACATAGATATACTCTTAAGACATATTAAAGATCAACAATAACATTTCAACATATCAAAAATACACATTAACAATTCTTCCAAAATTACTAACTATTTTTGGCTTCACAATATATAAATTCCTTACACCCAATAATAAATTCTTTAAAATATTAACAACACCATAAAAAATAAATGCATCAATTTTGTGACTCAAAAGAGTCTGTATATATATATATTCAGTATATTTTTTAAATATTTACATCTTATAGTTTTGATTCAGTCAGCCAGTTGAATGCTTGAGGTTTTCTGTTCGATTGTGGGTTAATGGCAATATTTATAATACTTGGTCTGTCCGTTACTTGAATTGCTGATTTCAAAGCTTTCTCAATTTCTTCAACTGTACGACAGAAATGGCCGCTTGATCCAAACATTTCCATCATTTTTTCATACCTCACTTCTGTTGATAGTGCCGTGGGTGGAGTACTGGAAGAAAAATTCATACAAAATTAACAATGATTAAGGAAAATACAATACAGTTCATTTCATATACAAGTATTAAGAAAATTTAAGTTTTTGAAAATTGTTACATATATTTAGGTTTTTGTTTAATTTTAAATACTTTTTTTTGGTATCTGTAAGATATTATCTTAAAACAATGCGTTGAGGAGTTTTACAGCAATATGTATGTATTATTTTAATTTTACTATAAGTTGGCTTGCATCTAAAAAATATTTTATTATAAATGGAGTAAAAACTTGGGCTAATAATGTGATATATAATAATTAACAATAATATTGTCAAAACTCACCACTGGGCAAGATGACCAGAGTTTTGTATCTCCGTCATCATTTCTTTGTCGAAGCCGCTGTAAATGCCATTGTTGTTTACAATCACAATAATCACTGGCAACTTGTAGCGGAACATTGTTTCAATTTCCATACCTAAAAAAATAAAAAATATTTATAACTTATTACGTACATATATGTACCTAAGCATTAAATAAAAGTTGTAACATTGTTTTGACATTTAATACTTATTAAGCCCTTATTCATTATCAATATTTATATACAGGATGTGTCAATTTTAATATTTTAAACTGAAGACTAGCGACCTGTAGTAGTTTAATTAAATGGGTCTAACATTATTTAAAGCAATGAAAATTCAAATGTAACATGTAATATACATATACATATTATGATTATATCTGTTATAAGTGTATCTGGACAGGACGAGAAATCCTTTTATAATAAAACCCTGGCCCTATTACCCTCATCACATTATTTTAGAACAGACTGCCTTCGATGTTCGTAATTTTGGTTGTTGGACTAATTTTCGTTTTAGAATAATAAAAGAATAGTTTTAATGTTACATTAATAAATAATGTCGTTCTTGATGTGTAGGACACAAAAAGTATCCAAAGTTTTATGTGTGGAAAACATTTTATTTTTATTTAAATTTCTTAAACAATGAAAGCATTAATTAAATGTTAGCTAAATTCAAACAAACGAATGTTTTTAATTTTGTAAAGTTTCTGAAGGCAACAAGGGCCTACTATTTTTGTCTCATAGCTTTTAAAATGTTTTTTAAGCCATTTAATTCTTAAATTTATTTTTTTGTTGGGTTTAATTCTACGAGAGATAAGTAATTATTAATTTACATAAATAAAGACGGGATAAACTTTTTTCTTATTATTTTATGACTGAAAAATTAAAAAAATAAATAAAACAAATAAAATAATATATCAGCTTTGGTGGACACCTAATCATATTTTTATTTCACACAATATATGAAAATAGAAATTTCATACCAATGCCCATACAGACATCAGTATTGAAAAATTCAATTTGAGCATTATATCTTTAATAGGTAAATCGATTTTTAATTGAATTATTAATATATGGATAGGTGAATTAACAAAAATAAAATTTACTTCTTTAAATCAAAAAATAATTGGATACAAATGTTTGTGTGAGATATTAATTGGAATAAATTGTGAAATAAAATCGAAGAATATCGTAAGTTTTTGTCATAAGAACATGTGAATTTCTCTATGACTCATACAATTTTATGTATTTCAAAAACAGTATTAGTATTGGATGATATTTTTCTAACATTTTATTGTTCTGAAGGCATCTGTGACATGTATTGATACTTTCGAAGTCAGTGTGATGCTTATATTAGTCAAAAATCAGCTTTACCTGAAAAACCAAACGCAGAATCTCCTTCCACACAAATTACTCGTTTTTCGGGAGCGTGGTCGCGACACCACTGAGCCGCAGCTACCGCGAACCCAGGACCAACCTATGTATAAACAAATACAAAACTTAATAGGCTACAACACTACATTATTATTCTTAAACCGTATTATTATTGTTAATTTTTATGAATCAACAATTCATATATCTACTTAAATAATATACGTTCTAAAGGATTTTTATTAATGTTCTTTCTATATATAGTTTGTCGATGAGCTATGCGTTCAGATATTAATTTCATAGGTAAACTGTAAGGACGAAGATGAACATCTTTAGAGAAATATTTCAATTTTGTTTTCACATAGTACGTGGATAATTCTTTTCTCAAAATTTCCTATACATATAGATTGAAACATATAGTGATTAGCCTTGCTATTGTTTGGAGTTACCAAAAATATATTATAAGTCAACGCAATCTGTTGTCTTTTATAATTTCTTTCAAATAATTCGCAATGGTATGAAAATTTAAATCCGCTCAAGAATTTATTTTAATTAGAATAAAAAAATTAAAGTTTTAAAGTTAAATCAAAAATTATTTTCCTGTTAGTATCTTATCGCGACACATCTATTAATGGTAAAATAGTTTTCTAACTAAATAATATTTTTATCTTAACACTTCGCCTCGTTAAATCCGGAAACAATATTATTTTTCATTTATCAAAGTGGCAACGCTAATCTGTAACTTTACTTTTTAATCGAATAAAATACTAAAAATTGTCTTATAATATGAATGATTGATACAATGTCGTTTGCAACAATGAAATTATAACAAAAGTATATACTTAATATAAGTAAGGTTTCTTCGCACAGTACTCAAGATTATAATTCGTCAAGGACCTACAACCGTTCCGATTGGTAAAATAATCTATTGCGAATAAAGCTATAGCAAAAAAAATATAAGAGATGCATGAAATGTATACCAATTAAATATTATTATTAAAACGATATACATATTACTGAATTAATTAATGTCATAATTATTTAACTTGAAGTAATTATTATGTAAGTTTTATGTGCAAATTATTATAAAATTAATAAGTTATACATATTATTTATTTGTCATACCCCCATAGTGCCGAATGTTCCAGCATCCAAGCGATGTCTCGGTTTATTATTGAGTAATATCCCACGACCAATATCCATAGTGTTAGCGCCTTCACTCACTATTATGGAATCCTTTGGTATATTTTCTTGAACTGTTTTAAAAACTGCATAGTAATTCAATGGCAGAGATTTGTCGTTTGCTTGTGCCTGCAAATATATTACATTGTATGTATATAATTGTTCTAGATAGAAGTTAGTTTTGTGTAATTTGCTGTTTATTATCAATCATATTAAAATTATTATTCAATTAATTACAATACAATGTTTTATGGTTGCAAAAAATAATTTCGAAATGTTATACTTTAAAAAAAATCTGGAAGATATTAAATCCAAGTTACAATTCAGAAAACAATTCAATGTTATTATAACGCTTTGTTGTTTAATATAATACGCAGGTTTTATTTACACATTTGAACCGCAATAATATCAAATGAGTGAGTAAGTTGAAAATCTAAACAATTTTATTGGCAGTGTTATAAATATGTTTAGCTTTGTGTAAATTTTAAATAGTCATATAAGTTAAATATTTATTTAATTTCAAATATTAATACCTTAACAAATTCTGTGTTTTTCTTTTGTTTTTCCTTCAATGCCTGCCACCAGGAACTATTATTTTGTAATGAAAACTTTTTCTCTGCCAGTTTATTTGTAAGTGCTTCTACAAACGGTTTGATATCGGAATGCACGGCCACTTCTGATTTAACACTGTTGTGGAATTCTTCAGGAGCTATATCCACCTAAAACATGATAACATTTAATTGTTTATTTTAATATAATCAATTATTCTTTGTTTTAAGTTATAAATTATTTCAAGGGACTCTCAAATGAAAAGAAATTAGTATAGAGTAAATTAGATCAAGTGCTACTGAGATATTTCCAAAAATTATATGTTCATATAATGTAAAGATATAATTACAATTTATTAAAAAATAGTCCATTTATATTTATTGCAATTTTTTTTTGAAGAGAAAATTGTCAATGTACCTACTTTTATTAGTTTAAAGTAGTAAGAAAATTTTTAATAAATACATATTCAATATATGAGTAATTTACAAACATTTATCTTTTTCAAAATATATCTCACTTACTTGAATTATTTTAACATTGGCTGCATATCTCGGGACCTGCCCGAAATGCATCATCCAATTCATTCTGGCTCCCAACAGTAGTATGACGTCAGCGCCAAGTAACGCCTGTGTACGAGCGGTTGATACACAGTATTGAGACTCATCCGGGACTACTCCTTTACCTATATCAAACAATAATAATAATATATTAACAATTTAATAAATAGCCAACTTCAAAAAAAATATATTTCAAGATACTTATGTTTTATTTACGTAAAGTAAATCATAATAAATGAAACAACATCAAAACATTATATTTTTTGGTTAAAAGATAGTCTCCGAAATTTCCTAAATTTGCAAAACATATACATAATATAGTCATTACGTTTGTTTTTAAAAGAAATTTATTTATCATTAAGAATTTGATATGTAGATAATAATATATGTATAAGAATTATCTTACCCATAGGAGTTGGTAGGAACGGTACTTTAATATTTTCCACCAGTTTGGTAATAGCCTCTTCTGCTTTTCCATAAGCAGCTCCTTTACCAACTATTATAAGGGGTCTTTCTGCCTTGGCCAATAATTCAGCTGCTTCATTTACCAGTATTGGGTTTGGGTGAGCCAAACTAACTGGATCCGCTGAGTAGTAGTCCAAAGGAACCTTGTCTTCATCAGCCTCACCCTTTAAAATTTATATAATTAAATTATTACTAAATTGATGGCATTAATTTGTTTGGATAATAAAAAAATAGGACTTTCACATTATAAATAAGTGGTACATAGAGACATATTAAACATTTTAAGTTATAAGTTTTATTAAGTCTTAACCATGATACCAATTTTGTGTTTTTGGACATTATTCTTTGACTGGAAATTATTATGTGAAGTAGTAGTAGCATTTCTTGTCAATAGGGTATAAGTTAAAAACGTTTTTACCGTCAGTAAGGTAGCAGGCATATCAAGATAAGCGACACCAGGACGTCCAGAGCTTGCATATCTGATGGCTTTTTCCACATGTAGTGGAATAAGTCGTGGGGAAGGAGGTCGAGCTGCATATTTACTATATTGACGAGATGACTCCACCTAAAATAATATAGACTATATATATGATATATTTAGATTCTATATCATATATGAATTGTGTTAACAGATTAAATATGTAACAGTTATTATATAAACATTTATTTGGAATTAACATATTATTATTAAACAGATATAATATTCCATGTAAAACCTAATATTTTCAAGAGTTTTATTCATTTATATGAAACCTATATTTTTCGAATATACTATGTGACTTTATTTTTGATAAAAACTACCTATCAGGCACTAACTAAGCTAACTACTATCAAAAATAAAGTCGCGTAATATATCCGAAAAATATTAGTTTCATTTAAATATTCCATAAGACTCAGGACAAAATTAAATCTTTGTGTCACTTTTGAAGACTGTACAATTTATTTAAATCAGATCAATAGTACTTATCTATTAATTAACAGTATTAACTATTAACATAATTATAGATAAGTATTGATTTCCTTGTTGTATTGAATGATTTATTTTAACATTACCATTGAGTCTATGGCATAGACAACAATTATTAATAATATCGGTACTAACTTGTCCAATAAATTTTATGATTCAGATAAGAATCATATAAAATCAAATATAAATAGAATTTTCAACAAAATAATTATTAAAAGAAACAAATAATCTTTAAAATTATCTCAGTATCTTATATACTTATTTGTCATTATCAATTTGAATTTATTACATCCCTACTAATATTATAAATGCGAAAGTAACTCTCTCTGTCTGTCTGTTACCTAAACCACTGAACTGATTTTAATAAAATTTGGTACAGAGATAGAGATGACCTTGAAAAAGAACATAGGATAGTTTATATCCCAGACTTTTGGAAGGTTCTCTTGGAAACGAGATATAACCGAACTCCACGCGGGCGAAGCTGCGGGTGGAAAGCTAGTATAAAATAATTTATTTATTATAAGTGAATTGATGATTATGAACCTGCAGCCATTCCTGGAAGCCGCCAATGCCTTCGTGGTCTTCTGGGCAAGATCCGGCAATTACTAAAAGTGGCCAACAGTTGACTTGAGCATTGGCCATACCTCCAATACAATGTAAGAGACCAGGGCCGGATACCACTAAACATACTCCTGGTTTACCTGAAAATAGATAAAAAATTTAAATTAAAATCCATCTATAATTTGCTTAGGGAACAATTTAATCATGATTTGTCATGGACCTTTTAATCTAATCTCATCAATTAATTAATAAATAAAGCAATACCTAATGTTGAAAAAATAATAATTAAAAAAATATATTTATCATTTGATAACTACTTATATTATATAATGTTATTATCTATTTGATGTATTTGTTACTGATAACTAATCAGTTATTATATCAAATTCTACCAGAATTTAAACATACCACACATCCAATTTATATGTCCCTGAAAATAGTTTTTAATTGTATACTTAGTAATAGATTCTCCTTTTGTTGTATTTTAAGTGATGATAATATATTTGAATTTTTATATCATTATTCAAATCAAAACAGTTTGTCATATAGAAAAACTCTATTTATGTACCTGTTAAATAGCCAATAGCTTGAGCAGCATAACAGGCTGCTTGTTCATTTCGCATCCCAATGTACTTGAGACCTGCAGCTTGAAAAGCTAATGAGGTCTCTATTACAGGAATACCAACAATTCCAAAAACATACTCAATACCCTTGAAAAAAAATTGCAAACATTAGGTTATTTATATAATTTAACATAATTATAAGTATTATGTTAATTAACTAGTAATTTATACAGTACATTAAAACGCAAATGTATTGCAATGTCGTGAACATTGAAGGTTTTTTTTTGTTAACCGACATTAACGCAATCTATCTATTAATAATGTAGTCATCTTTAATATTAAATATATAAAATAAGTTTGCCCTACTTTCATAGTAAAAGCTTTGAACTCTCCTCCCCCCACCCCAACACCAGTCAAAATACAGTGTTAAATAATACGTACCTGTCTCTTCAAGCTTTCTGCGAGAATATTATTCCCGTCGATCCCCATTGCTTGATTTAATTTTGGTGATACGTGGAAAGAGCGCTTTAAAAACGGCAATGAAAGTCTCGTTAGTCGCCCTAATAACATTTTAAAAATTAATACGTGAAATTACAAGTAACGCAAAGTGTAAGAGCACTCTAAACGTCTAACATGCGACCCCCACTTAAGTTTGACTTACTGATAACAGTGACCAAATTCGCGGCCAGAAAATTGTTTATACTTGTATTGAGAGTAATAAAATTATCAGGTATGTATGGACACTCTTTATCGCTTTAATTCTTTTATTATACTGACTTAACATGTACTATCAGTTTGTATTTTGATCAAAATTTGAACTTTGAACGTATTATTTCGCAAAATATCAATTGACATTGATTTTGTCACTGTCATAACTTTGACAAGACGTCTGTCAGTGACTGTGGTTTTTTCTTTTAAGTCACAGACTGACAAAGGCAAAGATCATAAATCTATTCAGCCTAGTGGTACTAGGGTGAACAATAAATATTTATTTTGATATTTCAATGACTACTATTATTTGGCTATGGTTACTTGAATACATTTTAATTATAATAAGCATTGTTGCAAGTAAATACTCGGGTGATAATGTAAATATCCTTGATATTTATTACTTTTTAATAGATCCAAAATTGTACATATTAAATTTCTTATTTTAAGGCTAAAATACTTAACATAACCACATTTTACCATAGACTATTGCATCAGATTTAAGGTTTTCCACAGGTGTCTTAAAATTTCCGCAGTCATTTGAAAATCAAAAATAATCTTGATCAACCTGGTAGAGAACAAAAGATATAAAGTCAAGTTTATTTTATTATATTAATTTAATAATGATGTTACTATGAATATACATATACACATGCAAGTTTTAAAATGACATAACATATTTTAAGTTTTGCAATGTGACCACCAAGCCATGTCATATTAGATTGTAATCAATTGCATTGTATTGTATTATAAATATTATTGAGTTTTATGGTCTTTGTTTGTTTCTTTTTATTGTTATCATTTTGTAGAGGTGTCTAAAATGGTCAGTTAAAATCTCGAAAGTAATAAATAGTCAAAAATTGTATTTCTACTGCTAAAAATGTATTATAAAAAAATCTGGTTGTTTTGACGTTGATGCGTATGTTTTTCATTAAAAAATATTATTAAGTACTTTTCAAAGACTTAATTTGCAAACATTTAATATATTTTTTAAATTATTAATGTTTTTAATGAATCCATGCAATTCTATTCATTAATTTATGTTAATATAATTACGGGTTCAATAATTGGAATGCGATTAAGGCTGTAGTGAATTATTAAAAATCATAATACCTAAAAATCGAACATTTGGAATTAGAAAATGATTTTACTTATAAGAATATAAATTATACTGTAGCTTATGTGAAGTTTAGTTTGAAAAAATATTAGAAATATTTCCATGGGAATGTCACCTCACAAGTTTAAAAACGTCGGAAAAGGAGTAATGGTTAAGGGAATTCCAAGCCTTTAAGGCTCATATGGTTATCGATGCATTACAGATAAGATTGTTATTTCATTAGTGGACGATGGTTAGTATCTCCCTAAAAATTGCCGTTATACGGGTCCTCGTTTCGCAGAAGTGTCATAGCGGAAATACAAGTATTCATATTAATTTTTTACATCCATATTTTAAAGTATCTTTGTGTTTGTATTTAGTACATGTATTTTATTAATACATATGACTAATTGCTTCATATATTATGTAGATTCATATTTTTGAAGATTTCCAATAAAACTTTTTTAATACGTTTTCTTCTAATCAAAAAGTAAATGGCATAGTTTTTGATTTAAACAAAAAGTACATATTTGCAATTTCCTTATATTTTTAGTACCATCTTAAGTTGAAGTTAGTTTTTTCAATCAAACCCTTTTTAGACTTCTTTACTGTCTTTTCCATTTTTATTTCAAATAAATATTTCGTTCGCCTTTTTATATTTATCTTTCCTTGATTGAGTATAACATTTGGTGTTGTTCTTTTTATATAAGTTATACAATAACAAACTTCTAAATACAACTAAATATATGAGATACCTAAAGGATGATTGTAACAAAACCATTTTTGAAAGATGTGTTTATTTATTGGAAAGGTCTACTTATTACCAACCTAAAAAACGAAGAGCTGAAATGGATTGCGTTAATCTTTTTAATTTGATGTGCGATTTGAATGAATATCTGCGGTTTCGTTCCACGTATTTTTTCCTAAATATTTATTTAGGTATTTATCTTATTTGTACTCACACAAATGGTGCACACAAGGCGTGCTTGATGTTAAGATATATTCCATATCAGCTTACCGTGAAGATGTAGAAAAAATGGAATAGGACCGTGCAAAAACTAACAACAAATTGATTGAGTTAAAAAAATCATGTATCATAATTATAGTATTAGATGAAATGACAATAATAAAGTGGGTATGATAAGGTTATAAGTTTTTTCAGAAATAGTACTTTACTTGATATTTTTAAATATATTTTGGTGCAGCCTTAGGTAGAAACTCAGGTAAATCGTTCCAAAGGCGTATAGTTATTACAATAAACCATTCCGATAAAAATCCAGTGTACCCAAAGTTGAAAAAATATCTCTGACGCTTGTATGTAATATTGATTATAAGCCATTTTATCGGGTTAGCCGGCCATCTTTTTGTCGTTTTAAGACGTAAGTTAAAGAAAGTGAAATCGAATAATACATTTTTGCAAAATTAGTCATTACTTTTTTGGGAGTCTTAAAGGGAAAATTTTATTGATTTAAACTTTTTTCTTAAACCTTAGTGAATATTATCGTGTAGCGTTTGTTGAGTAAATTAGATCGAAGTCTATAAATATTTGAAGGTCAATGGCACTAGCAAAATACCATTGTTGACCCGGTGTTACATCCAGAATATTTAACTGCCTACTCAGAATTTAAGTCTTAGAAACCATGAATATTATACGGAATCAATTAGAAGTCTGAGTATTTGGGTTAAACTGAGTTTCACCTCAAGTTCTGGGTTTGTTATCATCAGACAACACGGTGGTTTAAAATTACGATGAAATATATATCAGAAGAACCATCGTAAGTTTGTATTTAGGTACTTTTGTCAAAAACTAGCTTTGGATCCTGCGACTTATATTTACGAGTACCACAATGTCCTATGCGTGCAAAACGAATCCCGTACCTAATTGGAAAAATAATTTGCTTGTAAGTTATTCTATAAACCAGTGTTCCGTTACACAGTGGGTTGGTGAATGTCATTGTATGAGGTCTTACTTCTTATCCTAATAATGTCGGTGATAAAAAACCCGTCGACCCAGTATTCATGCAGGTATTTTTTATTGTATCTGTACAAGTTTCAGTGTCGTTATGGGAAGTAATAGTTAACAAATAACAGAAACGTTGTCGTTGTTGTCAAACATTTCCTGTACCCTTAGTAGAAGTTAACATTGTCAATATAAATCGACGTTTTAACGGTTTTTCATTCATAAAACTATGTCCATAGAATTATATGAAATATTCATAAGTACATTAAATTATTAGTTAAGTTAGTTTGAAAGGATTTTTTTTGCTGAAATCCGTCATACATCTATAAAATTGTTGTTTTGATATATTTAAAAGTCATGTTTACTTCTTTTAAATAATTCAAATTAAAAAATATTTTACAAACTTTCATATTGTTTTAATAGTAGGACAGTAGGACTATTTTTATGGCTTTGTTTTCATAGTAGACTTAACTTTCACGGCAATAAGGAAGAGATACCTCAATAGATAGAAGGCTTTTCTTCCGAAACTCTTGATTTTTAGTATTAATTAATACACTTTTACAAAATTTTAGCATCAACAACTGACCTTGATTTGATATTTAAAATAAAAAACTAATTCCTTTATTGCGATCATCATAATAATTCGTTCGATGACAATCAAAAGGCAGTGTTCAACATGGATAATAATCAAAAATGGTATAAAAATGTCCATAATATAATAAAAATTATGGTTCCGTTTAGATTTTGCACTCAGATTACATCGCGCGTGCAATAATGCGTGTGGTTAGTTGTTGACACAAGCGTTACCGTCTTCATCGCTCGGTTACCGTTCGCGATTCTATATTCACACTCAATAGCGAACAGTCCGCTGGTTAACTGCTTTAAAATGGTCCACTATGAAGTAATTTAAATTCATTATTTATTGTGTTTGAAATTTACTTAAACATTTTAAACATGGCTGTGATAAAACTGAAGATTTTCGGTGAGTTTTTTTGACTTTGATGTGTTTGATTGGATAAAGGCGGGTAGCACCAGCTTTTTTTTGTATTTTTTATAAAAAACTTAGCGTAAATTAAAAAAATAAAATGATATTATCTTTTTGATCATCATTTAGTTTCGAACAATAATTTGGTTGCTGGTGTTTTAATTAAGAAGTCATTGTCTTATTTTTTTCATATATATTTTATTTTAATAATTAATATTGCAATTAAAACTATTATTTTTTTAAACGTTTTAAAGTGGTATCTCTATTCCTCTCAATGCTATTATAAGAAATGGAAAAAATTCTGATCTCTGATGTTTTGTTCAACAATTTATACATACATTCTAAACAAGTTTCCTTAATAAGATGATTTTTTCTTGTGTTTTAAATAATTTATTTTATGGTAATACTAATACATTTCCTCTTATACAAAAACTTGATAGCGTCAAATAATTAACATGTAATATTAACTTTAATATTTTGCGTAAGTAACAATATATCATTCAAATAAACGGCTTTTCAATAGATTTTTCATACATTTTTTCTTTATTCCTTATATAATTAATTATTTTGAACGTAGGATTACAAAATATATTTTGGATTTTTTACAACAGGTTTATTGTTTGGATGTCACGAATTATGGCTTTCTGTTTATTTAGGACAATTTAAAATTTTCCGACTGGCTCTCACTTCAAAATTAATGTTACTCACAATTTATCTTTAATGTTATCATATTTATCTTTGTTATAAAGAAATAACATGTTAATTAATTAAATCAATTCCTTATTTATTTACTTCATTTATAAAGATTACTTGCAAACTTGTAAAGAAGTATAATTAATATTAAGTTAATGATAAAAGTAAGAACTTTGTTATTCTACTTTTGTTACACGCAACTGCTGAATTTTTAAAGGAATTTAATGTTCAATTAATATATGTATACAGTATGTATATTTTTAATGAGGCTTCTTCGCACTTTATTTAAAATATATTTTGTAATAGAAACACTTTATTTTTGATAACCTTGTTTAAAAAAAAAATTGTGAAACTTGGGGAAAAAATATTTCAAATCCTAATATACACAATATCCAAATCGAGAGGAAACTTCCACTGACTTAGATAAGTTAGTGCAAAATTTCTAAGAAACCGGTTTCTTTATTGAAATAAAGTATAACAAGCTTTTGCCTGTATCTTTTCCCTCTCTTACTAGAGGTTACCAATGAATTTCTTGGAAAATGCTATTACTGTCTCCATTATAAGTATCCTAGTTTCTGGGATACTTGATCGTAACTATGCCTCTTTTTATCAAAATCAGTCCCGGTAATCTTGGGTGACGTGATAGGGTATATATGAATAAAATTTTTGGGGCTAATCAGTTATGTATAAAACTGAATAAAAATAAAAAGAAAACTAAAACCATTTACAAATTCTTAAATTGTATTTTCAATGTGCAGACATTTTTCCGTTACTAATGAACAAAGTCCGTGGTTCTTTCGGCTTTATTTGGACAACATATCAATATGAAAATATATAATAGGTTCCCTATTTTTCTCCTATATAAGTGCATAATGTTTTAAAGTAATATTAAAACGGATTCAGTAGTTTTGTCCAAAATAATAGCAATGATACATAAATATTTGTAAATTATCTACAGTTTTTACATGTCTAATTAATAGCGATAACTTCTATAGAATTTGTACTTTACATTAATTCAATTTCATTAATGACAGATAAAACGGTTAATCATACATAAAATTGTAAGTGAAGTACACGTATGTTTGAACAGATTATAAAGTTGTTACAAAAATACTTTTCAGTAATTCCGTAACAGAACATGCCATGATACTTTTACTTATGTACATCAAACACTTGTTTTGAATAACAATGAACACTCATTGAAGGTATGGCGCGAGAGGGAATATTAAATACAATGTTATACAATTTAAACACAGTAGATCATAATTTTTTCACATATACAACATAAATTTGTCGTTTAAAAGAAAAATTAAAATGTTTTTCACAGAAAAAAATATAGAAATAAAATGACATAAACATAGGTAAATAAAATATTCTTTAATATTATAACTGAATTAAAACTATTTAAAAGGTAAATGTTTACATTCAACGAGACAAAAAGACAAATTAGATAAACTTTCATTAGATTTGTAAGAAAATTTACTTAGAATACGTATTTTTCGTATAATATATGTAATAAATGTATTGTACGAGAGATAAAAGAGGTTCGTTATCATTATAATAGATTAACTTCCTAAAAATTTAGTTCATTAAAAAGAACACTAATGTTTGGAGAAAAAAACACAAATGATTGGAGAAAATCACGTAATCGTGAAATTAAATTATTGCCCCTATCGATTTATTGCGAAATATCTTCTGAATATATACGAGGTAAATCTTGTATGCAGAATATTGTGTGCTCAAATTATCAACACCAGATAAATATCAGTTCATTTTAATATTTATATTCTGTTTTACCTTATGCCGTTATTTGAGATAATGTTTTTGCATGATCTGCGATTTTGTATAAATTGAAAATCTATACAATTTGCTTCGATGGATTTAGAAGAAATTATAATACATATGATTATTTTTAAATGTTCACATTTTCTGTATTAAAACCATTTTCAAATGATGTTACATTAGCAGATAGCTGGAACCTTTGTATCATTGTGGCAATATAAAACATAAATTGTTTTAGAAACTCGATCGATTCATACAGACAGACGTATTATAACATCGACTTTTGTATTCGTTTGTAGAACTGTATGTTATCAAACTCTGAATTGTTGACGCTAAAAAATGTTAACGATAAAAGAAATTTCAATTGCTCGCACTGCGAACGTGATTTTATAGGTCTTATCTCGGTATTTCTAATACTGGACGATATGATTGATTTGATTTTATAGTATTACGTATTTAATTTCAAATAAAAGATTCTCTTCTATGAATATATGTTACGAAAATATTTCTTAATTAGAATATTTATTTATTGCATAAATTGTAGATTTTATCTTGACTATAGTCTTAATTGAATTTATGAAATAACTTATTATATTTATATGTTCATAAAAGTTATTTCTTCTTAATTATAAGTTCAATAAACAAGTTCTGCGCTTAGTTTAATCCTTTTAATTTAACTCCGTCAAAGGCGTCGGTTACTCCTTATGTCTTATTATACAGGGTGACTGGTGAATTACTATCGATACTTGAGGACGTGATATTTGACGATCATATATGAGAAAATAAAAATTAATATAACATAAATATTAATAAACTTCTAAGTAAAGTTAACCAAAAGTTATGTAATTAATTACGCATCGTGTGAACACCCTACAGATTAGGTATACACACACACTCACACATACGCGTGCGGCGGCGTGGTGTTGTATCAGCACGCCGCCGCACGCGTCCACACTTGGAACACTTGGAACGTGTCAACACTTTATTTATTTATACAGAAATTTGGTCAAAAATTAAGTACTTATTTTTTTTACATAATTCGAATGAGAATCATGTACCGAGTACTCTCCTTAAATATTGAAAGTAGTTCACCAGTCACCCTGTATAAGGGAATGAAAATATAAGATAATAACAACAGGTTTTATAGTTGTTGCAAACAGAAAACATCCCACGTGTCTCTTAGTATCGCTCTATATATGGTTATATAAATAAAATATTTAACGATTCACAAAAGTTTACAAATATTGAAGCGACCTCAGTTGCTTGACAAAACTGATTATTCTCCTAGTAAAGCGTTACTGAATGCTAGATATATCTTTATATGTCACTTTTAACATAAAAGCAACGTTTTGTACGCGTTCAGCAAACATTGAAGTCGAGGTCAGAACATAAAACACCATGACATTCAACTTGTAACAAGCCTCTTCATTTCCTGAAATATTTGATTCGACCAATTTGAATATTCTATGAACTACTAACCGGTTGTCAACTATGCATATATAAAATATAAATATACCAAATGAATGTATTATTTAGTTTTTTGTATTCTATATGAAATATAAATATTTCATTTCCTCACCTTTACGTGATCATTAAAATGAATTTATCTAAATTGAAATAAAAACATTTGCACATTGCTTTTATGGATAGTATTAAAAATAAATAGAGAACAGAAATAATAGTCGTTGGTATTATAAAAATAATCTTTTTTTTTGGGTAATTATTTTTACATTAATGCAATGTTTTAATGCCGTTACTCTTAATGAGGAAAAGTACAATGAGTCTTTTTTTTACCCTAAAAATGGTAAACATATGTTGCCTTGAAACCGGAGGTCATTTTGGTTTGCTATTCTAAATGTTTGCCTAAACATGAGTTAATTTAAATATCTTATTGTAAAAATGTGATCTGCTAGAACGTGTTTTATTGCGAATTCGTAGACGTGAAAATAACAAAAAAATAATTTCATAGAAAATTTTTAACAGTTAGTCACAGATTATACATTGTTTATGTTAATAGAAAGCAAAGATTAAGATTTTCGTTAAATATTTTAGCTTAATATAGCTATCGTAATGGTACAAAATTTTACTTTATTATTTTTAGTATTTTGGAATTTTTTTTTTGATAACTTCACGAAACCCTGTCACTGCTTATGTTTTATAGTTTTTTGTATAATTATTTTTCAGACAAGATTGATTATTACATATGCATGAATTTATCTGTTTTTATATCTTTAGTTACATGAAAAAAATATATATTTAGTAGTAAACACGCTATTATGAGTCATTTGGTTCGGTTGGGCGATCGACGTAATGTCAACTTGTAATAAACCTTGCAGGTTTTACGACTAGTATTATTTAAGTGAAATAATTTAATTACTCGTCTATATATATATATATATATATATATACTTCTATCGAAAGTTACTACGTATTTTTCGGCTTATTTATTTTTTAACAACCCTTTATAAATCTTGGAACATATTTCACGAGAAATTGTTAATGATTTTTATGCATTTCAGTCATAGTATTCGCTTTTAAAAAACTTATTTTGTATTGTCTTAAGAACAAGATATATATGTATATCTTAACCTAATCATTATATAACCGATGTAGGTTTTTTTTTAAACAAATTATTATAACCTTGAAAAAGAATAATGGAGTTGTTAGAAACGTTTTTGACAATAAATGAACTTCTTAGATTAGTTATTGCATCATCGTTTTCCGGATGTATTACCATATGAGGGATTTGTTTGTTTTAAACATTGAGCTACTCGTATATAGTATTTCAGAATTGGATCTTGCAAATATTTAATCATCTTATACAGGGTGACTGGTGAATTACTATCGATACTTGAGGACGTAATATTTGACGATCATTTATGACAAAATAAAAATTAATATAACATAAATATTAATAAACTTCTAAGTAAAGTTAACCAAAAGTTATGTAATTAATTACGCATCGTGTGAACACCCTACAGATTAGGTATACACACACACGCACGCGTCCACACTTGGACCACTTGGAACGTGTCCACACTTTATTTATTTATACGGAAATTTGGGCAAAAATTAAGTACTTACCTATTTTTTTTACATAATTCGAATGAGAATCATGTACCGAGTATTCTCCTTAAATATTGATAGTAATTCACCAGTCACCCTGTATATAAAATTCTCGTATCGCGGTGTTAGACAGAGAACTCCTCCGAAACGTCTGGAGCGATTTTGATGAAATTTTGTGAGCATATTGAGTAGGTCTAAGAATAGGCCAACATCTATTTTTCATACCCTTAATACATAAGGGTTGTTTACCCTTAATTTTATTTTTTTTATATTTTCGAATGAAGTTTTTTTTTGGTTTTTATAATGTAGCATTAAAAAATATCACCAACCCCTATATTTTTAATACGGCAAAACAGCGTTTGCCGGGTCAACTAGTATTCAGTACCAATTTACCAATATGTACTATCATTACAGTATACGTGGTTTGTAAAGTTGGTATGTATGTATATAAAATAAATAATTGTTGCAATATTTCTAAGTATCTATTACTGATTACATAATGATCGTAGACGTATTGTTTACATTGTTGGTACTGTAAAAATGTATAACAACATATTTCATATTGCTATTTGCGTTAATTAATTTTATTCGTATTGATTATTTCTATAAAAACAATTAAATGTTATTCCCCTTTGTAATAGAGGCCTGAGACCTTTGCTAAGTTCCGTGTAAGGACTTGTTGATAATTAGCAGCTACGTTTTAGTATCTATTTTGATACGTTTTTGAAATCCAAAGCGAAGTTTACATTTACATTCCATATTTGCAAATATACTGAAATAAATTTTAAAGTATTAAGTATAAAGTAAAAAAACAGGTATTAAACTATACAGGTTTACTACCCGAAAAAACTCTACCATTTATTTACGAAAAACAAATTATGTTCTACATTTATTAACAGTATTGAAGCTATTAAATTATTTTATAGTATTAATATTGCTAATAAAATTAAAGTAATGATTAATATAATAAAAAAATATATATCCGTAGGTGAAAGACTGTAGTCACCATATATCGACGTGTATGTCGTGTTTAGTCAACTAACTGCAGAGAGATTAACAATCGGAAAACCGTAATTATTTTGTGGTGTTATGCAACTTTACGATTTTTTATTATTTTTCCTCTATATGACATTGATTTTTGCCAAATTTCACGATTCTAGGTCAACGGGAAGTTCAATTTTGGTTTTGATGTCCTTGCGAGCGTCTAAACATGCAAAATAAGCTGTTTATGAATGATAATTATCTTTCAATTGTTTAATTTAATTATTATTTCGGTTTGATACCTCTCAGTCCTAAAAAAGGTATTGAAGAAATGAGGGAGAGCAAGAAATACGTGTAACAATTTCTCGTTTTTTCCTATTAAAATACAGAACCCTAAAAATATTTCTGGATTGTATTTCTCGGTCAGTATTTATTTAGGACGAAAAGATAGGACGTTGTCGTGGTATTAATAAAATTCTAAATAACTTCATCGAACTAAATTTTTATTGGAACTTTTTAATCCAATGGATTTTTAATCATCGAAAAGAATTAGTCAAACGATAAGAGGGTCTACTTGTTATTAGGTTATAAATGTTGCCAATAAAAAGTCTTGAAGGCCTTATATTTGTGGCTGAACTAAAAATAGCGTTATCATGTTTAAAAGTCCGTATTTCTAGTTATCCACACCAAAACAGAAAGAAGGTAGTTAAAATTTACTCTATCGAAAAGAATAAAACATGAATTATTTAATAGACATGTATTAGATGTATATGAAATGAAATCTAGCACGTTAAGAAATTTAAAATTTTCTTAACGTGGCTGTAATTTAAACAAATATTCCTGATAAATTCGTGAAGTACAACACATTTTTTTATAACAATATGAAGTTTTTGCCAAAAACTCTTCGTTTGTAGTTTAAAAAGATATTTCCTTAATTTTGCCTCATTTCACTTGGTTACTAGGTTAAATAATAAGAAGTTACCTCACCGTTGCTTATAATTTCCTTGAATTCGATCGTGCTTCTTTATATCGACTTCAAGGATGTTCTAAAAGTATGCAAATACTGTATAAACAAAAATAAAAATTATTTTTTTGGGTTTAAGTTAAATTGTTTACACAATTATTTTTTTACGGAGGTCTTAAAAAATGATAACAATGCAGAATTTATTATTTCTTCACGAAGAATGTGTATTAGGATGTTTTACAATTCATCACCTGTATTGTTTTCTTCACCGTAAGTTAACAATGATTCTTGCAGCGTATTACTGGAACTTATAAATAACGAATGATAATTAAAGGCATATAAATATTGAATATTAGGGCTTAAAGGGTCTTGTCTTATCTATCTACAACTGTCTTATGCAAACCCTAGATGTTGGGAAATAACTAGAGTTTTTCCTATAATAGTTCGTAGCTGGTTCGCAAGAACTGCTAAACTTTAAATAGTTAATAACAGAATATACATAAAAAACACTTTTAATTAGGTCTTTTACTGTTTTAAAGTATATATTTAAGAAAATATTTCCAATAATTAAATCTTTTGCTGTTTTAATGTTCTATAAATTTAAAACTAAGTTTTTCTATTGATATCATTTTAAGAAACTAAGTAAAATGCAAATGAAATAAATTCCATTGTATTTTTTGTATTTTTTTTCATACATTTTAAAACCTTTTTTAATTATTATTTGTGACATTTGTGTTTGTTATGAAAGTTAACGTTACAAGTGACATTTATTTATAAATAATCTAATATGAATTTTAAATACGATATAATTTGTGAATATATTATGAAAGAAGCATGATATTATGGAGAAGAAATTTAATATAAAGATTAGAGGTTTTAAATACATAATATTTTATTTATTTTAATATTTATATCTATGTGTAAACAAGTAAGACATGTTTTGAAATCATAGCCAAAGTGAAAACAAGGCTCTGTGCAGTAAACATGATTTTGAATATTTATTACAATGGAGGCATATATGTATAAGTAAAAGTATTAATTATATATAAAATAAGTGACAATCCTAGAAAATTGCTTAGCATGTCTTTTTATAAAAGACGGTGTAAAGGTTTTGCCATCAAATATTATTTTGTAGTATATGGATTCCGCTATGTACTGTTTTGATTTAATGAAATAAAATTTTATTGTATACAGAAAAATATATTCCAAAATATATGTAGTTTCCATCGTCTCTTAAGATATCCAGAAAGAAAAGACTTCAACGGGATCTATAATATTTTCCCTTCAATTATACTTTTATATAATATGTATATTAAAATTCTATTATATAATATCTTGAACGATTCTGATTATAATAAAAATAACTTTAAGCATATCTTTAAAACAAATATTCGTATCCTGTACATATAATTTGCATAGTCACCTTATAAATAAATATAAATTTCATAACTGACGTTTTTATTGATATATAATTATTATAATTAATTTCAGATGTAATCCCAGTGAGGTTCAATTTATGGGTGATGTTGTTTACCAGTTGCTGGGTCGTGTATATGCTTAGAGTCAACATGAGCTTGAATCTGATAGCTATGGTACCACAACCGGTCAAAAACATAACGTAAGTATACTTACAGTACTTTATTTAAAGAAAAAATATATAACAATACACTATAAAGAGCATGTATGTATACTCATCCTATTCATGTGTACAAAAATGGACAATATCTTTGACTGAATGCAACAACAAAAAATGTACAACACTATAATGGGCAAAGTATACGTAGGAAGAAAAATTATATACACAAATGTATGTACATTTACGAGTATATGTATACATGAAGAAATTGTGATTTATTTACAAGAACTATAATTATGTTATAATGACGACCATTATCTAATTTATGTGAGAGTAATCTTCTACTTAGAGTACAGCTGCAGTTTCTTACTCAAAGATGTATTCTGAGGTCGTTGGTTCCAGAACTAGTTAGTCCTGTTTAGTCATTATAGTGGCGCCTAGTATACTTGTGGATGATCCTATTTTTATACTTGCTCCTTTTGCATTATTGTGTAAATAATTCTATGGCTGCGAACACAAAGTTTTTATAGCTATTTTTAGTCATCTCATCATATTATACTTTTTATATAAGTTTAAAGTTTCGCTAAATCCGAACCTAAATAAAAAACTTTAAAAGTATCTGTCATGTTTTTTACTTATACTATTTTCAATTTAAAGGTCGTTTTTTAATAGTTTAAAAGGAAGTTTTAATATAATTATAGGATCGTATTTTTAGAAGTATGTTTCAGATATACCTTTCACTGTGATAATTATTTTGTTTCAGATCAAAGTCCAAGTGTGGCAGCGATAATGTACCTTTAAATGAATCTTTAAATCACGTTGATGTTTCTGATGTGAGGGAAGCACCGAGACAGGTGATTATAGTTTACTATTATTAAAAGTTTAATTACAAAGAGATTTTTATCAAAACTACTATTCTAAGTAATATCTATTCACCGTATCAAATGAATTATTTTTTATAATTCCTATGACGCGATATAAATTTCGATTTAACCAATCATTGTGTTCAATGTTGTATTAAGTTTTTATATACACTTAAGCCATATGAAGGCTTCTCGTCTGGTTATTTACTTGCGATTTACATTGTTACTAACTAGGTATGACTGCTAGAACATACACGTTTTTAGAGATAAGCTTTTCAAAGGCTGTTAGAAAGTATAAACAAGTGGAAATTTTTGCTATACACTATTTACAAAAAATAATGAAAAATTATTTAGACTTTACGCTTCAATTAAAGTAAGTTTTGTCTTGACTTTTATCGTGTCTACCGCTTCTTTTTATATCATATAATTTCTTTAAGGACTGGACTTCTAAATGTATGTTGATATTTTCTAAGCCTGAAATAATACGGAACGCTCAGTCTAAACTGCATTATAGTGTTTGAGTAGTTAGTGTGATGACGCACACTACAAACTTTTCATAAGAATTTTTTATAAGTGGAAATCTTTTTAGAAGCCATGTAGATTGAATCAGTCGTGAAAAATAAGTATTATTAGGTTGAATAGTTTTAATTTTTTTTTAATGATGTTAAATTTATCTAATACATTACAAGGAAGGAAAATCGTCTACTACTGACGTTTGTTTTAATGATTTTTAAATATACCAACTATGATTACTGTGTCATAAGTATTGATTGATATAGGAGAATATACATTTATTATTTGTAATAGCAGCTTAAAATGTCAAATAACGTTTGGATACGATGTATTCTATACCTCAAAAGTTTATTACTATATATGTGTATATATATATATATATATATATATATATATATATATATATATATATATATATATATATATATATATATATATATATATATATATATATATTATTTCTTTATCTCCTATAAAAAAAATTTTCGTCGTAAAATAAGTTAATGCAATTTTATATCATAATTCAAGTTCATGCAACATAAGTTTAAGAATAGATACGTGAAATGGTCGATTTGCGTCACTTATTAATAATGTCACTATTTGGCTTTATCATTTAACTTGGTTAAATATTACGTGAAGAAAAAAGAATGATTGATTTATTTGTTATAACAGCAGGCTCAACTAATGGGTTGTAATTGAATTTTTTCTCTGTGTCTAATTTCATTACGATAATTTCATTTGCTTTATCGAGATTAAGTTGAAAACTGAAGTAGTATATTTGCATACACAACACTTGATATTAAAAAATTACAAGGTTGACAAAAACATGTATTAATAATCAGAATGTACCAAAAAGTTTTTAATAATCTGTTTATATTTTACCAATGGAATATCTAGATAATTGCTATAGTAACAGTTAAATATAACAATATAATTTTAACGTTAAAAATATGTTAAAATTAGATACGCTTATTAACGGTAGTATTATTATTTTGAATATGTAAACCATAAAAATTCAACCTTATTACTCATTGTCTCTACATTTGCCTTTGTCTCTAAAATGTTATGAGTTCTTTATTTGAGAAAATTATTTGTCTGCGGTAAAATAAAATAAATGATTATTTAACGTGACTGTGTAGGTTGGACTGTTGTAAAATTAGCTAAATGTAGTAATTGAAAAGTTATGAAGGAGTGTTCGTCAGATATTAAATAAAATAAAAGAAAAATCAAATATAATTCTTGTTTAAAAAGATATCTTGTCTGTAGGTTTATCCTACATATGATTATGTTTATAAAGAAATAAATAGGTACTATTTTATATTACGTAGGTCAAGATGCTTCTATTTAAACTACTTATTATCAATATTTGTTAGTGGTAAGAATAAAATTATAGCACACCTATGGTTAGAATCGTGAATGCGGTTAATTTTATTGTTGTTTGTTGAATTTACATTGTTTACTTCTTTACCAATTTACTGTATACATATATATGTATAAATAAATATTGTAACCAATTTCATAGTCCTTAAGATTCTGCCTCGATTTTCCGACCATAATTTTAGATATGAATATACATATATTTCTTATTGGTTGGTCAGTCTTTATATGATGAATTTTCATTTTGAACATAGTTCAATTACACTTATGTGAATATCTACAGGTTATAAACTATTTAATATATCTTTAGGTGGCTGGCGGCACATTCGATTGGACAAAAGATCAACAGGCAACGATTCTCGGTTCATATTTTTGGTGTTACCCCATAACGTCACTCATTGGTGGTATGGCATCAGAACGATGGGGTCCTAGATACGTGGTATTAATTACATCACTGGCCAGTGCTGTGTTAACAGCATTAAGTCCAGCAGCTGCCAGACTTAATTACGTAGCCCTGGTTATTATACGATTCTTCCTTGGATGTGCTGGGGTACTAATATTTTTATTTTGAAGATATAGATCTAAATGTTGCCGGAATATACATTTTTATTTATACCTATGTCTTTTTAAGGGTTTCATCTATCCAGCGCTTCATTGTCTGGTGGCTCGCTGGGCGCCACCAGCCGAAAAAGGAAAATTCGTGAGCGCCATGATGGGTGGAACATTAGGAACGGTAGTAACTTGGTCACTTACTGGTCCTTTGTTAGAGAGATTCGGATGGGCTTCGGCGTTTTACGTACCAGCTGGACTTACATTTATTTGGTGTGGATTTTGGTGGTACCTTGTGGCAGACACGCCTTCAGAACATCCTAGAATTTCAGCGTCTGAAAGAAAATACATATTAGATGCCTTGGGAGATAAAGTTAAGAAATCGAAGGTAATACATCATTGATATTTTCACATGTAGTTGAGAAGCTTAAACAAATATTGAACAAGTAATAATTACTTAGGTTCTTCAATAAACTTTTATTGATATTAACATGTTATTTCGTCAACAGGGTTTGCCGCCATTCAGAAGAATAATTACATCATTCCCGTTCTTAGCGATGATTATTTTACATTTTGGAAATCTGTGGGGATTATACTTTATTATGACAGTGGGACCAAAATTTGTATCAAGCGTTCTTGGATTTGAATTGTCAGCGGCAGGAATAATATCCGCCTTGCCGTATCTTGCAAGATTAATACTTGCAACTATATTTGGGGCTATCGGAGACTGTATTTTAGCGAAGAAGCTAATGACAACAACTACTATAAGGAAATTCTTCTGCCTGTTTTCGCACATTATCCCTGGAATCTTATTAGTTTTGCTGGTGTATACTGGATGTTCCACAGCGTTGTCGGTTGCAATGATCACGATGTCAATGGGATTCAATGGCGCTGCAACGTTGACGAATCTCCAAAATCATCAAGACTTGGCTCCTAACTATGCAGGAACCTTGTATGGTATTGCAAATTTCATAGGCAGTACTGCTGGATTTTTCACACCTATGATAACAGCATATTTTACGAAGACCGGGGTATGTTTTTATTATTATATTTGTTATACGTGTATAAGGCAACTTATTATTGCAACTAAAAACTACGACAAAAATACTAAAACAATTAATTACATTACAGGATAGTTTCGAACAATGGCGGCCAGTATTCTTTGTGGGAGCGTCTGTATATATTGTGTCTGCGATATTTTTCATACTCTTTGGAACTGGCAACACTCAGGCTTGGAACTTTGATGACGAATCTAAGCAAGAAGGAAAAGAGGAGAAGGGTCGCGCCGACGATATGAGCGATATGAATGAAACAATAAAAAATTCTTACAAAGACCCGAAAGAAAATCCCATGAATATTACAACGCGTACTTAAATATGAATTGTTATTCATTTGTTATAAATACTTCAATATAATTTATTTTAACTGTAGATATTTTAAAGAAGGATCTGACTAGAGATATTAGATTAGCGTCGGGGAATGTAATGAATCTCTTCCTATATCTTTCATTATATGACAAAGCATTTAAATTTACGTAATATAAAATATTATTATAGTTATTAGATAGCTGTAGAGTATTTTTAATAGGATATTACCAGAACTCGAAATATATTGTATACAGGATTTGATGAATGATTTGAATGAATAGACAAGACTGTGATCATAATTACCAAATAATATGTACTAAAACTTATTTAATTCAATTTACATTTACATTCACATCAACATTTTCTTATGTTTTATTTAAATATGACCGTATAGTTTTTTCTATGGAATATTGTAATTGAATTTTGAGTAAAACATTATTTAGTTGTGTGCGAATTTTGAATGAAATTTTATGTATGTATATTTCGTATCTAATATTATTATTTATTGTGATACATTGTAATCAAATCCTAAAATAAACATTTAAACGTCTCAGTATTGTTTTTCATTATACAATTATAAAAAAATAGTTCTGTAAATGTATGACAATTAAGACTAATTCACGATGGTTTCGACAAAATTGAGTAAATAAATTTGGTTATGTTGAAAATAAGAGTTCGGGCGCTTGTAAGTTTCTTTGTAATTAAAAGGTTTATTTTATTTACCTTTACACCTTTACTGTTCCTTATTCACAGATTGGTGCAATGATATTTTTGGGCTATTTCTTAGTCTATATAGTGCGATATAATCTAAGTGTGCATATAGTCGATATGGTGGAAGTTCCAAAACAAATTTTGAACAATATCTATATCGATCGAAAGTCCCTCAGGCATGCTTTAAGCGAGAGAAGTGGGGTTCGAATTTATGATAACTATTTAAAAATAATCTGTTCAGTCAAAATAATATTACTATTAGAACAACATTATAAAATATAGTCACATATAAACAATTAAATAAATAAAATTAAAAATTGAGAAATACAAGACGCGACTTAATCACCAGCGGTGTAAAAATAATTCAAGTTATTAAATGATATTTCTTATTTTCCAGAATGTCTTAGATATAATGTATTGGAATGAAATGAAAATAGCGTTATTATTGGCTGCGTATCACATAGGATACTGCATATGTTTTCCCATATTTCATAATATAGGAGATGTGTATGTATTTCAAAATAATATTTTTTCATAGGTATATACTAAAACAACAACGGAAAACTAAACTAAAAGCAAAGTATAATTAAACGGTTATAAAAATGGTTATAATTATTTAGTATTATATAAAAAGGAAATGTGCTCATCATTGTTCTATAATCAAAATTATATAATAAAAAATTTGAGCAAAAAGGCTTTACTAAATTGATTATTTGGTTTAATTTGGTTAAAGACTCCATTTAATTAATTTTATTCGCTTTGAAGTGTTTTTTACTGGAAGAGTAGGAAAGAAACAAATAAAAAAATTCTTCAATGACAAAATAACAATCTTATATGAAATTATAAGTACCTATTACAGTCATTATTCTTCGTTAAAAGTGTATTAAAAGTATTTGTAACAAGCAAGTGAAATACTATAATACATAAATATAATGAAATATGCATAATATATATTTCTAATATGTACCAAAACCATTAGATATCTTATTTTATTCAATATCTTTTAGATTTGGTCCAACATGGGTAGTTGGTGCAGCTGGTTTTACTTCAGGTGTCCTGAACTGCCTCACCTCTGCATCAGCGTATTACAACTTTTGGATGATATTCATAATTCGGATGTTAATTGGATTTTGCGCTGTCGGTAAACGTATGAAAATTTTAACACAATATAGTATTCAAATATAAAATAGGTGTTATCTTCAGGGCGCGATGCTTCCAAGCATGATTCAGGTGCTGAGACTTTGGGTGCCACCCACTGAGAGACATCACTTCATGTGGGCTTATTGTGGTGAATTTCAATACACTTTAAAACATTTTTAGTCAGTCAAATAGAGTATATATTCGATAAATCCACAGGTATAACAACCGGGACTTGCTGTACTTTCTTATTATGTTCTGTTGTGGAATATTACTTTGGATGGTCCGTAGGATTCTATATATCCGGATCGGTACAAATAATTTGGGCTGGTTTTTGGCTCATGCTCGTATCAGACAGTCCAGCTAAGCATTCTTTTATATCAAAGGAGGAACTATCTTTTTTAACTACCGCTATTGGAACGGTTTTCAATATAAAAGTAAGATTACTATATATATTTCCTATTTATTCAAAACGAATATCTATATAAGTATTGTAATATCTAGCTAACAAATACCCAAGCTCCTTGGAAGCTTATTCTGAAATCTGTTCCGTTTTGGGCATTGTGTATTCTGAATTTTGGATACGCTTGGATGATAATTTCTATCTGTATTCACGGACCGCTTTATTATACAGTTATTCTCAACTACAGCATTTATGAAGTAAGTAACTACAACATCATGTAGTTATTATTTTTCATAAACACAGTTGTATATTTCTTTCATATGAAGAGACGAAAATTCTCAGCATTCCATGGAATCACCCTGTGGATGCCGGATTCATCGCGTTTCAGGGATGGGATCTTTAACAGTGCCTGAGACTTGCGACCCAGATGTAGTTTTAAGGGGATTTAAGAATTCCATACATAATAAAGAAATTTCCGTTTCTTTTTTCTGGAATATCACAAAACATTTTGGGTTAAAAATTTACTCCGTGATATTTGAATATTCAAAAATAAAAGCATAGTCTACCACTGTGTTTTCTATGATTTGTCAGCTATCTCATGATTGTTGAAGCTAACATCTTAACTTTAAAGTCCCCATACTTCGTAGCAATCCTCTAAACTTTAATTTATCTCGACTTTAAAAGGTAGCTATTAGCATAAGTTCCATTCACTAATACTATAACGTATTAAAGTAAGAACTAAAAATAATAATTCATAAAATATAACTTTGATGCTTCTTTTATTTCCCAGGCAGCGGCTTTATCAGCATTGCCGTTTTTCTTAAGACTGGTGTTAGGTACAATAATAATACAAACTTATCACTGGTACAAGAATAATGATAAAATAAAGAGAGTTAAACATATCCGGAAATATTTTATAGTTGTCTGTAAGTATAACTATTTTATAATGCACCATATTCATGAATATAATAAAGTGAGATAGTAATATAAAAATTAGACGTCTTAATATAAACAAATTAATTGTGTTACTACATGTGCTTTAGAAAAGGAAACCAGCATTATGTCCGTACAAAACGTCTGTTTTCTTATAACTAATTATTTTTTGTATAGCTCATGTTATACCTGGGACTTTAGTATCGACGTCCTGGCTGTTGCCTATCAACCCTGGCCCAGTTCTTTTGACCGCAGCCACTGCTCTCACCGCAGCCGGTATGGACTTCACGTTAGACATTTGTTACGTAAGTCCAGTTATACCTTACTGGATTATGAGGTATTATCACCAGAGAAACAATTATATTACGATTCACACATTCCTGTCAGTATGGTTGTTGTAAAATAACTTTTTCTTTAATAACTGCTAAAACGGCAGGCGTATTAATATTTCACTAAGAGAATTCCAAAACTGATGGTCCGAAAAATCGTATTCAGGGGATAAAAATATCGCAATCAATAAAGGAATTAATTAGGATGGAAATTTCATGAAAATTAAATGGAACATTGCATTTGAATGTAATAGATTATTAAAATTTTAGGAGTTATCACCAAACTACGTAAATTCCATTAACACGGTTATAAAGATCATAGGCAATTTGCCAGGAATCATCGTTTCTTTGTGCGTGGGGGAAGTAACATATAAATTTAAGGTAGGATCCTCGATTATTAGATTATACAAATAGAACAAGACATTAATTATTATTACCTTTTATCAGAATTCTGCTGTTGTGTGGCGTTTTATATGGAGTTTTCATGGTACGGTCTTATTGTTCAGTGGTCTTATATTTCTTATTTGGGGCGATACACACGTTCAACCTTGGAATGATATTAAACAAAGGTTAGATTTACTATTAATAAGTATTGTACAAAATTAATTTTTTAATTTATAATGATATTTCTTCTACATTACTATTAACAATGAAAGGGTGAGACCGAAAAAATTTGTAGTTGTACGACCATCTATCATGTCGAATATAACAGAAGTAGATGAAGATGAACTCTCGTAAGTATATTTTTGTGTTATATAAATTTAAAAATGTACAGAAGATAATATTCTTCTTAATATTTACAGAACTCAATTGCCAACGTCTCAACGAACTAAACGTTTCATGAATTGGAAATTATCTAAAAGTTGAAATAATAATTACAAATCTGGAATCTATATTATTACTCATTTACATATTAATGACATTTGAAAAACGGACCCAGGCTTAGTCAGTGTTCCAAAGTACATAATCTATTTGAAATTAAACAAAACAGCAATATTGGATTTAATATAGAATAAATAATATAAAAAAATATCTATTTCACTGTAATTTTTGTATTCATATAATTTCCAAACAAAATTTAAAATTCTGAATAAAATTTAACAAATGAAACTTTATTTAAATGTTATTTATTAAATGAATTTTTAGTAACTATTTTTTCAATAGCTTTCAAGTATTGAACAAATGCTGTAAGTTTTTACTTACAATATTTTTGTTGTTGTTGTTGTTTACGTGAGCTACAATTCATTGTTTCCCAGAAAGCTTGTTTGGTGAAGCTACTATTTTGTATGTGGAGGTTGCAAGGACCTTTTATACGATGTTAAATTCTTTTAAAAAAATATACTACCTCAAGGACGTAATTGTCGTATAATCCTAGACCCAATAATAGTTGTTATCAACGAGCCAAATATTTCAAGTTTTAATTTGATTTGGAGTGCTAAAATCTGTTTGCTATTCAGGACTGATTTTTATCAAAAAATATGTTTTACGTTAAGTAAAATAAATAATATTAATTTATTATAAATGACTTTTGTAATACAGTGAAGAAAAAAGTTTTTGCGACCGATAGGTTTTTGTAAAGCAAAAACTAATCATAAACATAAAATTAGTAATAATAACCAAATAATATATATCTCTATAAAGATTGCTGGTTTTTCAGTTCGAAAAACACAGTACCTAACATTTTATAGCCTTGTTTTAATATTTTTTTTATGAATGAGTATAAATACACTTTTTATAACTCGTAGTTATTTCACAAATTTCATATTTTTCTTAAAATATAATCATGAATATTTTTAAAAAACGTATAAAATTGAAGATAAGCAAAAAGCTTTAAAAGGTAAGTTTAGTAAGGTTTATTATAAAAAAATAAGCTTAATTCCTACTGTTGACTTAACTCACAGAGAGTAAAGGTAAGTATACCTTTTGATATTAGTTGAAATTAAAAGTTAAGTACTGCTTTAAATATTATTATGGTTAAAATAATTAAAAACCCCTCTAAAACTAGTCTAGAATTGTAGACGGTAACCTCTTTTTTTAAAGGGGAAAATTATCAAATGACCCCTTTTGTCCTGGGTGGGGTAAGAGGGAGTCTCAGACTCTTACTGACTAAAAACGCCCCGTGCCTATTCCTGCTCCGAGCCTGGCCGCGGTAAATCATTTCGCTTAGACCCGCGACCCAGACGGATACCCCTAGAATAGACTTAAGCATTTTTTTTAATAAAAAATTATCAGTTTTAGTAAAAATCCATTGAATAAAAATGAAAGAATTGTTTTGCAAAAAGAGACGACACTACTCAGCATTCAATGATTTCCACGTGCGGGCGTCGTATCCATCGCGTTGCAGGGAGAGGAGTTTTAACAGTGCCTGGGACATACAATCTAGGTGTTGGTTTAAGGCGTTTTAAACGCTCACCTCCATCGTCCGAGCTCTTCTCTCTATCTAACCAAACTTGAAAAGAACCTACCAGATCTACCTTCAAAATATGTTCCAGGAATTAATTGATGTTAGTTCTAAACAGTCCCAAATCTTTTGGTGGGTTGTAGAGAGATTTTGCTGGTATACTCGTACCTCTAGCTCTACCGCGCAAAAATCTACGACTAACCTATTCCTAGTGAGTTTGTCATTGTGCTGGTAATACTTATTGACCTTGATGGCATGGTATTTGGGGATGTTGGTTTCTCAAGCAACCGTTAGCTCTTAGCTAACACAACGCGATTTAAAATTAAATACATATTTGTGTATTTAATTTTAAATCCTATATCTGGTATGTCTGGCACGTCTGGTATGTCGAGCGTCGGCCGTCAGGCCGACGCTCGAATATCCCCTTTATGCTAAATTTATAAATATAAAAAACTTATACTGAAATGAAATTAGAAGGAATAGATTTTTATTACATATTTTTGTAGTCAAAAAGAATGGTTTTGACACTCACGTTTGTATTAACGTTTGAATTCTTTTGAGGCACAGCAACTAATATTGTCACGTATGTCAGAAGGCATGAACAAAGTATGTTAGCTTTACTAAGACATTAGTACTGGTACAATATAATAAAACTAGTACTATGGCTGACCTATTATTCTGAAGACTAAATTTTCAATATTTACAGTTTCAGTTTAAGAATTGCAAATACGATAAAATTAGTGAGATCTAAGACTTTTGCGACTATTCATTTAAATGAAACTAAATTTTTCGGATATATATACTACGCGTGCTCTATTTTTGTAAAAACTGCATACTCCCTATGTTTCGGTTCCTTTTTAGCAACCGTGATCACAGGCAGACGCGATGTTGCAATATGACGATAAAATTACATATATAAAATAATCTCTTGAGATTTAAAATGTGTGTAAATATATTTTCTTTGTGAAATTAAACAGCTTAATTAGCTAATAATATTTACACCGTAAAACAAATTAACGCTAACACAAATGACGATGGTTAGAATTTTTACTAGACACAGAATAAAAATATTACCATAGCAAGCTGTCAAATTGCTTTGTCACGGTCACATTACGACCAAAGAGTTAAGGAAGTAAAGAAAAATACGAATACGGGTTTTCATATGGTATTATGATTAAAAATTTATAATATTGTGTAGTAGTAGGAAATAAATATGAATCATAGTTTCATTAAATATTATTCTGAGCATGAGGGCTACAAATGTGGGTACTGTAAACGTCCAGATACAAATTACAGCCACGGTGAGTTTATAAACAATAATCTAATAAGATCGATAACAGAATCACATAACATTTTCAATTTTAATTTAGTTATGTGGGCGCATGCAATGACGGTTACTGACTACCAGGATTTAATAGATAGAGGTTGGAGGAGATCTGGAAAACAATGCTATAAGCCAACTTTAGAAGTCATCTGCTGTCCCATGTATACCATTCGGTTTGTATATTTAAACTAATTTTGTTTAATAAATAACGAAAACTATATAAAGAAAAAGTTTTCCCCGCAGATGTAGAGCATTAGAATTTAAGCTTGCCAAATCTCAAAAGAAAGTTTTGAAGAGATTCAATAAGTTTTTAATTGGAGAAGAAATAAGTGATGCAAGTGCACAAGAGAGTCGAGAAGATGTTGCAATGGAGCAAGTTGAAGGGCAGGAGCAGTTTTTAGAATCAAAAAGGCCACCTGAAGAATTAAACATTGCTGGAATGGATATTCCGTTTATAGAAGAAGCAGATGATTCAAGAAAAGTTGGTAAGTAAAATTAGTGCTTATATTAAAATTAAATTATATATCTCAGGTTTATTAGGTATTTTATCATAAAAGGCTAGTATCCATTTAAATTTACTGATAATTTAGTATTAGTGATTATATTGAAAACTAAATAATAATATTTTTATACATATCTTACCTTTATTTGATGGGCAAATATTATTTATCCATTAGGAATGTCTAATATATGTATTCCGTTTAGACAGAAAACATTATTATATTGTCTCATTATGTAGCGGATAGATGGGTTTTTAGTTCCATGTTAAATTTATTTAATATCTAGAGTAATATTGATGGATAACAATAGAATTCTAGTTTGTTTTTGGTGAGACATCTCAACAGTCAAGATTGGCAATGCATCCGTTACATCTATGTTGTGGATGTCCATGGGCGACGGTAACTACTTCCCATTAAGTAGGCCGTCTGTTTGTTTGCCAACTTTGACATTAAAAAATATATATACAGGGTGACTGGTGAATTACTATCGATATTTGAGGACGTGATATTTGACGATCATATATGACAAAATAAAAATTAATATAACATAAATATTAATAAACTTCTAAGTAAAGTTAACCAAAAGTTATGTAATTAATTACGCATCGTATGAACACCCTACAGATTAGGTATACACACACACACACAAGCGCGCGTCGGCGGCGTGGTGTTGTATCAGCACGCCGCCGCACGCGTCCACACTTGGAACACTTGGAACGTGTACACACTTTATTTATTTATACGGAAATTTGGTCAAAAATTAAGTCTTGAAATGCTCTACGTGCGGGAAAAACTACAAGAGACGAGCCTGGTACATTAAACATCTAAAAACACATAATGGGGTTGAAGCACGACAATCGTCGGTAAGATCTACAACATTCACTTCGGATAGAGTTGACCCTCATGTATCCCATGGTGAACCATTAACTGGAAACCACCAGGAGTCCATTAACATCAGGACACGTCTTAGCATTCCTAATCTAAAACAATCGACTTGGAAAGTTCATGACGACAACTTAGCGGTCCTGTTAGAGCATCCGGGCTCGAAGCAGGAATTGAACTCGCAGGTAGAAACTTTCCAAAATACCGTTTATGACTACTTTAGCGAGCAATATCCACCACGTAATCGTTATGCTCGCAAAAATAAAGACAATTCGTTCAAATTAAAAATGCGGAAGAAAAAACGGGAATTAATAAAAAATCTACGTATAGCCAAAGCTCTAGGCGACAATCACCTTAGTCATCAACTAGCTAGGGCGTTAAGGTAAGGTAAGGTAAGTAAGTAAGGTCAATCCTTAAATTAATCCAAGGAATATCGGCGCAAACTGCAGAATATCGCGATAATTTTGACCGGGCAAAACAAGAAGTAGATTTCGATAAAAACCCTTTTGAGTATTCGAAAACCATTTTTAAGAAAGAACGCGGACAGCTTCTCTTGACCAACGATCAAATTTACGACCATTTTAAGAGCACATACGAGGTGCCTAAAAGTTTAAGACGGTATAGGGATCCAAACGATCAAAAACCTGAATTTCCTCGAATCGAATTCCACGGCATTCCACCAACGCTAGAGGAACTAAATAGTCAGATCAAGAGGAAGTCGTCTAAATCTGCACCGGGACCCGATGGTATCCCATATATAGTCTTTAAAAAATGTGCATCGGTTCGTAAACTCCTCCTAAATATATACGGTAAAATCTGGTCAAGGAAGCAAATCCCGGAGTGCTTCGGGAAAGCAATTTTTGTCCTCATTCCCAAAAAAGATCGAGTTACTGATCCGAAAGATACTAGACCGATAGCTTTAACAAATACTATATCGAAAATCTTTTTCTCGGTTCTACAAACGAGAATGACGCGATTCATGCTCAGCAACAACTATTTTAGGCCAAATCACCAGAAAGGGTTTTTACCCGGGATTTCTGGATGCTTAGAACACAACACCTTGCTGTCGGAGAGTTTAAAAGATGCTAGAAAAAGCGAGCGGCAAATCACTGTTTGTTGGATAGACTTGGAGAACGCGTTCGGGTCGATACAACACGAATTGATGCTATTCGCGCTTAGATGGTACAACTTTCCACCCCTAGTTAGAGAAATGATCGCGTCGTATTACTCAAAATTAAGGTTTTCTATAATAACTAAAGAAGGCCCTTCAAAAAGTTTGAGTTATAATGTAGGACTGTTTCAAGGTTGTTGTCTATCTCCAATTGCGTTTAATATCGTAATTAACATCTTAGTAGACAAATTAATCTGCAACGAGAAAAAATGGGGTTATCGGTTTAAGTTTAATAATAAATACACGGAATCCATTTTAGCCTTCGCTGACGATCTCGCAATACTGACACGTAACCCCAAACACTGTCAGGTACTATTGGATGAAGTGGATAAATTCTGTGAGTGGACGGATGGATTGAGGACAAAACCCAGTAAATGTCACTGTCTGTGTCTTGGTAGGCGGAATACAAGATACACCTCATACGATCCGGGACTATCGTTAGGCGGTCAATGCATTTCTACGGTTACGGAAAATGCACCATTTAAATTTCTCGGTCGTAAGATAGATAATATAGGCCGTACTCCATCTTTAGAAGGAATAGTAGATAGCTTTTTGAACGATCTTAACAAGGTAGATAGCCAACTGATAAGTAACGTCAAAAAAGCGTGGATCTACGAGAATTACTTAACTTCACGTTTGAATTGGCCTTTCCTCGTCTATGATTTTAATAAAACCCTTTTGTCAAAGTTAGATGCAGGCGTCATAAAGATGTTGAAGTTGTGGCTCGGGCTCGCCCTAACGGCTGATTCATCGGCGTTATTTAGGGGAAGCAATAGTTTTGGGATGAGTCTAAAAAGGCCATCGGAGCTCTATAAACACCTAAGAGTTTCCAAGAGATATATCCTGGGGAAATCCCATGATGACATAGTGACATCGCTCCCAAAAGATGAAGATGCCCCCGAGCTAGAGTCACGACTTCAATTCCATAAGCAATTTATGATAGGAGCGCAAAGTAACAGAGCGGGGTTAGGATCAAATAGGAAAGTCCAAGATGCGGATATATTGAAGTCTTTTATTCGGCAAGACGAGAATGATAAATATAAGATCCATGCAATGAATTTAGAAATGCAGAACGAGTGGTTAGACATAGGAGATTTTTGCATCCCATTAGCATTAAAATGGCGCACTTTAATCTATGATTGGTCGCCAGCATTGCTAAAATTCTATCTCAATGCGTTCCAGATGACTCTCCCAGATCAGAGTAATTTAGTAAGATGGGGTAAAAGTACCGAAAAAACTTGCTATATCTGTGGAAAGGCAGTTGGAACTGCTAAGCATCTGCTGGTGGGATGTAAGGTACTCCTTGACAGCGGTCAATACTCGCGTCGTCACGATAGGGTTCTAGAAGTCATACGTGAAGCGGTTAGTCTTTCGGTAGCCAGAGCGCAAAAGGGAATAACCACAAACGAACGATCAGTAGGTTTTGTGAGAGAAGGCACTAGGGCTGCAAAATCAAACGTCAAGCCTTACTCCATCCTTAAAGCGGCGTCGGATTGGACTATAATGATGGACACGTATGAAAAACAATATAAAATCCCCGAGGATATTTGTGCGTCGGCCTCCAGACCGGATATATTTTTGTTTTCGCGAATTTTAAAGCGCGTAGTGATGATAGAGCTTACGGTCCCTTGGGAAACCAACATCCCCAAAGACCATACCATCAAGGTCAACAAATATTACGAGCTCACAAACGAACTCACTCGAAATAGGTTCGTAGTAGATTTGTACGCGGTAGAGGTGGGAGCGAGAGGTATAACAGCGAAATCTCTCTATAACCTACTAAAGGACTTGGGCTTGTCCAGAACTCACATTAATGCATTCTTGGAACGTACATCGAAGGCAGCCCTAGTAGGTTCTTTTCAAATTTGGTTAGGTAGGGAGAGGAGCTTGGACAGTGGAGGTGAGCGTATAACGCGCGTTAGTTAAGGGGCCCCTTAAACCTACACTTGGGTCGCAAGTCCCAGGCACTGTTGAAGCTCCTCCCCCTGCAACGCGATGGACCCGGCACCCGCACGGTGAATCCATGGAATGCTGAGAAGTTTCGTCTCCTATTTTTTTTTACATAATTCGAATGAGAATCATGTACCGAGTATGCTCCTTAAATATTGATAGTAATTCACCAGTCACCCTGTACATCCTTAATTAGAAACAAGTTTTGAATGAACAATGTCACTTGTTACAATTGGAGACGATCTTTTAATTGTTTGGACATTTTGTTATTGTAGTACAAAACAAAACTCTTTACTACTTTTATTTACAAATGACTTACTCAAAAGCTATGATTGTAGCTACTTGAGAATTTTTTATTATGTGAAGTAATTTTTTTTTATCAATTTCAGAAATAGAGGCAAAAGATGACAGTCACATGCAGAAAATTGATGCTCATCAAGATTTACAACAAGGTAATTTATTATTTATATTATATAGGTGGCCTATAAGGAAAGTTGTGACTAAAAAAATATATTGTTAATGTGCTTCATTATACTAGAGAGACTATATTAGAACAAAAAATAAAATACATTATATTAGAACAGTAATCAAATATTTTGTTTTAGTTAGTACTGAATTCTTTTCACTTTATTATTATGGTTGTCATATGTTTAAATTATAATTTGTATATAGGTATTTAATGTTAATGTTTAAGTTGTATTTGATAGATTAATCATTAAAAATTAACTTTTATCAGCATGTTCATCAACAGCAAGTAGTTCAAGTCAGTCGGGCAACACATCAAAAGAAAAGTCTAACAAAGGTTAGAATTATGATGTAAGTCTAATACACCATGTATAAAATTTAACAGTCAAATTATAATTAATGAGTATATTTTTTAGTGACTGGTGCGGACCCCACAAAAGCTCCATGCAAAAAAGCAAAACAGGCAAGACGAGAGAGAATGTTAGAAAAACTCCAAAAGAAGGGTATTGATGTTACAACTTTAGATAATACCAGCAAGAATAAAGAAAAAACCATTGAGGACATTATTAATGAACTACCAGATAATGTCAAGAGGAAACTTGAGGTAATTAAAGTTTATGATATCCTATTAATCATATAATTTATTAAGAATTTATATTTTTCATATGTTATTGTCTATGAAAAATTATTACTCTTACTTTTTCTTCAATTGAAGTCATATTTATATAAAACCATGTACATTCCAGATAAAATTAGTGAGAACTGAACCACCGAGTCCGGAGTGGTTGGCCACGAAAGCAGAAAGCCATGAAGTTTATGTGAAATACCAAACTATTGTTCATGGAGATAAACCTGAGAAATGTACTGAACCTAAGTTCCATGATTTTTTGGTCCACAGTCCATTACTGGTAAATTAATATCCGTTTCATACAAAAGCAATTGTGGAACTATGTAATAACTCCTATATTCATAACTGGTTATTACAATTCATCCTGAAATTAAGATGTATCTGTCTAATAATCAAATTATAATATTTTCGTGATTACAATTAGTTTCACAAGGTGTTATTTTAAGTTATATAAAAATGTACATATTATGCTTTAACCATCAATTTTGTGTGGTAAACAAAAAAAACTTTTGTATTTTTAAAATATATTTTATTTTTGATTTGCTACTCTCTCATATTTTGTTTTGGTATGATGCAAATGACTATTAATTTTAGAAAATTTGATTTTTTACATCAAGAACAAATTCTTAATATTAAAGCAATTTTATAAAAATATAATCTAAATGTAATTTTTCATTATGATTGAAAGCAAAAGTTGATCGTAATTAAAAGGCATCTACCTCTTTTGTTTATTATTAATATGACTTTAATGAAATAATTACTATATTCAGGAAGAATATTCTGAAGTTGGTCCCCCATGTGGATATGGTTCATTCCACCAACAGTATTGGCTGGACGGAAAGATTATAGCCGTTGGTGTTATAGACATACTTCCAAGATGTATATCATCAGTATACTTCTTCTATGATCCCCAATATTTACACCTGAGTTTAGGAACTTATGGAGCTTTAAGGTACACTATTTAGATATTTTTTTTAATCTAGAACTCCCTACTAGATAGTAGATAATTAATATGCTTTTTTAAATGAATATACAGAGATATTTTTCAGCAAATACATTTCAATAAATTATTATCTATAATGTGACATCTATTACATGTAAATTACTTGAAATATTAACCAGGCAATTCTTAATCCTATATGTTTAAGTACATTAGATTATAATAAAATATTTTGAACCTGCACATGTTAATTTCATCTTATCATGTTTTATTTTCAGAGAAATAGCATTCACAAGACAGTTACAAAAGATTTGTCCTAATCTGAAGTATTACAACATGGGATTCTACATCCATACATGTACTAAGATGAGATATAAGGGGAAATTCCATCCATCGGACCTGCTATGTCCCGAGACCTTCAAGTGGTTTCCGATCAAGGAATGTATAAGAAAATTAGAAATATCAAAGTATTCAAGATTTGATCCTGATCTCGATGGTGTGGATGAAAATTATCCCACAGATAATGATGTGAATAATATAAAAGTTTTATCTAACGGACAAGTGCTAAGTTACAAAGTATTCAAACGGAAAGCTGGAAGGAAATATAATGAAGAATTTGAAGTTCTTGAATATGCGAGGCTCGTTGGTGGCAAGACCGCTAGAAGTATTATAATGGTCATGTAGATTATAAGTTATCTGCTTAATGTTTTTAAAACTAATGAGTAGATTATGTTATAATAAATGCGGTTTACATTCTTAAGTGTCATTTTAATTAATGATGATTTCTAGTCATGAGGTCATTTTTGTTTGTTATTTGTGCACACAAAATAACTTGATGTCTGATGATAGTCACATGAAGATAGTTGTGTAAAGTTTTTAAACTTTTTCCTTATATATTAACAGTTTTCTCACAGTCATAATATCTATTATATGTAAAATGCCAAAACTGAATACCTTGGTAACCCTAAAATTACTTAATGAAATTTTTAATCGCTGCGACGATGTTCAACTGTTTTAAAAATATCTAATAAATGGAAACCCCTTTTATCTTGTTTTATTTCATTTTAAAACGACTTTAACTAAAACTATTAGGTATATTTTAATAATTTTTTTTTAACCATACATTACAAAGAATAAAGTGTGATCATAAAAGGGAGTAGTAGGTACATAGGAAGATCTTTAGATATGAATGATATTAACTTTTCAATTTATAGCTCAGAAAAATCTCAGAACTAGTTTTTGACTTAAATGTCAAATTAATTTAAACAGTATTTAAGTCGATATGGCGCCAGGATAATTGACATTGAATTCCTCATTAAATTTAAAAAGCGATAATAAGATTAAACTGATGCGGAACTAATGTTTTTCCTATACATATGTATATAATATGAATATCGCAAAACCTTTGCCGTATGTATAGTGTTTATTTTTTAAATTTGTATCATAACTAAAATTATTGTGTAATGTATTTTTCTATGTTATCTCTTTAATATAAATGGATTTAATGAGGTAAAAAGCAAATAATTTCCTAAGTAATAATGTATCACATAAAAAGTATTATCGTATAAACAAATAGTCTTAATTATATCTCCTGTGCTGGCTCCAAGAAACTAAACAAGTCTTATAATAAAGAACTTAACGATATAAATCAGAGGGCCACTCAACGCGACGCCTGTTCGCTTAAAGTAAAAAAGAATACTAAAAGTATAATAATGTGTAGGCTACAGTGGCTAGTTAGACCAGATAATCTATTAATATTTATAATTTACAATAGTACTCTATTAATAATCTACTGTCTAATTATAGTTTTATGTATGTTAAGAATCAACAGTTGTATCCACAGGGCCTTGATATGTTATGTCAATGGCAGTATTTGTGACATTGTGTCACACAAATATCTTTTTTTTCTGAACTATTAACCAAGTTTTAAAAGAAACAGGTTCTCCAATCAATATTATACGTTTATTGTAATAAAATATCGGTTAATGGAATTTAATTATTCGTTTTTATTTATTTGTTGTTTTAATGGTACCTACTGTATGAAAGGAAAATAAAATGCTCCAACAACAATTGCAAAATAAAATGGAGTTCATTCACATCTCCGATAAATCTTAATGCTTTCAGATATGTATTTTCTATCCGTTGCATAAATAAAAGATAGGATAATACTTAGGTTTCCTTTCGTCAATATTTTTAAAATAACTAATTCGTTAACGGTACCTATTTTGACATTGAATCTTAATACAAATTATGTTTAAATCTAATAGCGTTTTTATTATTTTAGTAAGACATTTTCGGTACTTGATAAAGGCTTTAAGTAATTTTTTTGCAAACAAGTAGAGAGAGCATTATTTGTAACACAAACCGGTTTTATATAAAAAATGTAAAATATATACATAGGTACATATTAATATTTTATAAAGCTCCTTTGTATCTTTTTTTAAGTGTTGTCGTTTAACGGCTTAAAGGCATTTTAATGTTTTTGTAGTTTATTTCCAAAGTGCAACCTAATTATAGATAGTTCCATTCACATTTTTCACATTAACAAGTAATCTTATGACTGAGAAAGTACAGATATACATACTTATCATAAGAGAATTTCAGTATTAATAAAATTTTCAAAATTCACCTAAAAGTTTTTAGTTATAAATAACGGTAACTGATGAAGTTCTATTGTGGAAAGTACAAGTGCTAAGGAAGGGACTAGCGTTAAGGAATTTAAAAACTCATTGTGCTTCTCCAATAGTACATTATTACGAAAACAAACAATTAATTTTCTTTAAAATATGCTAAAATAATAGTTCAATAAATATTAATATGTAAAATAATTTATATGTAAAAAACATTATTTATAACACTCGATACATACCTAATTCTAGCAACCGATTGAACTGTTGTTTGTAGAATAAAAATTAAAAATACATCGATTATAATAATTTTATGGAAGGAACATTTGAATCAACATGAGATGCAGTTCCCAGAATATCAGACCTTTTATAACCGTTATTTTTTATGTGTGCCTTGCAGGAGTGGGAGGGGACGCTCACCTGATTAAACATAACCCGACTTGCTTTATTATCGTTATTATCTGAGTTCTTAGTTGCAATTTACTTTGACAATTCGATAATAGAGTGGCATGTGAGGTCGACCGTGCTAAGGCTTTCGATGGATGTCGGCCATCGGAAGGCAGTCTCAGAAAGACAAGCGCGCGCGCAACCCGCAGCGGTTAGTGTTTTGCGATAATTGTGTGAATTGTTTTGTGTTTATTCTATACATGAAAATGAAGTTCCACATAAAAATATTTGGTGAGTATTGTAAATAATGTATTTTATATTATTATACTAGTGAATTGAAAGTGATAAATAAGCGTAATTACTTCGCATCCTTGAGTACTCAGGGTAGGAAATAGTTAAATTAATTATCGTTACTTAATTACTTCACTCACGGTTTAATAACTATTATTTTGTTATATATAAGGTTTGTTTCATTTGCTATAACGTTATCTTTTTTTTAACAAAATAAAATTGGTAGAAACTAAGGCACTTTCTTTTCCTTTCGGTCTAGAAATAAGGAATGTTTTTAAATAAGCCGGTAGGAGCCACATTGAAAGTCTAGGTAATAAACCCGCCTCATTACTTGATTCCTTGTAAGTACATTTTATTCGTTTGATTCCGTTTAAAATAAATAAAATAAACTAGCAATCATATAAACCCGAGTGTGTCGAGTGATAAAAAATTATAGATAAAAAAAATATGTATCTACCTTCAACTTATTCAGTTAATTATTGTAAGGCTGCTAAATTACTAGTAGCGACACTTGTCAAATATTGTTGTTAAAACAATTTGTAATAAATTTTGATCTTTTGATATATACCTAAGGTAAGCTTTGTTGTAATATAATTCGTAAAATATAATAGCACCTACCTGTTAGTAGGTGCTATTATATTTCACGATACTCTTTGAATTTTTTCCATCAGTTGTATAGGGACTTTCTGATGGATCCTAATATGATTACAAAAGCTTTTTACAGTGATGAGTGAAAAAATGCATTTAAGATCCTTACTTTTTAAATCTTTTCTTCCTTTCGTTTCCTTTATTTATTAGTCATATGTATTTTTTTATTTCTTATATTGAGCACGTCTATGGTGCCTAAAAGTTGAAATTTTGTTCTATTGTTATTGTTTCAATTAATAGTTATATAAAACTTATTGAACAATTATGAAAATAAAATGCCAAAATGTAAATTTCATTATGATATAATAAGTTAATCTTAATTATATTCTAAGAGCTGTATTAAAAATTTAAATGAACATGTTTTTGATAACATTTAATATCTCTCATCTGATAACAATTTTATCTTACATATTACTTAATGAAATACAATAGCCATGTTTACTACCTGTTGCTACCGGCTCTTATAAAGATCATCATTTGTTTATTTACTAATATTATATTTATCTTCTTCCTGGCAATATCCCAGCTTTAACCAGAGTTTGCTTTACATGTTGTATATATGTAGTTATGGCTAATTGTTTTTACGACCGGCCGCCTGCCTGACATCAACCCTCTTTTTGAATATTTACTAATACTGTATTTATGTATAAATGGGTTTATGCATGTATATATATGAATCACAAAACAAACACAAACTGAATACCTTCGATATAATATGTGATTTTATTTTACTTTGTCGTATGTTTCTTCTATTAATAAATGCCTCTAATCATTTATTGATTAGATTGCTATGTTGTTTCTTGTTAATGATCAGTTTATGCAATATTGAGCACATAACTTTAAGCTGCTCGCTAGAAGATTCGAAGCGAAAGTGAAACCAAAATCGAATGATCGAGATTAGTCTCACTCAATATTGAATTTAAATTTTAATACATTATAAAGCCTATGAAATTTAGGGAGCATTCTTTAATATAGAAGTGAAATAATCAAAGGGTTATTCAATTGAGATTAAAAATCAAGTAGACAAAAGAAAAAAAAACTATTTTCAAAAGGAGGAAAAATTGAAATAACAATAGACAAATTTGAAAAGGAAATTGTCAGGAGATTATTGAATAAAAGAATGCTAGAGGGTCATGACAAGAAATGTTATCTTAGGGAATATAGATTATTTTCTATGAATCAAATAAAATCTAAAATCTTGAAAGAAATCAAAATAAATCCTGTTAGGATATCGATTGTTTTTTTTATCCATTTATTTATTATAGCTTGGCAGCTTAATACTTAATTTATTGGTACTAACATCTGCTATACATATATATGTACATGTACATATAAACATGTATATATTGTACAAATTACAATATAATTGTACTAAAAGAAAAACAAAAATATAATAGATAAGAAGAATAAGTAAAACATAATAGATAAGAAGAAAAACAAAAACGTAATAGATAAATTCATAGGATATAAAATGTACCGAAAATCATAACATTTTTTGTACATTTTTCATTCATTTCTATTATAAAATGATAAAGTAAGGTCATACAGTCTTAGATTGTATCACCTCAGAATGCCCCTCTGTCACCTTTGCCCTCGAATTTCGCGTTCCAATGCGTCACTTCACCTAAAACATAAGTTGTTAAATAAGCCTTTAAAAGTCAATGTATGTATTTCAAACATCATATCAATGATTTTTAATAAAAATTACTTG